ACATTTCATTTGGGCTGGAACAAGTTCATTCATCAATAACAACAATCCAAAGTAGTTTTTAGATAATTGATTCATATTTTTTTTGACCTCACAAAGATTGAAAGTTTAGAATAGCTTTGATTATTCCCATTGGAGCTGTGATTACTGCAGAGTAAAAGAACATACAGTAAATTTGAAACGTAAGTCTCATATTTGCAGCCAAACAACTCATTTATGGATATAATAATAATCTACTGTAATCCATGATCAAAGAATCGTTTATTCCAGCCTCAGACGAGATTTCCTCATAAAATAATAAACAACATAGAGGTTATTCTTTAACCCTTTAATGGTTTCCTAGATCACTGTTTGAGTCCATTCTGTGTGATCTACTTTAAGCTTGGAACTGAAATATACATCTTTGGGGCACTTTTGCCATCAAACTACATCCATTTGGTAAAGGCCTATAATGATAATAAAATAAAAAAATAGGGGTTAAAAAAATAAATATTCATACCTCTTAGAACAGGGGTCTCCAGCCTGTAGCTCGGGAGCCACCAGTAGCTCCCCACCCCCTTCCAGGTAGCTCGCCAAAGGATTTAGAATGGAGCAAATCAACTAATACACTTAATTTTTCAGATTGTATTATTCATTATCATTATTCATTATTGAAGGATAAATAATGACTGTATAGGCTTGTTCACGCCAGTATTTTCCCAGGGCCGCTTAAAGAAGTAGTTCTCTGCCTTTAGCGTCCTGGGAAAGTAGCTCACTGGGTGAAAAAGGTTGGAGACGCCTGTGTTAGAAAATCCAAAAGAGACAAAAATCCATTGCTTTTTTGTGTTAATGTTAAAGGGTTAAAGTAATGAAGTAATGAATTAGGTTTACAGAGTGAGTATTAAAACAAACAAACAAAAAAAAGACATCTTACAGGAGCAGTGTGTAAACATGTGGCTGAAAGTCTAAGACTAATATGTCAATGGCAGTCAATGAGTTAATGATGACAGATTAGGGCCCTTTAATGATGACAGACTAGGGCCCATTAATGATGACAGATTAGGACCCTATAATGATGACAGATTAGGGCCCTTTGATGATGACAGACTAGGGCCCATTAATGATGACAGATTAGGGCCCTTTAATGATGACAGATTAGGGCCCTTTAATGATGACAGATTAGTGCCCTTTAATGATGACAGATTAGGGCGTTTTAATGATGACAGATTAGGGCCTTTTCATGATGACAGATTAGGGCCCTTTAATGAGGACAGATTAGGGCCCTTTAATGGTGACAGATTAGGGCGTTTTAATGATGCTAGATTAGGGCCCTTTAATGATGACAGATTTGGGCCCTTTAATGATGACGATTAGGGCCCTTTAATGACGACAGATTAGGGCCCTTTAATTATGACAGATTAGTGCCCTTTAATGATGACAGATTAGGGCCCTTTAATGAGGACAGATTAGGGCCCTTTAATGATGACAGATTAGTGCCCTTTAATGATGACAGATTAGGGCCCTTTTATGATGACTGATTAGGGCCCTTTAATGATGACGGATTAGGGCCCTTTTATGATGACTGATTAAGGCCCTTTTATGATGACAGATTAGTGCCCTTTAATGAGGACAGATTAGGGCCCTTTAATGAGGACAGATTAGGGCCCTTTAATGATGACAGATTTGGGCCCTTTAATGATGACGGATTAGGGCCCTTTAATGATGACAGATTAGGGCCCTTTAATTATGATAGATTAGGGCCCTTTTATGATGACAGATTAGTGCCCTTTAATGATGACAGATTAGGGCCCTTTAATGATGACAGATTAGGGCCCTTTAATGATGACAGATTAGGGCCCTTTAATGATGACAGATTAGGGCCCTTTAATGATGACAGATTAGGGCCCTTTAACTCACTGACTGCCAGGCATTTTCAGATTTGAGAAGTGCGTTCTGCCAGCAATTTCAGGTGATTTGACCCAACTTTGAAGTGCCACAGAATATGCATTTTTTAGACGATGTAAACACCAAGGGCACCAAATTAAAGATTAACCTCTCTACTTTACTCTGAAAAAAAAAACAGTTTGTTTCCACCTCTTACCGTTCTTGAGCTATTTGCCATAGAACAAAGCATACTTTCACCCACAACACCTGGTCTGAGCAAGAAAACAGAGAAAACAAGCTGTATGTAAACAGGAACATATCAAGCAGAAAAAAGACTTTTAGATGCATTTTTGCTGCTTTAGTGACCACTCAAAACATCTTCACACTTGTTCCATTACAAAAATTATAAAAAACATGACTCTGAAATAATACTTTTGATGGCAAATTGTTGGCAATTTATTCACAGATAGAAAATTTAACTTTCTTCTATACCATCAACCACACAACAACAACAACACAAAGATCAATACAACTATAGATGTATAAAATAGAATGAAGCGTGTGAATTTGTGTGTGTGTGTGTGAATGTCAGTGTGCGAGTGAGTGTCTGTGTGAGTGAGTGTCTGTGCGAGTGAGTGTCTATGTGCGTGAGTGAGTGCGTGTGTGTCTGTGTGTGCGTGAGTGAGTGAGTGAGTGCGTGTGAGTGTTCGTGAGTGTGTGTATGAGTGAGTTTATCTGCTTTTTCAGTCCTCCCAGTAGTTTAGCTTTGAGTTGAAGAGGTTGAAACACTGTGTGCAACGGAACACGACACGCTGTGTACCATTTGTAGTTCTCCCTCCGTAAAGAAGAGCTCCAGAAAGTCTGGATCAGATGAATCCAGCTCCAGAAAGTCTGGATCAGATGAATCCAGCTCCAGAAAGTCTGGATCAGATGAATCCAGCTCCAGAAAGTCTGGATCAGATGAATCCAGCTTCGCAGCCTCTGTCCGCAGCCTCTGTGGTCCAGGAGCTCCTGTGAAGGGACTGACTCGTGCTGGAAAATGGATACACACAATAACTATATTATACAGTGAATTTGTTACAATAAATCAATACATAAAATACAATGAAGGCCATCCTCCCACATTATTGACTGACTGCTTTTGGACCAAACAAGTATACTATATTATTATTATTATATTATATTGCCATGGGATGTACAAGAATAGAAATAGTAGTTCTTTTACCTTTTTTGTGCACAGCAACTGCCTCTTGATGCACCACCTGTAAATAATATAAATTTGTAAATCACTATACCAGGAGAATATATACAAAAATAATATGTACAATGGTATGAGGAGGCATTATCTTTACCTCCATGCTCTGTCAACCCCAATGGGGGAGGGCTCTTTTATCAGAATCTGTGAATGAACACATTTAATTTAGTCAGAGCTATGACACTACAACAAGATGTTCAAGTAAGAAATAACTAAACATAAAAATAATAAATACAACAATGATAAAACACATAACTGGCATTTACTAAAGAAACAGTAAGATTTGAGCGCTGTGTTACTTTCAATCAATCAATCAATCAATCAAAGTTTATTTATAAAGCGCTTTTTCATACAACAGATGCAACACAAAGTGCTTTACAGTTTGGCTAAAAAACAATCCTGCCCATGCCCTCCCCCCGACCGCCCAACAGACCCTCCCCAGACCACAAGCAAACACCCCCCCCCCCACACACACGCGCACACACACACGCACCGATAAAACAATAAAACGACGATAAGAGACTTGGCAGGGTTCAGATGCAACCGGCTGAAGAAACGCCATCCAAGGAGCCGTCAGCGCCAGGAGCAGAGAGCCGCCCATAGCCAAAGGGGACAACACGGGACCCAGAGGGGACCCAAAACCGAGGCCCCGGGCCCCCACCTGGTCCAAGAGTCCGACCCCCACAGCCACAGCCAACCACCGCTCCCAGCGCAGAAGGCTCCTCCAGAGGAAACACTGGGGATACTTAAAAACAATACAATAAGTAAAACACTAAAATGTGAGCCTGAAAGGAACTATCACACAAGACATGAATAAAAGCAATAGCAATATAATAAATAATAAAGGATAAATAGAATATATAAAAATGGACTAATAAATATTAATCAAAAGCTAATCTAAAAAGGTGTGTCTTGAGCCTGGCTTTAAAAATATGAATGTTCTCTGCGACCCTGAGCTCCTCCGGCAGACTGTTCCAGAGACGGGGGCCGTAGTGTTGGAAAGACGCCTCACCGTGAGTGTTTTTGCAGATCTTTGCAGATCAGAGCAAGTTTCTGCGCCTTTCCCTCCTCTCAAGTTTGCATATTCTTGGCAATTTAGCAAGTTCTTACCTTCGACTCTTTGTGGAGCTTCTGGAGAGGATGCTCTGCTGGATTGAGACTGCAACCACTCATCCGATAAATCATGATCAGGTTCTCTGAACGAATCCGAGGCATCAGTAACAACAGCAGCTGATACGCTGCGAGAGGCGGAAGGTGTGTCCCTGCTCCGGGCTCTGGGATGCAGAGACGGACCTCCACCGGGGTCTCCACTCTCTCCCCTCTCGACCTCACTCACTGATCCGCGAGTCAATCTCTGAAGCAGTGTACACTGCTTATAACTATTCTTTTTCGCCATCACTCTTGCTATACTATCGCTAAACTAGATCGCTGATCCGTCTCAATGCTACGCTATCATCGCTCGCTCTGCTACAGCAGCACGCTCCTCCTCCTTCTCTCCAATGACTTATGACCTCTCCTGTGGTGCAATACTGCATCCTACTGGTGTTGATTTATCATTACAGGTACATTTGCACTATATATCAGTATTGTGGGTCATTCACAAGGTGCGCCAGACATTACTGTAGCCTCCCGTGTAATAACATGAAAAACTCGTCAAACTCGTCATGGGCAGTGAGCGTTACTATTCAACATGACGAGTTTTGTCGTCATGGGCAGTGAATGAGTTAATGATGACAGATTAGGTCCCTTTAATGATGACAGATTAGGTCCCTTTAATGATGACAGATTAGGTCCCTTTAATGATGACAGATTAGGACCCTTTAATGATGACAGATATGTGTGTGTTGTTGTGACGTCACATTCTTCTGGCTGTTTCCAGTGAGACATGGACAACTCTGTCACGCTGTGGCAGTTCCTGCTCCAGCTCCTCCTGGACTCCAGTAACGAGCACCTGATCTGTTGGACCAATGAGGAGGGAGAGTTCAAGCTGCTGCAGGCCGAGGAGGTGGCCCGGCTCTGGGGGGCGCGCAAGAACAAGCCCAACATGAACTACGACAAACTCAGCAGAGCGCTACGGTACTACTATGACAAGGTAAAGACCCGGACTCTGATTCTCACCCAGACCCAAACCCAGACCCAGACCCTGACCCTGACCAAGACACTGAAGAACGTTATGTGTTGCTATATAAATCCACCGTGTGAAAGTCAGAATTAGGGTCTAAAACTCTAATATATAATATATTTTTGAATCTCTGGCGGGTCGATGGGACCTGAGGATACACCAGGGGTTGGTGTCGGTCCGTCTTAAGCACATCCGTGATGACATACAACAGTAGAGGTGATGTCACGTCTATTGAAAGGGGCTGGTTCTCTGCTCCTCCACAGCCTCACGCAGACTCAGAGGTAAACACACAGCGTCAAAGCTAATTGTTCACCTTTCCCTGGAACCTTTGATCCCTATGATCAAAGGTACCAGAGCCCTGTGTCCTTGATCCAGAATCAGAGCCTAATGTTTTAGTTACAGGAGAATACAGAGTTAGGAACACTGTCCTTACAGATCTATGCTGCTCGTTAGCGTCTTTTAACACCATGTTTCCAGATCATCGTCTGAGTCCAGTCTGATGGTAACAGTCGTTTCTGGAACAGTCTTTGGTGAAAAGGTGATGAACACAGATGAACAGATTCGTAGCAGATTTCAGAAACGGATCCTGTGAATAAAGTTCAGCCACATTTGTCTTTGGGCCATACTCTGGACTCGGGACAGAGGCTGATTCACTGTTTTGATTTCTCACCTGTCAATCACCTCCTGGAGGCGGGTCCGCAGCTCGTACCACGTCACGAATTGAACCGAGGCGCTTCTGTGCCTCTGGAGAATGATCGAGAAAGATCGCTCTGACTAAAGCTTGAGATGAAAAAACTACTTTGGGCAAATATCTGTAATGATGTATAAAGCAGAGAAAAGTCAGAAGGTAAATAAGGGACCTTTTAAATAAGGAATTCAAAACTTTCTTTTTTTTGTTCAGGTTGTTAGTAGACCACAGTAGATGCCACTTTTGTATGTGTGTGTATGTATGTGTATATATATATATATATATATACACATACATACATACACACACACACACACACACACACACAGACAGACAGACAGACAGACACGTATACATATATATGTATACATATATATATATGTATGTATGTATATGTATAAACCAAATAAAAATAATAATAAATATTAATAAATACAATTGTTTTTTTCATTGGCTTAAAACTGTCTGTAACACTACTTTGATTTTAGTTTTCTTGATTTTTATCATATATATACATTAAGCATTTCTTTTATAGTTTTACAGCGACTGAAATCAGGTCCTGAAGCAGAAGGTCAACCATAAGGAACCATGAAACCACAGAAACAGATGAAATTGTGTTTAATAACAAAGATGGAGCTGGAGCCTCTTGCATGTTGTGGTGGACACACACATTATGACCTCACTCCTAAAAGTCATTTATTGTTAAGGATGATGTCTGGAAGAGAGCAAGAAGCCAACGGCAAGAAGTGCTGGAATAGGATCACTCTTTCCTCCACACATCATCAGTAAAACTAACCAGTCTCACGACGGTCTAACCCCGGCTCACGTTCCCTGTTAGTGGGTGAACAATCCAACGCTTCGTGAATTCTGCTTCACAATGACAGGAAGAGCCGACATCGAAGGATCAAAAAGCGACGTCGCTATGAACGCTTGGCCGCCACAAGCCCGTTATCCCTGTGCTAACTTTTCTGACACCTCCTGCTTAAAACCCAAAAAGTCAGAAGGATCGTGAGGCGCCGCTTTCACGGTCTGTCTTCATACTGAAAATCAAGATCAAGCGAGCTGAAAGCCCTAAAAGGTCAGAGTGAAATACAGAACCTCATGTGTCTCAGAGCCTCCTGCTGCTAATGCACAGATGGAAACATACTTCTATATACGTCTGCACTAGAATATACAGAATTTATACTTGCTTCTTTATAAGCAATTTATATATTTAAGAATGTATTTGCAATTTACAATAAAACAACATTGGAAAAACTATGCAAGACGACCCCAGTGTGCTCCAGACAGCACACATCTTGCCATGGCGCCATTATTACTTTTTTTATTAATTAATTTAATCTCAGAATATAGTTATTGTACTTTTATCTTGTGCAGTGACGCAGCTCCAGTCAAAACACATGAAACATATTTTTTCTGATGGTTCTTGTCTCTAGATCACACACACACACCACTTGTATTTAAACATTAGGAGGACAGGGACGAAAAACGGATCTCTCCATCTTTAAGGACAACTAAACACCAAATCAACTTTTTTTAAACTCAAAAACTGCATAAGTATATTTCTTATAGTGCTCATGTCCTTGTCATTTTAACATTTTAGTGCAAATTACATAAAATGTAACTTTTGAGCCTAAGACAATCTGGCGCCCTCTCTGCCTTTTCAGTGGCACTACATTTGAATTTGGTCCTGGCCTCTCATTGGCTCTGGAGTGATGTGTGACGTCACTCTGTGCCTGTGGTATAAAACCATCCCAGTCTCACACACACACCGGCAGCGAGTTGGAGTATTCTGGCGACATCTAGTGGTTTAAAATTAAATTACATGAGTTAACAGCCACTGCTGCTTAGAAAATCCTGCGGCTACGGTTCAGGTGTGTAGCTTTACAATTATCTCAGTGTGTAAACAAAGGTGGAAACTATTGGTTTAAGCACATTTACAACGCTCTGTTTTTGTTTGTCTGGGCTGTGATTGACAAGCGAGCTGTACACACTGTATGGAGTAACACTTGTGCTCTGTGGTTCCTCTGCATTAGGACCACGTTGGGATACCTGGCTCTGTCTCCAGTCTCTGGTCCTGCCTCTGATCCTGTCTCTGGTCCAGCAGGCGGGGACTGGTCTGGGAGCAGGGCAGCAGCCTCTGGTGGAGCATCAGGTAGAAGACGGCGATGGGCACCGGAAGCTGCACACACACACACACACACACACACCAGCAGATACACACACACACACATCATGGATCTATAATAATATCTGGAGAGGGTAAAACTATCTTATAGCTGTGCACCAATGGGCACAGGGGGCGCTGTGGTACTACAGACTAAATTTACGTTACCATTCACGTCAGCAGCTGTGATTGGTCAGAACGCTGCCCTCTGTGCACGTGCATGAGAGCCACACACATGAATTTGGCACAAAGCATCATGGGAGCTCATCCCTTACACAGAACCGGGAGGACCAGACGATGCCCAAATATGGGCGAGTTCTGCTAATCTGTGTGTGTCCCATGAACTACTGAGCACGTTCATTTGAATATGACGCCATCTTGGATCACCGGGACTCGACACACACACATGCACACACACACACACGCCAGAGAGAGAGAGACCAGAGACAGACCAGAGACAGACCAGAGACAGACCAGAGAGAGACCAGAGACAGACAAAAGAGAGACCAGAGAGAGACCAAAGAGACACCAGAGAGACACCAGAGAGAGACCAGACCAGAGGCAGAACAGAGGGAGACCAGAAAGCGACCAGAGAGGAACCAGAGACAGGCTAGAGAGAGACCAGAGAGAGACCAGAGAGAGATCAGAGCGAGTCCAGGCTTCACCAACTCTGCTGCTGCACATTAGTTACTTTTAGAATTATGTATTTACGTGCTGCTCCGACACCTGCATTTCTCCTTCAGGGATCTGTCTATCTGTCTGTCTATCTGTCTGTCTATTTGTCTATCTGTCTATCTGTCTCTCCCTGTGCAGGTTTTCGTTAATCTGTTACATACAGAGCCAGAGCAGGATGTGAACAGAACAGGGAGTGGTTACGATGACACATTTTCCAATCACAAACCTGCTCATTGTCAACATGAGGTGATTTTATTCCAGTCTGTCTTTAAGAAGGCGGACTCTGGGTGTGACCAACAATGGTTCCATGTCAGGTTTACCATCGCTGACTCTACACCCAACTCTACACCCGACTCTACACCCGACTCTACACCTGACTATACACCCGACTCTACACCTGACTCTACACCCGACTCTACACCTGACTCTACACCCGACTCTACACCTGACTATACACCCAACTCTACACCCGACTCTACACCCGACTCTACACCTGACTATACACCTGACTCTACACCCGACTCTACACCTGACTATACACCTGACTCTACACCCGACTCTACACCTGACTATACACCTGACTCTACACCCGACTCTACACCTGACTATACACCCAACTCTACACCCGACTCTACACCTGACTCTACACCCGACTCTACACCCGACTCTACACCCGACTCTACACCTGACTCTACACCTGACTCTACACCTGACTCTACACCCGACTCTACACCTGACTATACACCCAACTGTACACCCGACTCTACACCCGACTCTACACCTGACTATACACCTGACTCTACACCCGACTCTACACCTGACTCTACACCCGACTCTACACCTGACTATACACCCAACTCTACACCCGACTCTACACCTGACTCTACACCCGACTCTACACCCGACTCTACACCCGACTCTACACCCGACTCTACACCTGACTCTACACCCGACTCTACACCTGACTATACACCCAACTGTACACCCGACTCTACACCCGACTCTACACCTGACTATACACCTGACTCTACACCCGACTCTACACCCGACTCTACACCCGACTCTACACCTGACTATACACCTGACTCTACACCCGACTCTACACCTGACTATACACCCAACTCTACACCCGACTCTACACCTGACTCTACACCCGACTCTACACCCGACTCTACACCCGACTCTACACCTGACTCTACACCTGACTCTACACCTGACTCTACACCCGACTCTACACCTGACTATACACCCAACTGTACACCCGACTCTACACCCGACTCTACACCTGACTATACACCCGACTGTACACCCGACTCTACACCCGACTCTACACCTGACTATACACCTGACTCTACACCCGACTCTACACCCGACTCTACACCCGACTCTACACCTGACTATACACCTGACTCTACACCCGACTCTACACCTGACTATACACCCAACTCTACACCCGACTCTACACCTGACTCTACACCCGACTCTACACCCGACTCTACACCCGACTCTACACCTGACTCTACACCCGACTCTACACCTGACTCTACACCCGACTCTACACCTGACTATACACCCAACTGTACACCCGACTCTACACCCGACTCTACACCTGACTATACACCCAACTCTACACCCGACTCTACACCTGACTCTACACCCGACTCTACACCCGACCCGACTCTACACCTGACTCTACACCTGACTCTACACCTGACTCTACACCCGACTCTACACCCGACTCTACACCCGACTCTACACCCGACTCTACACCCGACTCTATAACTGACTCTACACCCGACTCTACGCCCGACTCTACGCCTGACTCTACGCCTGACTCTACACCCGACTCTACACCCGACTCTACACCTGACTCTACACCTGACTCTACACCTGACTCTACACCCGACTCTACACCCGACTCTACACCTGACTCTACACCCGACTCTACACCCGACTCTATAACTGACTCTACACCCGACTCTACACCTGACTCTACACCCGACTCTACACCTGACTCTACACCTGACTCTATAACTGACTCTACACCCGACCCTACACCCGACTCTACACCCGACTCTACACCCGACTCTACACCTGACTCTACACCTGACTCTACACCCGACACTACACCCGACTACATCCGACTCTACACCCGACTCTACACCTGACTCTATAACTGACTCTACACCCGACCCTACACCCGACTACATCCGACTCTACACCCGACTCTACACCCGACTCTACACCCGACTCTACACCTGACTCTACACCCGACTCTACACCTGAGTCTACACCTGAGTCTACACCCGACTCTACACCCGACTCTGCACCCGACTCTACACCCGACTCTGCACCCAACTCTACACCTGACTCTACACCTGACTCTACACCTGACTCTACACCCGACTCTACACCCGACTCTACACCCGACTCTACACCCGACTCTACACCCGACTCTACACCCGACTCTACACCTGACTCTACACCCGACTCTACACCTGACTCTACACCTGACTCTACACCAGACTCTACACCCGACTCTACACCCGACTCTACACCCGACTCTACACCCGACTCTACACCTGACTCTACACCTGACTCTACACCCGACTCTACACCCGACTCTACACCTCACTCTACACCTGACTCTGCACCTGACTCTATAACTGACTCTACACTCTACACCCGACTCTACACCCGACTCTACACCCGACTCTACACCTGACTCTACACCTGACTCTACACCCGACTCTACACCTGACTCTGCACCTGACTCTATAACTGACTCTACACTCTACACCCGACTCTACACCCGACTCTACACCTGACTCTACACCTGACTCTACACCTGACTCTACACCCGACTCTACACCCGACTCTACACCTGTCCATAACAACAACAACAACACTAGAATACAGTAGTGAAGACAAGTACAATACTAAAAACATAATAGAAGTAAATTAGGCAGACGCATTATTCAAAGACAAAGAAATCAAATGTCTGCTCAATAATGTTCTTAATGTAATACGGACTCCACCCAAATACCAGGGCTGTGTTTCCCAAGCTGTGGTGCAGGTCCACGCCCTTTAAGTGAAAATCAATCTCTACACAGTTATATATTAAGAGCAACTTAGGGCCTGAGATGTTGCTGCAGTTCAGTGTTTATGGTTTTACACTGGTCCAGACCAGATCAGAGAGGATTCATGGTTTTACACTGGTCCAGACCAGAGCAGAGAGGATTCATGGTTTTACACTGGTCCAGACCAGATCAGAGAGGATTCATGGTTTTACACTGGTCCAGACCAGAGCAGAGAGGATTCATGGTTTTACACTGGTCCAGACCAGAGCAGAGAGGATTCATGGTTTTACACTGGTCCAGATCAGAGAGGATTCATGGTTTTACACTGGTCCAGACCAGAGCAGAGAGGATTCATGGTCCGGACTAAGTGGATCAGGAGAAAATCCACTGGAGGAATGCTAACGTTTTGAAACATGCTAACAAACCAGAGCAGAGAAACTGGTCTGAAGCGGCTCCACCTCTGCTGCTGTGACCTGAAGGACTGTTGTATTTTCTTATTACTATTGCTATATTTTTAGAATGATCGATTCAATTGTTTGCTGCTACTAGTCGCCTTAATTTCTCCTACGAGGATTAATAAAGTATCGATCTAAATGATACTAAATATCAGTTTATGTTTATTTTATTTATTTATTTATTTAAAGGGACAATGCATATTAATGAACATGTAAATGTAAATATGCCAGAATTAGCCAATGGCTACTTTCCATCTGTAGTCCCTGGCAGATCAAGAAAATACAAAGACTAATATACGACATTTAAAAGACAAAAGATCATCACACAAATCATCCACACAATTAAACTGGAGACATAAAACAAAGATGTCAGTGTTATATTTTGAATCACATGTGGTTCTGTTGGATTCATATTTAGTCATATTGACAAACAGGGCGTGTGTAAGTTCATTGTAAACAGTCGCACCTTTCACAGACCGGGATCACACCGATTAAAGATTCATTAAAACACACAATAAAATATGACACACACACGTCAACTATAATGATGTACAAAAGCAGGTGTCGTCTTCCACACTGTAGAGCAAAAGTGAGAATGACGCGCACATCCAATTCTGAGCAGCGTGCTAGAGTTGAAAGTCGATGCACATATACGTCTGATGAAGGGTAGTGACCCGAAACGTCACAACAGTTTGTGGTGATAATTAAAATCACTTGGGAGCTAAAGCTGTGGAGAGTCTTCTCCATTTCTTTCATTCATCTTCCACACTGCACAGAGGCCTGGGGCGGGTTAGAAATCCTGCCGAGACACTTTACAGCCGCAGCTGCCCCACTGTGGCACCAGGTGTTCCCAGAGGTCTCCCATCACAGCACTAACCAGGCCGTGTCCTGCTTAGCTCCAGTCTTGGCTTTATAAATCTTTTGTTCTGGTCTGTAAAAGGTGCTATATAAATAAACATTACTTACTGAACTCCTGGATAATAAAATAATAAATATATATAATAAAAATATATAAGAATAAAAATAACGAATGTCCTTATTTCCAGTAAAGTCAATATTCTGAGAATCAGGAGCAAGCTGAACTCAAAGCAAATATAATCAGGTAAAAATAGACTCTCTGGTCTCTCTCTGGTCTCTCTCTAGTCTCTCTTTCTGGTCTCTCTCTGGTCTCTCTCTCTGGTCTCTCTCTAGTCTCTCTTTCTGGTCTCTCTCTGGTCTCTCTCTGGTCTCTCTCTCTGGTCTCTCTCTAGTCTCTCTTTCTGGTCGCTCTTTCTGGTCTCTCTCTCTGGTCTATCTCTGGTCTCACTCTGGTCTCTCTCTCTGGTCTCTCTCTCTCTCTGGTCTCTCTCTCTCTCTGGTCTCTCTCTGGTCTCTCTCTGGTCTCACTCTGGTCTCTCTCGCTAGTCTCTCTCTCTGGTCTCTCTCCCTCTGGTCTCTCTCTCTCTGGTCTCTCTCTAGTCTCTCTCTCTGGTCTCTCTTTCTGGTCTCTCTCTGGTCTATCTCTGTTCTCTCTCTCTGGTCTCTCTCTGGTCTCTCTCTGGTCTCTCTCTCTCTCTCTGGTCTCTCTCTGGTCTCTCTCTAGTCTCTCTGGTCTCTCTCTCTGGTCTCTCTCTCTCTGGTCTCTCTCTGTTCTCTCTCTGGTCTCTCTCTCTCTCTGGTCTCTCTCTGTTCTCTCTCTGGTCTCTCTCTGGTCTCACTCTGGTCTCTCTCTCTGGTCTCTCTCTCTCTCTGGTCTCTCTCTCTCTGGTCTCTCTCTAGTCTCTCTCTCTGGTCTCTCTTTCTGGTCTCTCTCTGGTCTATCTCTGTTCTCTTTCTGGTTTCTCTCTCTGGTCTCTCTCTGGTCTCTCTCTGGTCTCTCTCTCTGGTCTCTCTCTGGTCTCTCTCTCTGGTCTCTCTCTCTCTCTGGTCTCTCTCTCTCTGGTCTCTCTCTAGTCTCTCTCTCTGGTCTCTCTTTCTGGTCTCTCTCTGGTCTCTCTCTGGTCTCTCTTTCTGGTCTCTCTGGTCTTTCTCTCTCTGGTCTCTCTCTCTCTGGTCTCTCTCTCTGGTCTCTTGCTAGTCTCTTGTCTCTCTCTCTGGTCTCTCTCTCTGGTCTCTCTCTCTCTGGTCTCTCTCTGGTCTCTTAGTCTCTCTCTCTCTCTGGTCTCTCTCTCTGGTCTCTCTCTCTCTGGTCTCTCTCTCTCTGGTCTCTCTCTCTGGTCTCTTAGTCTCTCTCTCTCTCTTGTCTCTCTCTGTTCTCTCTCTAGTCTCTCTCTCTGGTCTCTCTGGTCTCTCTCCGGTCTCTCTCTGTTCTCTCTCTGGTCTCTCTCTCTGGTCTCTCTCTCTGGTCTCTCTCTCTGGTCTCTCTCTGGTCTCTCTCTGGTCGCTCTCTGGTCGCTCTCTGGTCTCACTCCGGTCTCTCTCTGGTCTCCCTCTGGTCTCCCTCTGGTCTCCCTCTGGTCTCTCTCTGGTCTCCCTCTGGTCTCTCTCTGGTCTCCCTCTGGTCTCACTCCGGTCTCTCTCTGGTCGCTCTCTGGTCTCACTCCGGTCTCTCTCTAGTCGCTCTCTGGTCTTCCTCTGGTCTCTCTCTGGTCTCTCGTCTGTCTCTTTCTGGTCTCTACAGAAATACATAGATAACCCACAACAGCTTCGGCACCTTTGCGCACAGAGAACTGCTTTTTTAATCTTCCCATTCTTCTGTGCTGCGGGTTAAAGCTTTTTAGCTGCAGTTGACGGCTCGTTCGCACGGTCAGAGCAGCGAGTGACGAGCTCACAGGTCTCTAAAGTTTAAATATAAGTGATGTGTGTGGAGCTGATGCCAAACATGTTCCATATGGTTTGACTGGAGCCGTGTATTTGCGAGGATCCTTTGGGCTCCGTGACACAGAGCAGCGCGACAGACCGGTATCTGTGTGTGTACATGTGTGTACGTGTGTATAGGTATGTGTGTATGCGTGTGTAGATGTAAGCTCCAATGTAGTTCTGACCCGCACCAGTCTGCAACTTTGGCGGACTAGTAACAGAGGGGAGAGATGATGCGTGTGGAGGGGGGGAATGTGTGTGCGTGCATTTGTGGCGCGTGCTGCATGAGAGTGGTCCAGAGTTTACTGATACATCGGCACACACAGCTTGAGACAGACCCGCTCGTCACACCGTGCGAATAGGGCTTAAAATATCTTTATGAAGAGATCTCCTCCCCCCCCTTTTCTATTTTTAACCAAGAGCTTTGACCGGTTAACGCTGTGACGGTCAACCACCGGTTAAACGGTCACCGATTTACATCCCTAGTTTGTATGTGTGACGTGCGTCTCTCTGCGCCAGTGGAATAAACCCATCAAACATTCTCACACGCTCCAGCAGCAGCTTGGAGTATTCTGGCGACATCTAGTGGATTAAAATGAAATTACATGAGTTTACCTTCACTGCTGCTGAGATAATTCTGTGGATCAGGTTCAGGTCCGTAGCTCGACCATTATCCTCGTGTGTAAAAAAGCTCGGGTCACGCCGCTACATCCTGTTGTTTTTGTCTAATAACTTCTCAAATGTTGACATTAAAGTGTGTGATTGACAGGACTCACGTTGATCAGGGCCATGATCCAGAAGGCGTAGGACACCTGTGTGAGCGCCACGCCCTGTGTGTGCAGAGGATACTCAGATGTGTTTGTGAGCGCGGCCCCGGGTCCCAGCAGTTCACCGCGAATGTCGTCCAGATGGAAACTGGAGTTGGCAGCTGTGGCGTTGGCCGTCAGGATACAGGCGTCGTCTGCAAGGAACGGATCAGCGACCAGCGGACTCACCAGCGCCCCCAGCCCGATGAAGAAGTGCAGCGCCTACACAGACAATACTGTTATGGTTTGGGTTTAGGTCTTCAACTAGATTCTCCAATGGGACGAAGTCATCTTTTTAAAAATTGCTAACAAATACAGTTTTGACTTATTTTCCATCACTTTTTGCAGTGTATACAGAGCTTTTCAGGACACCCAAGAACTCTTCACATCATTACTCATTCTCTCCAAACACAGCAGTGATAAAGTACTACTGTAGCCACACCTGCCCTGGGGCACACTGTGGCAACCAGTCTGTGCCATCGGCCCCTCCCACCACCACCAACCATTCACACACACACCAGACTCGTGCTAATGTGGGGGAAGTGTCTTGCCTGAGGACACAACCACAATTTGGCACTTTACAGCCGCAGCCGCCCCACTGTGGCACCTGCTGTTCCCAGAGGTCTCCCATCACAGCACTAACCAGGCCCTGCCCTGCTTAGCTTCAGCTGTTTCTGGGATCTGGTGTGGCTGCAGTATCTGAGTAACCTGTGTTGTTTTGATTAAAGTGTGAGATCCAAACACTTTTCTCTTATGTTTTCAGACTGTTACCTGGAGGAAGACCGGGGAGTCTTTCTGGTACAGAGCGACCAGCTGTCGGTTGGCCACGGTGTCGATCACGCCCATGGCCTTCCCAGCGATGGCCAACGCCACGGCGAGCCACGCCACATTGTAGCAGAGCGGGATCAGGGCGAATACTGCAGAGATAATGAGAGTGCACCCGAAGAGAGCGAGCAGCGACGACCACAGCCTGAAAACAACAAACACACAAAATATACATTATTTACACAATCTACACAATCTACACAATCTACACAATCTACACAATCTACAGAATCTACAGAATCTACAGAATCTACAGAATACACAATCTACACAATCTACAGAATCTACAGTGCAGTGATTCTCAACTTAGACTCAGAAAAACCACATTGTGCACTCTCTCTGGTCTCTCTCTGGTCTCTCTCTCTGACCTCTCTCTGGTCTCTCTCTCTGACCTCTCTCTGGTCTCTCTCTGGTCTCTCTCTGACCTCTCTCTGACCTCTCTCTGGTCTCTCTCTGGTCTCTCTCTGGTCTCTCTCTCTGACCTCTCTCTGGTCTCTCTCTCTGACCTCTCTCTGGTCTCTCTCTGGTCTCTCTCTGACCTCTCTCTGACCTCTCTCTGGTCTCTCTCTGACCTCTCTCTGGTCTCTCTCTGACCTCTCTCTGGTCTCTCTCTGACCTCTCTCTGGTCTCTCTGTGGTCTCTCTTTAGTCTCTCTCTTGTCTCTTTCTGGCCTCTCTCTGGCCTCTCTCTGGTCTCTCTCTGGCCTCTCTCTGGCCTCTCTCTGGTCTCTCTCTGGTCTCTCTCTGGTCTCTCTCTGGTCTCTCTCTGGTCTCTCTCTGGTCTCTCTCTGGTCTCTCTGTGGTCTCTCTCTGGTCTCTCTCTGGTCTCTCTCTGGTCTCTCTCTGGTCTCTCTCTGGTCTCTCTCTGGTCTCTCTCTGGTCTCTCTCTGGTCTCTCTCTGGTCTCTCTCTGGTCTCTCTCTGGTCTCTCTGTGGTCTCTCTCTGGTCTCTCTCTGGTCTCTCTCTGGTCTCTCTCTGGTCTCTCTCTGGTCTCTCTCTGGTCTCTCTCTGGTTTCTCTGTGGTCTCTCTCTGTGAACACACAAACCAGCTTTTTCTCAAGAACAGAGCTTTACAGACACTGAGCTCTGAGTGAGTCTGAGAAGAGTCCATAGAGTTCACCTGGAGTCAGGACCTGTGTCAGAGATGATCCACATTCAACCCAATGGTTCCTTTGTTTTTCATAAATGTCTCTGTGACAAACTCGTGGCTCGTATCTGTCCATCTGCTGCTGATTGTGATAATTCACTGTGAGCTCAATTATAAAAACAGGTTTTTCTGGATGTCATTTGTGACTCTTTGTCGTTAAAGCTAAAGTTATGCAGGCAATTTCACCAGGTCAAACGATCTATTCAGAAGAAGTAAGTGTCTATTTCAAACTTGTATTTTCCATATAGCATAACAAAACAAACCAGATACACAAGTTCCATTGGAAAAACACAAGATAAAATAACAATACCAAATGTAATCACAGTTAAATGTTTTAAATGTTTATTTTTATTAAGTTGTCTTTACATGAATTGTTCTATCACCGTCTGAATAAAAAAATAAAATAACAAAAATTAAAATAGATAAATAAGTCGATCAATCAACGTATATTTATGGCGCCTTTCCTGCTCAAGGAAACACAAAGCGCCTCACAACCCACATCATATCCAGCAAATCATAAACGTTAAAATCTACATATGCATAAAAAACACAAGAAATATTAAAAACAGAATAAAAACACAAGAAATATTAAAAACAGAATAAAAACACAAGTAATAAAAAACCTTAAAGCATTAAAAACACACAGGATTAAAATAATAAATAGCCACAATGCACTAAAAAGAGTAAAACAGAGTATATATAAAAATATATATTTATAAAAATAAGTAAGTAAATAAATTAATAAGTAAATAAATACATTAATTAATTAATTAATTAATTAATTAATAATAAATTCAACTTGATTTAAATGATTTAAAATAAGAACAAACCAGAAAGAAATCAAATGTAAGTGATGGAACGAACCTATATTTTTTGCTTATTCTCAACATTGTGTATCTTTCCTATTATTAAAAAACCCAAAAAACTTGAGACTAAAACGTTGTATCAGAAAATCCAGGATTGACGTTTGTTCTTTGCTCATATTTGAAAGTAAAATCCACTCACGGAGCCGCTCAGACCAAAGTATTTTACAGAATATCTTTCTCCTCGTGCAGTGTTTGCTCAATGTGTTTATCTCAGGATTCTTCCCGACCTTAGCCTTGTCCCCAAAGTGTTGCTTTAGATTCAGATACAACACATTATACAGTACAATTATCACATCCTGAAGTGAGGTTTAAGTCCGTAAAGACAGTTATTGTGTGTAAAATGTTGTAGTGGTTAAGCTAATCACTAAAAAAACTATCCGTATATATGAGTAATTATGGAAATATGCAAAATACTAAAGGTTTTATAGACCAAAATGACTTTATCAAACCTATATTTTCATCTCTCTGTGATAGTTTTTGTGTGTGAAGTTCTAAAGTGGCAAAGCTAATCACTGTTATGTGTCAAAATATTGGTACAGTGTCAGTATTTTGCCCATTTCTGTGTTTTATTTACTCATATATTTTCATTTAGCCGTCTTTGAGATGGTATGCTAGCATTTCTAGATCATGTGAACGACTCAGTGTAAACATTTCTTTAGTCTGTACTGAGATGTGATGAATTTAGGTCACGCTTTTTATTTATTCAAGTCCATTTTGTTGGTCTTAAAACTAGATTTGCCACTGACTCATGAGTACGGGACATTTGTAGACATTGGTCTGAATAATGGCTCCTGCTTTTGAACCACAATGAATGTTTCTCTCTGGTCTCTCTCTGGTCTCTCTCTCTGGTCTCTCTCTGGTCTCTCTCTGGTCTCTCTCTCTGGTCTCTCTCTGGTCTCTCTCTGGTCTCTCTCTGGTCTCTCTCTGGTCACTCTCTGGTCTCTCTCTGGTCTCTCTCTGGTCTCTCTCTCTGGTCTCTCTCTGGTCTCTCTCTGGTCTCTCTCTGGTCTCTCTCTGGTCACTCTCTCTGGTCTGCCTCTCTCTGGTCTCTCTCTCTGGTCTCTCTCTGGTCTCTCTCTCTGGTCACTCTCTCTGGTCTGCCTCTCTCTGGTCTCTCTCTGGTCTCTCTCTCTGGTCTCTCTCTGGTCTCTCTCTCTGGCCTCTCTCTGGTCTCTCTCTGGTCTCTCTCTGGTCTCTCTCTCTGGTCTCTCTCTGGTCTCTCTCTGGTCTCTCTCTGGTCACTCTCTCTGGTCTGCCTCTCTCTGGTCTCTCTCTCTGGTCTCTCTCTGGTCTCTCTCTCTGGTCACTCTCTCTGGTCTGCCTCTCTCTGGTCTCTCTCTGGTCTCTCTCTCTGGTCTCTCTCTGGTCTCTCTCTCTGGCCTCTCTCTGGTGTCTCTCTGGTCTCTCTCTCTGGTCTCTCTCTGGTCTCTCTCTCTGGTCTCTCTCTGGTCTCTCTCTCTGGTCTCTCTCTGGTCTCTCTCTCTGGTCTCTCTCTCTGGTCTCTCTCTGGTCACTCTCTCTGGTCTGCCTCTCTCTGGTCTCTCTCTGGTCTCTCTCTGGTCTCTCTCTCTGGCCTCTCTCTGGTCTCTCTCTGGTCTCTCTCTCTGGTCTCTCTCTGGTCTCTCTCTCTGGCCTCTCTCTGGCATAGACGTCGGAACTAGGGGTGCGGGGGGTGCGGCCGCACCCCCTCCGCGTGTGCCGGGAGCGAGAAGTTATCACTATCCTGCGTTCCTTGCAGCCCAAAACCCGCTCCATGCTGTCGGAGAAGCTTATGAAGCTCTGTCTGGCTAATATCTGTCGCAGCCTCTGAGCGCTCTTTCTCAGCCTTGCGCAGATTAGAGACCTGGCTACACCAGTGACGTGCGGTGGGGGATCAATCATGTGTTCATATGATTATACATCATATAAACCAACAGGACCTACAGGAACAGGAGCGGCTTATACACAATTTGTTTGGCTACAGCAGAATATGATTTAATGTCTGCATTGTTTTCTCATACAAAACGCAAACGTTTGTAAAAAGTACAAAGTGTGTTATGGGCCTTACCTTAGGTATTAATGAACAGCACAGACCACTTCAGTTAGGACCAGTTTCATGTTTAAGTCCAGATAATAGTTTGAGCACAGACATGTAATCCTCCATTTGGAAATAAGTTCAATGAGTTTTAAAAAGTAAAAAAAACGGGTGTCTCCTCCGTAAACTCCGAGTTTTGCTGCAGCCGACTCCCGGTTAAATCCAATTTCTAAATTCAACCTTACCCTTCACCTCCTTTTCTTATGATTCATATCATCATTGGAAGCAAAACATTACTCTAAGTGCATTTTAAATTATCTTAAAAATGTATTATAGGTATGTTAGCCAAACCTGTAGCTGCCCTTAGCAGAAGAAGAACAAGAAAGGAGCTTTCTGATGGAATTGGATGCAGCCAAAGTTTGGGCTCACAAGCGCCCCCCTGAGGCTTTCCTCACTTACAAGCTGTGGTTGAGCGCGATTAAGACCCATATTTGCTTCAAAAACACAATTTATGAGCCATCCTCTTAAATGTAAACATGTTGATTGTAAATTAAATATTTTTGGACTTTTTAAACTGTGATAAACAGAGAAAACAGTTTGATAGCACCTCACAGGACTCTCCCTGTGAGCTGTTGCTTTTTACGTCTCCCAAGAGAGGCTCGCCTCACAGCACCGCTCTGTCAAATCTGCGATTTCAAGGTATAAATAAATGAAATAAGACACAGCACAAATCACTTGATAAAGTGACCAAACATTATTGTATCCATTTTATTACTTTTCTTTCTATGATCTTAGGTGAGGGCCTTGCCTGCCTCATCTGACCGCACGTCACTGGGCTACACAACACAATGAAGCCACCGGAGAGACTGACGCATGAATGCGTATTGAAAAAAAAAAAGTTCAGTTTGATAAGTGACTCGCTTGATAAATATTGTTTATTTTGTTTTTCTTAACAATTAAGATGGTATGTTATTATCCAGTGTAATCCAAGTATGAGTCTCTCCCTCGACTCTCCCAACAAAAACCCGCCCCCCCTCTCAGAAAATAGTTCCGACGTCCATGCTCTCTGGTCTCTCTCTCTGGTCTCTCTCTCTGGTCTCTCTCTGGCCTCTCTCTGGTCTCTCTCTCTGGTCTCTCTCTCTGGTCTCTCGCTGGTCTCTCTCTCTCGTCTCTCTCTGGCCTCTCTTCAGTCAATTTCTGGTCTCTACAGAAATAGAATTGAATAGAATTGAATAGAACCAACTTTTACTTGAATTAATAAAGAACTACTTATATCCTCACCGTGTGTCCAGTGAGATTGACATACTTGAGTCTATAGATCTTAGAGAGATGTGGTAATTCTGAGACTCACGTGGTCTTGATGAGGCCCCCCAGCCCGCTGCCCAGGAGGATGAACAGCTGCTGGGAGAAGAACACCCATGTGATCTGCTGCAGAGTGGAGTGAGTCTGGCAGCGGAGGTCGAGGATGGTGGGCCCCAGGAACGCAATGCACAGACCGAAGCTGAAAAACACGCTCCAGTAGATGACGGTCTGTCTCCACTGGCTCCGGAACAGCGCCCAGACGCGCTGGTCCCACGGCGTCATAATGTCCTCTCCCCGGGGAGCTCCATCCACACCGCTGCGCTGCTCCGGACGAGGAGAAAGGAAGAATGAAGTTTTAAAAGTCAGAAGTCAGTCCTTGGGCTCGTAAATTCACCGCTCGTTATCTTGTTAGCGGACTGCGCTCTGATTGGCTGCTGCAGGAGCCAAGTCCCGCCCCTTATTTGCAGGTTTAGTCACCAGTCAAGTTTAGATAGTCTATGGTTTAGATACACAAGAACTAACTTTGTGTGTGTGTCTCTCTCTCCCTCTCTCTCTCCCTCTCTCTCTCTCTCTCTCTCTCTCACACACACACACACAGACATACACACACCCTTGGTTTGTTAAATATAAATGCAGGACAAGAGAGAAGTCCATAGAGTTTACATTTCCTTTGTCCCAACAGAAAGAGTGATGTGAAGTGACAACTTCCATTCCAAACATGTTATATTTTGCATACTGTGAGCTGATTGGCTGAGAGAGGGTTGTTTTTCACTGAAAACACGACAGAGGCTCAAATGAGAAAATTACAATCACGTGGAAACTAGTGAGAGTCATGAACTGGATTTTGTGACATAGTTATTATTGTGGTTTCAAGTTTAAGAACAACTATAATGTATTAAACAACAAACAATGTAAATATGTATGAAACCTTTAGCATTGTCTGCGAAATATCCCAACTTTAGAAGCTTAGCTAACCACAATGAAAGCCTGTTCTTTGACCAAACCATATTTACAGAGTTTACACAAAATACTGAGTTGACTTATAAGTTATTGGTGTAAATTCAACTTAAGATAATTCATGTAAGTCTATGCGTAACACTGAAATACAGGAACCTTTGTATTGGTTCTGTTTGGGTAGAAGTTTTAGGGGAATATTTAGTTGATACACCCTCTGATCCTGATCCACACGTTCTGACCTCTGACCTCGGGGAAAGTGGACAAAATGTTGGTTTCTTCGTGTAGGTCTTTGAGTGGATCATGTGAAAGTTTAAGTGGGATTTCCCTTTGGTTTAAAGCAGACAATGAGGTTCGTGTTTGGTCAATTTGATGTGTTTTTTTTGCTGCCAGTGTCTCGTGGGTAAAAGCAGCGTGACTGTATGCTAATGACGTATTGTTGAGTGACTGTCTACTTTATTTGAATGAATGTATTTATAGCATTTTCAAGAATAGTTTAATATCTACATTTATCAAACTAATGTAAGTTTGGAATTTCCTTCGTTCTGACTGCATTGTGTGATTCATGCAACTCCGGTGTAGAAATCTGTCGTTCTCAAAATCACCACCAGATGGCGCCACATAACAACACGTTTATGTTGTTATGCTAATCATTACCACATGGTTTGTTCGTAGGTTTTTTTTTAAGAGAGACATGGAAGAAAATAACCAGTCTTAAATACACTTTGAGGATTGTATATTGTCAGTATTTTTCTAACAACTTAGTTATCCACAAGCCGAAATAGCTCAGTTGGGAGAGCGTTAGACTGAAGATCTAAAGGTCCCTGGTTCGATCCCGGGTTTCGGCAGGGTGTGTTCGGCTTTTATTCAGAGATGTTGAAACTAGTTAGATAGTTTAGTTATCTAATTAATAAATATATCATTATATTGACGTTTTATGATCGTGCGCTTCAGCGGAAACATGACGCTTCATTCAAACCAACGTCATTCCGTCAAGAAACGCACTGTAGAAAAAAAATAAAAATAAAAACTACAACCATTTTTGTGTTCTTTAGAATATTCATTAGCGTTGATATTGATCCACTAAGTGTGTCATGTGGTGTCACAAGCCGAAATAGCTCAGTTGGGAGAGCGTTAGACTGAAGATCTAAAGGTCCCTGGTTCGATCCCGGGTTTCGGCAGAGTTGGTCATGAAAGAAAGTGATCTCTTTTAACACATTTTATTTACGCATAAATTCTAAAATAGCTATAGCAGTTACTTCACTGTGCACATTTGAAACCTCAGAGGTAATCACTTACTGATTTATCTGCAGATGTAAATATACTGCTGCTAATGTACAGGTGTAAACATACTGCTAATGTACAGATGTAAACATACAGCTGCTAATGTACAGATGTAAACATACAGCTGCTAATGTACAGATGTAAATATACTGCTGCTAATGTACAGATGTAAACATACTGCTGCTAATGTACAGATGCTAAACATACTGCTGCTAATGTACAGATGTAAATATACTGCTGCTAATGTACAGATGTAAACATACTGCTGCTAATGTACAGATGTAAACATACTGCTGCTAATGTACAGATGTAAACATACTGCTGCTAATGTACAGATGTAAACATACTGCTGCTAATGTACAGATGTAAATATACTGCTGCTAATGTACAGATGTAAACATACTGCTGCTAATGTACAGATGTAAACATACTGCTGCTAATGTACAGATGTAAATATACTGCTGCTAATGTACAGATGTAAACACACTGCTAATGTACAGATGTAAACATACTGCTGCTAATGTACAGATGCTAACATACTGCTGCTAATGTACAGATGTAAACATACTGCTGCTAATGTACAGATGTAAACATACTGCTGCTAATGTACAGATGTAAACATACTGCTGCTAATGTACAGATGTAAACATACTGCTGCTAATGTACAGATGTAAACATACTGCTGCTAATGTACAGTGTAAAACATACTGCTGCTAATGTACAGATGTAAACATACTGCTGCTAATGTACAGATGTAAACATACTGCTGCTAATGTACAGATGTAAACATACTGCTGCTAATGTACAGGTGTAAACATACTGCTAATGTACAGATGTAAACATACAGCTGCTAATGTACAGATGTAAACATACAGCTGCTAATGTACAGATGTAAATATACTGCTGCTAATGTACAGATGTAAACATACTGCTGCTAATGTACAGATGTAAACATACTGCTGCTAATGTACAGATGTAAATATACTGCTGCTAATGTACAGATGTAAACATACTGCTGCTAATGTACAGATGTGTAAACATACTGCTGCTAATGTACAGATGTAAATATACTGCTGCTAATGTACAGATGTAAACACACTGCTAATGTACAGATGTAAACATACTGCTGCTAATGTACAGATGCTAACATACTGCTGCTAATGTACAGATGTAAACATACTGCTGCTAATGTACAGATGTAAACATACTGCTGCTAATGTACAGATGTAAACATACTGCTGCTAATGTACAGATGTAAACATACTGCTGCTAATGTACAGATGTAAACATACTGCTGCTAATGTACAGATGTAAACATACTGCTGCTAATGTACAGATGTAAACATACTGCTGCTAATGTACAGATGTAAACATACTGCTGCTAATGTACAGATGTAAACATACTGCTGCTAATGTACAGATGTAAATATACTGCTGCTAATGTACAGATGTAAACATACTGCTGCTAATGTACAGATGTAAACATACTGCTGCTAATGTACAGATGTAAACATACTGCTGCTAATGTACAGATGCTGACATACTGCTGCTAATGTACAGATGTAAACATACTGCTGCTAATGTACAGATGTAAACATACTGCTGCTAATGTACAGATGTAAACATACTGCTGCTAATGTACAGATGTAAACATACTGCTAATGTACAGGTGTAAACATACTGCTGCTAATGTACAGATGCTAACATACTGCTGCTAATGTACAGATGTAAACATACTGCTGCTAATGTACAGATGTAAACATACTGCTGCTAATGTACAGATGTAAACATACTGCTGCTAATGTACAGATGTAAACATACTGCTGCTAATGTACAGATGTAAACATACTGCTGCTAATGTACAGATGTAAACATACTGCTGCTAATGTACAGATGTAAACATACTGCTGCTAATGTACAGATGTAAACATACTGCTAATGTACAGATGTAAACATACTGCTGCTAATGTACAGATGTAAACATACTGCTGCTAATGTACAGATGTAAACATACTGCTGCTAATGTACAGATGTAAACATACTGCTGCTAATGTACAGATGTAAACATACTGCTGCTAATGTACAGATGTAAACATACTGCTGCTAATGTACAGATGCTAACATACTGCTGCTAATGTACAGATGTAAACATACTGCTGCTAATGTACAGATGTAAACATACTGCTAATGTACAGATGTAAACATACTGCTGCTAATGTACAGATGTAAACATACTGCTGCTAATGTACAGATGTAAACATACTGCTGCTAATGTACAGATGCTAACATACTGCTGCTAATGTACAGATGCTAACATACTGCTGCTAATGTACAGATGTAAACATACTGCTGCTAATGTACAGGTGTAAACATACTGCTGCTAATGTACAGGTGTAAACATACTGCTGCTAATGTACAGATGTAAACATACTGCTGCTAATGTACAGATGTAAACATACTGCTGCTAATGTACAGATGTAAACATACTGCTGCTAATGTACAGATGTAAACATACTGCTGCTAATGTACAGATGTAAACATACTGCTGCTAATGTACAGATGCTAACATACAGCTGCTAATGTACAGATGCTAACATACTGCTGCTAATGTACAGATGTAAACATACTGCTGCTAATGTACAGATGTAAACATACTGCTGCTAATGTACAGATGCTAACATACTGCTGCTAATGTACAGATGTAAACATACTGCTGCTAATGTACAGATGTAAACATACTGCTGCTAATGTACAGATGTAAATATACTGCTGCTAATGTACAGATGTAAACATACTGCTGCTAATGTACAGATGTAAACATACTGCTGCTAATGTACAGATGTAAACATACTGCTGCTAATGTACAGATGCTAACATACTGCTGCTAATGTACAGATGTAAACATACAGCTGCTAATGTACAGATGTAAATATACTGCTGCTAATGTACAGATGTAAACATACTGCTGCTAATGTACAGATGTAAACATACTGCTGCTAATGTACAGATGCTAACATACTGCTGCTAATGTACAGATGTAAACATACTGCTGCTAATGTACAGATGTAAACATACTGCTGCTAATGTACAGATGTAAACATACTGCTGCTAATGTACAGATGTAAACATACTGCTGCTAATGTACAGATGTAAACATACTGCTGCTAATGTACAGATGTAAACATACTGCTGCTAATGTACAGATGTAAACATACTGCTGCTAATGTACAGATGTAAACATACTGCTGCTAATGTACAGGTGTAAACATACTGCTGCTAATGTACAGGTGTAAACATACTGCTGCTAATGTACAGATGTAAACATACAGCTGCTAATGTACAGATGTAAACATACTGCTGCTAATGTACAGATGCTAACATACTGCTGCTAATGTACAGATGTAAACATACTGCTGCTAATGTACAGATGTAAACATACTGCTGCTAATGTACAGATGTAAACATACTGCTGCTAATGTACAGATGTAAACATACTGCTGCTAATGTACAGGTGTAAACATACTGCTGCTAATGTACAGATGTAAACATACTGCTGCTAATGTACAGGTGTAAACATACTGCTGCTAATGTACAGATGCTAACATACTGCTGCTAATGTACAGATGTAAACATACAGCTGCTAATGTACAGATGTAAACATACTGCTGCTAATGTACAGATGTAAATATACTGCTGCTAATGTACAGATGCTAACATACTGCTGCTAATGTACAGATGTAAACATACAGCTGCTAATGTACAGGTGTAAACATACTGCTGCTAATGTACAGATGTAAACATACTGCTGCTAATGTACAGATGTAAACATACTGCTGCTAATGTACAGGTGTAAACATACTGCTGCTAATGTACAGATGCTAACATACTGCTGCTAATGTACAGATGTAAACATACAGCTGCTAATGTACAGGTGTAAACATACTGCTGCTAATGTACAGATGTAAACATACTGCTGCTAATGTACAGATGCTAACATACTGCTGCTAATGTACAGATGTAAACATACTGCTGCTAATGTACAGATGCTAAACATACTGCTGCTAATGTACAGGTGTAAACATACTGCTGCTAATGTACAGATGTAAACATACTGCTGCTAATGTACAGGTGTAAACATACTGCTGCTAATGTACAGATGTAAACATACTGCTGCTAATGTACAGATGTAAACATACTGCTGCTAATGTACAGATGTAAACATACTGCTAATGTACAGATGTAAACATACTGCTGCTAATGTACAGATGTAAACATACTGCTGCTAATGTACAGATGCTAACATACTGCTGCTAATGTACAGATGTAAACATACAGCTGCTAATGTACAGATGTAAACATACTGCTGCTAATGTACAGATGTAAACATACTGCTGCTAATGTACAGGTGTAAACATACTGCTGCTAATGTACAGGTGTAAACATACTGCTGCTAATGTACAGATGTAAACATACTGCTGCTAATGTACAGATGTAAACATAACTGCTGCTAATGTACAGATGTAACATACTGCTGCTAATGTACAGATGTAAACATACTGCTGCTAATGTACAGGTGTAAACATACTGCTGCTAATGTACAGATGCTAACATACTGCTGCTAATGTACAGATGTAAACATACTGCTGCTAATGTACAGATGTAAACATACTGCTGCTAATGTACAGATGTAAACATACTGCTGCTAATGTACAGATGTAAACATACTGCTGCTAATGTACAGATGTAAACATACTGCTGCTAATGTACAGATGTAAACATACTGCTGCTAATGTACAGATGCTAACATACTGCTGCTAATGTACAGATGTAAACATACAGCTGCTAATGTACAGATGTAAACATACTGCTGCTAATGTACAGATGTAAACATACTGCTGCTAATGTACAGACGTAAACATACTGCTGCTAATGTACAGGTGTAAACATACTGCTGCTAATGTACAGATGTAAACATACTGCTGCTAATGTACAGATGTAAACATACTGCTGCTAATGTACAGATGTAAACATACTGCTGCTAATGTACAGATGTAAACATACTGCTGCTAATGTACAGACGTAAACATACTGCTGCTAATGTACAGGTGTAAACATACTGCTGCTAATGTACAGATGTAAACATACTGCTGCTAATGTACAGATGCTAACATACTGCTGCTAATGTACAGATGTAAACATACTGCTGCTAATGTACAGATGTAAACATACTGCTGCTAATGTACAGATGCTAACATACTGCTGCTAATGTACAGATGTAAACATACTGCTGCTAATGTACAGATGTAAACATACTGCTGCTAATGTACAGGTGTAAACATACTGCTGCTAATGTACAGATGTAAACATACTGCTGCTAATGTACAGATGTAAACATACTGCTGCTAATGTACAGATGTAAACATACTGCTGCTAATGTACAGATGTAAACATACTGCTGCTAATGTACAGATGTAAACATACTGCTGCTAATGTACAGGTGTAAACATACTGCTGCTAATGTACAGATGTAAATATACTGCTGCTAATGTACAGATGTAAACATACTGCTGCTAATGTACAGATGTAAACATACTGCTGCTAATGTACAGATGCAAACACACTGCTGCTAATGTACAGATGTAAACATACTGCTGCTAATGTACAGATGTAAACATACTGCTGCTAATGTACAGATGTAAACATACTGCTGCTAATGTACAGACGTAAACATACATAGAGTATTGTTCACTAATCGTGTGCTCCTCATTCCTAATGTTCTGTGGGAAAATAAAGGATCTCTTAATTATTATGTTTTTCTAATCAATATCTATAATTTAATTGTAAGTTAAGATAAGATAGACTTTATTGATCTCACACAGGAGAAATGTACATGTCACGTCTGGGCCAAAGACAGAAGTGTGAAACATGTTAAAGGCAAAAAATATATATAGCCTGTTCTGGATATAATTATGTACAATATAAAGTGGCAATTAAAGAAACAGTGGCAATAGTTAAAGCAAAGGAAGGTTTCTCACCCATCATCTGTACTTCTTAGCAAGTTTTCCCGACGTTTCGTCCTCAATCCTATTCCCTGAAGAAGTCCTTAGGATTGAGGACGAAACGTCGGGAAAACTTGCTAAGAAGTACAGATGATGGTGAGAAACCTTCCTTTGCTTTGACTAATCCCTGTACGACTGAGGGCTTACACAAACAGTGACAATAGTAGTGTTTTGTCCTAGAGCAAGTGACTTAAAGTGACTTATTGTACAGTCTGACATATTGTACATAACATATCTTACACAAACGAGACAATATTTTCACTTTTTTAACATGTCTGCACATTTCCTGTCTTTTGCACATCCTGAGTGATCACATTTATGTAAGTATCCCCATTGTGAGATCAATAAAGTATATTTATCTTATATGTATATAAATTATGTGTACAGATCCATGATATGTATGTAGCGGTTTTTATGTATGTTTCTCTTTTCTCTCTCTCCATATATCTGCATTAAGTCAGTCGTCACATCGGCTGACGTGTACGTGTAACTAGGCCTGTATATTATAAAATGATCAGAAGGTGTCCCAACAGCGGGCGTGTCCTGCGCATGCGTCATAAGGCCTGACGGAGCTTGTTTTGGAGGAAGTGAAGCTTTAGCATTAGCATTAGCACATTAGCTCCAGAGAAAAAGCAAGCGTCAACCGAGACAGAGCGAAGAAGAGCCCGTATCTCCCCCGGATGCCACAGTGGACATCACCCAGGCTGTGTCAGTGTTAGTCACGGTCACTACGGTCAGCCCAGGGGTTAATGTTTTAGATTTAATTCGGATTGAACTCGCGCGCATATTGATATTTTTACGGGAGACGTTTGCGTGTAGCCCGTTAGCATTAGCCCGTTAGCATTAGCCCGTTAGCATTTAGCTCGTTAGCATTTAGCCCGTTAGCATTTAGCCCGTTAGCATTAGCCCGTTAGCATTTAGCCCGTTAGCATTTAGCCCGTTAGCATTAGCCCGTTAGCATTTAGCCCGTTAGCATTAGCCCGTTAGCATTTAGCCCGTTAGCATTTAGCCCGTTAGCATTTAGCCCGTTAGCATTAGCCCGTTAGCATTAGCCCGTTAGCATTAGCCCGTTAGCATTAGCCCGTTAGCATTTAGCCTGCGCTTAGCCAACGCGCAACAGAAGCAGAAGAACAGGCCAGCTTGATCGCTTTTACCTCAGGTTTGTCACTCAGGTTAGTATCTAAACATGTTTCTTACACACTATTATGGATGTTTTTTCCTGCTATTGGTCCGATCTTTTATTTGACCCTAAAAACTGTTAAAGCCAAATGGAATGTTAGCTTCAAACCACTTGTCACTTGTTTTCGTACACAGTGTTTGTTATTGTAAGTGTCATTACGGGGGATTTGGCAACACTGTGCTGCTATATCTGGAAATCTCACGTCTCAAGATAAATATATCATGAACTGAACATTCTGTGGCAGTTTCTCTGTTGTTTATGAACATGTAAATAATCTGACAGTTGTCGTATTTTAAGTTTTTCTTGGTTATCTTTTGGGTGAATTATTATTGATTTGGTGTCGAGGAGGAGATTTAACAATAAAAACAGTGTGATTTTCATGGTGCCAAGTCATGGTCCTGGTCCTGTGTGTTGGAACCATGTGACCAGTCCCTGACACAGTGTCCTGGTCCTGTGTGTTGGAACCATGTGACCAGTCCCTGACACATGGTCCTGGTCCTGGTATTGGAACCATGTGACCAGTCCCTGACACAGTGTCATGGTCCTGTGTGTTGGAACCATGTGACCAGTCCCTGACACATGGTCCTGGTCCTGGTATTGGAACCATGTGACCAGTCCCTGACACAGTGTCATGGTCCTGTGTGTTGGAACCATGTGACCAGTCCCTGACACAGTGTCCTGGTCCTGTGTGTTGGAACCATGTGACCAGTCCCTGACACATGGTCCTGGTCCTGGTATTGGAACCATGTGACCAGTCCCTGACACAGTGTCATGGGGCGCAGATTATGAGCACCACTCGCTGCGTTTAACATTTGGGAACTTTTTATTGTATTTTGGACAGTTGTTCTTTGTATATGTGGAAGTTTCTGTGTTGTATTTAAACAGACAAACGCTGTCTTTCAGTCTCATGTTTAAGTAATTCGTTATAAGCAGAAGTTTGATTTAAAGTGTCGTGTTGTGGACTTTGGTCGCAGCCGCACAGTGACAGGGTGTATTATTACAAGGCTCCTTCAGCTGTTTACAAACTCTCACTGAAGGTAAAATTCAAGTCTTAATTAGACAGAATCCATCCAGAAGGGAATCATTATTCATATAGATTTGTGTGTGTGTCTCTTTACTAATACAGTTATATAATGAGGATTTATGAACCAAAACCAGCTAAATACATGTTCACACACAGTGGTTGTGTTGGTGACCGTTTTTACTGATGCAGGAGGGTCTAAGGACAGTGATCCAGGACATTTATGAGCATTTATGGACATCGGTTATCCTCCCATGTGATTGTCTGGTCTATTGTGGGCGAATGGACAATTTTTTAAAGTCCTCCGAGGCGACTGCCCTTGTAGTTATCATATTTTATTGAATTTATTTCATTTTTTTTACCTATAAAGCGGCAAACTTGTTTATTTAAATGTATTACTTTCATCTCTGTGCAGCACTTTGGAATCTTGTTTTATATAATGTGCTATATATCTAAAGTGTATTGGAAGTACCCTATAATTTTCTTGTAAATTAGCACTTTATATTAAGTTAGCCGGATTTTAATGTATTATTGTTTTTTTTATGAATAAATACATGTATGTAACACCTAATCTTTTCACAGCCGTAGCACGATGACATCACGGAAGAAAGTACTACTTAAAGTCATAATTCTGGGAGATTCTGGGTGAGTGCGACAGTGTGTGGTTCATGGACTGCAGTGGTCTGTAACGTGTGGTTCCTTTAGAGTCGGGAAAACCTCTTTGATGAACCAGTACGTCAATAAGAAGTTCAGCAACCAGTACAAAGCCACAATAGGAGCGGATTTCTTGACAAAAGAAGTGATGGTGGATGACAGACTCGTCACGATGCAGGTAAACTCCAAATACTACACTTTAGATTTTATTATAGTGACAAATCTCAAAACACATCAACGATCATTTACTTTAGAGAAGTCAAACCCAGGTCACACTCACTATAGTTTTTAGTGGCCCCAAAAAGTATTTGATGGTTATGGGCTGCCATGGCATGTTATACATCATTTATTTTCACAGATAAACAACCAAAAGGATTAACCCAACACATTATTAGAATTACAATAGTTACACATAAAACGATTTTGGTTCAATCTAAAACAGGCATGTCCAAACTCAGGCCCGTGGGCCAATTGCGGTCCTCTATATAATTTCAGGCAGCCCTCTGCCATTGAAGCACTTTGACAGTGTCATCCAGCCAACTTCAGCTCCACCAATACAGTCATGCTGTACCTTAATGTAAATCTCAGACGCTCTGGAATCCAGCCGTTGACTTTATCGTCACAACATTCCAAATAAAATGCAGCTGTGAATCAAACAGGACGTATCATAACCCAAATTAAATTCCAGACTTGAACTTGAATCCAGTTTTTAAAATCCAGATTTCGGGCCTAGGTCAAGTGTTGCTAAAAAGTTTGGACTCCTCTGATCTGAACAATAAACACATTTTATTTTCAGAAAAATCAACCAGAAAATAACAGTGAAACTTCAGGTCACATTAAAGTCATGTCAAAATACCGTCATCGTGTAAAAATAAACATAAGAAAAGTAAATCCCTTCTGTTCTTTTGGCCCCAGACCAGAAGGAGTTTCACACCTCCGCTTTTGAGCCTTTACAATTATATTAACAACCCCCAACACTGTGTTTTTGATCTTGTTGAATATTGTTTCTTGTAGATCTGGGACACTGCCGGTCAGGAGAGGTTCCAGTCCCTCGGGGTTGCGTTCTATCGTGGAGCCGACTGCTGCGTCCTGGTGTTTGATGTGACCGCTCCCAACACCTTCAAGACTCTGGACTCATGGCGCGACGAGTTCTTAATCCAGGCCAGTCCACGAGACCCGGAGAACTTCCCCTTCGTGGTGCTGGGAAACAAGATCGACCTGGAGAACAGACAGGTGTGGACTACTTTTCTGTACTGTTAATTCTTGCCTGGTCTTACCACACAATCGTACGCATTTCATTTGGTGCTAAGGTCTGGATTGTCTCCATTGACTCCGTTAACAGGTGGGAGGGGCTAACTCCTTTTGTAGATTGAAACTATTGGATCTGAGTTTACTGTGACGTATGTAACGAGCCCGAGTGAGGGAGACATTTAGCATGTAGCCTAGCTTTAGCATTAGCCTAGCTTTAGCATGTAGCCTAGCTTTAGCCATCTCCTTTGCCGCTAACGGAGCCCGTGGAGAGTAGAGCCACAACATCTTTGCTTCAATGACAGTTACTAAACATTCCTCTTGCTCCGGCTTCAGTTTCTTGATATTTGGATAGAACCAGAACAGATTATTTTACTATCGCATTCTCCATGGACGGGAGTTTACACATGGTAAGACCAGATGTACATGTAGGACATGATCATGGACCAGAGTTTATGGTAAGACCAGGCTACATTATTTCTAATCTCAAGGCGACTTCAACAAACAACAACATAAATATTAGACGTAGTCAAAGTGCCGTTTTGTTTCAGGTCACGACAAAAAGAGCGCAGGCCTGGTGTCAAAGCAAGAACAACATTCCTTATTTTGAAACCAGTGCTAAAGAAGCTATCAACGTGGAGCAGGCCTTTCAGACGATCGCACGCAACGCTCTCAAGCAGGTAAAGATCCCATCAGACCTTTGAAGCTAAGCAGGTCAGGGCCTGGTTTGTACTGTGATGGGAGACCTCTGGGAACACCACAGTGGGGCGGCTGTAAAGTGCTAAACTGTGCTTGTGTCCTTAGGCAAGACACTTCCCCCACATTAGAATGAGTCTGGTGTGTGTGTGTGAATGGTTGGTGGTGGTGGGAGGGGCCGATGGCACAGACTGGTTGCCTTGCTTCTGTCAGTGTGCCCCAGGGCAGCTGTGGCTACAGTAGTTTATCACCACCGTGTTTGGAGAGAGTGAATAATTATGTGTAGTGTCTTTGAGTATCCTGAAAAGTGCAGTATGAAACTTTTTTAAATTATAATACAGAAGGAAGTCTAAAATCCTGAATATTCTAATGCATAAATATATGGTATCTGTACATTAGCAGCATGAGGCTCTGGTACACAGGGCTTCTATATTATACATTCTGACATAATTAAAGTTATCGTTGCACAGATGAGAGTAAAGTGACGATGTGTGTTTTGTCGCGTTGTCTTTGTGTAAATTCTAAAAGTTTTCTGCTGAACAAACTTTGCAGGAGACTGAAGTGGAGCTTTACAACCCCGACTTTCCGGAGCCGATCAAACTGGACAGAAACGACCGCGCAAAGCCGTCCTCGGAGTCCTGCAGCTGCTGAGGACTCTCCGTGTCGCCATGACGACCCTGTCTTTGCCTTCTCGATATTACCTTTCCCATGGCCCACTGTGTCCACCCGTAAAGCTCAACAATACAAGCGGCAGCGTCGAGAATAATACTCTAAACCTAAACACGTGCTGCGTCCACTCACACAGAACACATTTTGTAGAAAAAGGTCCCCTCCCTTTAGCCCAAAGACAAACGGAGGAGACAGAGCGGCGTCTGCTTGAAAGCTTTCGACTCTCCGCTGTTTCCCGTTCAAAGCAGCGGTGGTTCGGGCTCGGGTTCATGTTTTGCCTTTTTGGTTATTACTGCTTTTATGTTGACGCTCTATTATGGGGAATCTAAGCATAATCTAAACACCTCTTAACATGTATGTGCTTATAAGTAAATATACTTCTATAGTCATTTTAAAAAAAGATCATTTCTTTGGCCGTGGTGGTGGATTTCTTTGCTCTCTCACTGCTGGACGAACGGAGAAAACACTGCCGCCCCAATTATTATACTTATTTGTGTTTGTGGCTTAAATATATTTCACAATGAAGTACACTTTTACCAAACCTCACCCCCTTTTTAAACAGACCGGGACGATGGTGAGAAATTGGCTTCCGGTGCTGTCTGGCGATGGACACAGATGTACATCAGGGGTGTGTTTTTGGTCTTGCACTTTTATTTGGCACTCGACACTCTAAACTACAAGAGCAATCCTGAGCCTGAAAACATTTGTATGAAACCACCATCTCCCTGGAAGTGTAGCCTCAGTGAAATCAACCAACGAGGCAAGAAAATCCTTCTCCTCGAGTCACTGAGACTTGATTCTCGTTTGCAAACCTCTTAAATGATCAATATTTAGAGAAGTAAACAGCATTTTCTATATCTGTCTCTGCCATATGCTTGTGTTGGCAATGTAAGTGCTTGACTTTTCTTTCAATGTGTGTATTATGTTGATTTGGAAATACATTATAGATACCATAGAAACTGTAAAATAAACAAAATGGGGAAAATACGTCATGGCAGTCATCATTCTACTGTTGTTACGAAATACATAACATCTACTGGTTTGAAATGTCTGAGGGAGTAATAAAAGTCTGAAATGTGTAGGGTCAGGTTTATTAAAGAGTAAAAACATGAACAGTGTCTGGTGAATATACAGTAACAATAATACAATAATTATTTAATGTTATTGCACATTTGGTTTCTTGCTGGTCCCATGAAGCCACTGCTGTAGGAGCCCTGCACTTTTGGTTTCTGTTTTTGGTTTCTCCTGCTCTTGACTCTCAGCTTTCCTCTTCTGTTGGGCTCCACTCTTCAGCCAACCCATCATCATCTTGCTGCTGGCGGTCGGCTCTGGCTCCTACAGATCAGGATAGTTATGAGGAAGATGGAAGTAGAATAAGGTAATGTCGTCAGTACCTTCTTGCTCTGGAGAGACACGGGCTGGAGACACTCTGCTGTGTTGTTGCGGGAGTTATTGACGATGGAGGACACCGGGTGACAAGTCAAAATGTTTTTAGACTGAAGCAATTTAAGAGCGTCAGGGGATTTTATTTCTCCAAAATCAAGCCATTTTCTCACTTCTTCCTCCCCATCGAGGATAGCAGGCATTCTGAGAAAAGGTCAAAGTGAGAATGTGTTTACATACTGTAAAGTAGATTTTAAAGTCACGTCATCATTAAAGGGCCAAATCTGTTATAATAATAAACTGCTCTTTTACAATAACAGTAGTTCAGAGAATTTCTAAATTACTTTTCCAGCCTCTAAATCTTGTTATTGTTTTCATTTCGATGTCCCGCCCTCCACCGTTTCACCAATCAGAAAGTCTGTGATCCGGGCGCCAGAACTCACCGCGTGGAGCTAATCTCACTGGTAAAGTACCATGTGGCACAGAACTAAAAAAGGTCTCGTTATGATTCTCAAATCATTAACGACAAAACAAGGAATAAAACCAGGATTTCTATCTTTGTGAAAAAGGTGTTGGTTATAGATTTGTTGTCTATTCAGCTGTTATGGTCCCAGCTGGATTCGTTAAATCCATTCCAGCCTCTTCTCGTGTAGAGCGTACTCACCGGTCATGGATGTCTTGTAGATTGGGAGAAGCGTTCACTGTTATCACAGTGTAGGTATAAAGGGGTTCACCTCCCGGAGGCGTCCAGCAGTCGAAGAGACCCGCCATCGTCAGTAACCTCCAACCCGTCCACTCTGCGTCCTGCGACAGTTACACACCAGAAAACAAACACACAAACAGGTCACAGCTCCTCGTTGTTTAATCCTTACATATACACTGCCTTTCTCAGACCAGAGTCAAAGCAGTTTACTATTGTTATTTGTGGGCATTTGTCTCTCCCTCCACACAGAGGTGGGAGCAGGGCCAGTACAGGAGGCACAGACCTATTGTACATGTTTTTAGTGTAAGGGGAAACCGCAGCACCTGGAGGAAACCTACCCAGACACGGGGGGAACGTTGGTTCAATGTTGGTTCATTTACAAAGGCACACTAAGGTACCATGGCCCACAGGTTGAAAAACACTGGTCTAGTGGATCTATTAGAAACTCGTCCAAATCAAAGTTCAAAGTATATAGGAGGATTTTCTACTTCTGGGTGGATCATCAAGACTATTGGTCCTCCCAACTGTCAATCATTCTGGTGATCGTCCAATAAGAGCAGAGAGTTTTGTTCAAAAAGTGGAGAGGGCGGTTCTTTTCTAACATCCTTCTATAAACCTTTCAAACTGGACCAAAAACTGTGCCATTCTATTGAGGAGATAGTTACCGTAACAGCATCATAAACATCTGACCTGGTTTGAGATCACTTCCTCGGAACCTTCCTGACTTTGATCCTCAGTTTCTGTTTTAACTCCAGCGTCTTGACTCTGAGGGAAATAGATGAAAAATGGCTGCTTCTCTTTCGCCTGCCGCCTCCACTCATAAAAACCATCAGCGAGAATCACACAGCGCTGTCCCTTTAAGAGAGGGTCCTGTGGAGACAAAGCTCTGACTTCTCACTGATGTAACGACTTATTATATTATTATTATTTACCTTATACGTCTTCTTCTCCAGGATGTTCTCGCTGCGGCAGTTGTTGGTGCTGTACTGCATTTTTTTGGGGTCACTTTCTTTGAACCACGACGGCACGAGGCCCCATCGCATCGAGGTCAGGACACACTCATCCACTGGAGCGCTCTGGGACCAAAGAAACTTACAATATATAACAATGTACAGGATTCAACACAGAATGAAGAAGAGGAGGTGTATTATTATTATTATTATTTTAAAGATCAGGTCGAAGACAGAGGCAGCAGTGAACGCACTTGTAATGCCAGTTTATTTACCGGTTCTTCAAGATTCTTTTCTTACTTTTATCTATATATCTATATTTATTTTTTTCTGAATTGACTGTGTGTGTACTTAATGATATATATGGTTTGGGGTGTGTTGGGTGGTTGTGTTGTCGGGTCTAGGTCGTATGAGACAGTTTTTGACCAGAATGTAAAGTGTTTAAGTTGTATTTGTTTGTATGAAAAGCGCTTTATTAATAAAACTGAGTGAATAAAGACGACAAATCTTTTCCTATGATGAAATATTATGCTTAAGAACAGACACGTCATCACATGAGATAATGGCGCAGATGTTTAAGATATTGATACTAGTGTGAGTCAGAACAAAGACGTTCAGTTGATGAGATAATAATATTCAGTAGTAATACAGATATAACAGGCCTGAATATCCTTCATGTTTGTCCTAAACCCTAAACATGTCAGATTCCACAGGCAAAGGACGCCTGGACTGTGCAATGAAAGTGTTATTCATTGTATTGAATTGTTTTTTTGTTTTCTAAGGCTCTAAGGAAATTGGTGCTGATCCAGGACTGATCAATGGCTCTATGTGATTTTTTCTGTGTTTGAAATGTTTGATTCTCTGATCTGTGTTGGCAGATACAAGAATACATTGAATTGAATTGAGTCTATTAGGGCACAACCATAGACTTTAAATAACTGGGTTCAATAACCAAACTTTACAGCTCCTGGAGGGATGCAGAGGTGGCTCCTGGTCATTGGGATAATGGAGGTTTTTGTTATAATGATAATACATTTTATTTCTTAGACACCTTTCTTGACAAATTTCACACTTACATACGAGTAAAAATGTGCATTTTAAAAACAGCTACAATACAAAGTGAAAAGCACCATGGACAGAGGAGAGAGTGGTTATGGTGTTAGTGAGAAGGCTTAGGTCTAAACAGGTGAGTACATTACACTGTACCTTATCAAAATGCCTCTGGGACAGGAGCACGGGGCTGTTGGACTGGGGGCTCTTGTTGTAGGACGGTCTGTACTGGTCTGCATCTCCGTCCCTCCAGCGGGGCCGTCTCCTCTGTCCTCCCCGGTCCCTGTAGGTGCAGGCTCGGCTTATCTCATCGGGGGCCAGGGTGCAGGCGGTTCTTCCACACATGATCCACTCTGTATCAAAGAACACGGCCATTTTAATACATCCATCTGTGACCAATACATTTAGCTCTGACGACAATAACAGATGCGGAGGCCTGGGGTCGTGTCGCAGCAGCAGATGTTTTAATGTTGGTAAAAAAAGACACGACTTAAAATTTGCCGCATGCACATGGTTTAAACACTAGAACTCCCAGAGCAGTCAATATGACGGCTTTTTATTTTGGCAAGTGTAAGTGCTTTTGGTCTTCGTAACTTTGTGACATTTTCTGTATCTACATGCAGTTTAGTTTTAAATTATTATGTTTATGAAATTATCTCGATCCTAGCGCAGTCTCAGGTTGGAGCAAGTGCCGGTTACCATAGCAACACACCGTTTACCGTAAGGGCCGGTTACCATAGCAACACACTGTTTGTTTGTCGCAGTTAGCATTTAGTTTTGCTATATTTCTATTGCTATTAATACGTTTTAACAAAAAAGACTAACTTATTACTGGTTAATACAAGTGAAAACCTAAATCTCTTCTACTTCTTTAATTAGACTGGAAGCCGTCAGAATGACTGCTCTGGGAGTTGTGGTAGTTTCAGAAGATTCCACCCAGATAAATCAATGACCCGCTTCTAACATCTGCCTAAAAATATGAACCAAGCTTCATCTTCACAAAACCAAAACATAATGTTGTAAGTTCAGATTTATCCAGAGCAGCATTAAAGTGTCATAACAGAGTCATAGCTCATGGCCGTAAACATGCTAAAAACAAGCTAGCACCTAGCTAACCTGTCACGTGTTTGTTTTCTTACCGTACTTCTGCAGCTAAACGTGCTGTAAACGTGGTTGTTTTGAGGAGACTTCTGCAGTAACTCAGGGGCAGGTCCTGACTGTATGTGTGTGTTTATCTGTGTTTATCTGTGTTTATCTGTGTTTATCTGCGGGAGGAGCGTGGAGGAGCTGTGCCCGGACGCGAGTATTTTATTCGTAGGTAGGTTCTGCCACAGGGACCGATTTCAGCCGATTTCAGCCAATCAGAAAGCTAGTCTGAAGTGACGTGTTCAGCGCGCCGGTGATTAACAGCTGAAAACATAAAATGGACACTTTCAACATTGTTTGTTATTATTATTGTAAATTATATATACATGGTATATGTAATACAGTAAATAGAATTCGCATGTAAATTAATAAATGGTTTATTTTTAGGTTGTAATGTAATTCACCGTCGTCTGCCGGCGCGCTGAATACGTCACTTCAGACTAGCTTTCTGATTGGCTGAAATCGGTCCCTGTGGCAGAACCTACCTACGAATAAAATACTCGCTGCCCGGACACAGCGCAGGGCAGGCGGTCACGTGGCCTGATGACCAGCCATAACAACATGAGTGCTCTTTCCATCTAATCTTAGCAAAATACATTCATTAAACTAAATTAAGTTACAACATATCTTCCTTATCTGCGTCTAAAGCATCTGATCTGAAAACATATTTGGCTTCTATAGAAAAAGGTTAATAAAAACTAAGTAAATTAATAATAATAATAATAATTAGTTGATTAGCAGTCCCCTGTATGTGTATGTGTGTTGTTTTCTTTTTCATTTTCTTAATCCCATATCGGTATGTTCATGTGTCAGATGTTGTTGAATTCCTTTTCATGATCTTCTGTACGAGTGAGTTTGAATGAGTTTATTTACTGTATTTAACAAACATTTTAGACTGTTTAAGAGGGAGTTTATGAAGTACCTCATAAACTGTTGACTGGAGGCCATTTTTAACTTTGGACAATAATATCAAAACTAAATCATAGAATTTCAATGTTTGAGATTTCGGACTATTGATCTTTTATGAGACTTTTAAAGCTGAGATTGTTTTAACATTTAACCCATTACAGTGATTTCTGATTTGGCAAAACTATTCAACTGATGAGGATTAATTGTGACAGTTATAGTGGCATTGTTCACAAAGGGTTATGAATGTGTAGCAAGACATCAATGCTATTGATGCTATTTATAGATTAGAAAATATAATTGTAATGTAATTCTAAACATACACTGAAAACTTTAGATGTGTTCCTGTGCAGAAACCCACAGACAGACGTCTGCTTCAGCCTCTAAAGTTCACTCTGCAGAAATAACAGTGTAAAGAGACTTTGCAGGTAAATGGCCATAACTTTGCACACAGCATTTGAATTGTATTGAATTTGTGATAAGTTAAACAAAGTCTCTGCAGATAACAGGAAAGTCCCAGCTGATGTCAGAAATTATTAACTTTTTCTTGGAAAATGTAAGACTTTCATGACACTGGACCGTGTGGATGTAGAGACGAGAGAGACCTGTGTGTGAACTGTGCTATACACATAAACTTGCCTTGCCTATTACTATTACTATCGTTTAGCTGGTTATATTCTCTGCTGCTAAAACACTACCAACCATCTGTAAATGTTAAACCACATGACTATTGTGCACAACTATGACATGTATTTTACAACACAATTGGTATTTTGACAAATTGAGTTTGGATATTGTTTTTTAGTAGATAAGGACTTGAACATCATACTAATATCATGGAGGGAAATAATAATTGGCCAAAGTGTATGGATGGCTTAGGCCAGGCTAGATTCAACCTAGACTGGGTCAGGAACTGGGTAAGACTGATATAAAACATAAATAATGCAAGAACTAAAACTATATTTTTTACACATTAACATTTTAGAACAGATTCAATGATATGAGAATACATGCTACAGTATCACATGCCATGGTGGCCCACTATCATCAATGCTGAAAGTTACTGAGAGAATGATAATTGGAAATCCTTTCATGGGCTGGATTTGGCCCGCGGGCCTGAGTTTGCCATGCCGTCATCATGACGCCATCCTTGTGACTTATGTAGCCATGAGATGACATAGCGCCGTGTCTCCAGCAGGGGGCGGTGTCCTCCTCTTAAACTCAGGCGGAAGTGGGTCCTCACGTGACGTCACAGCTGCAGTCTGAAGCCGAACGTAGAAATGGCGGCGTCCGTGTGTCGCGTCGGGAGCACCGTGGGGCGATCCTTGTCCAAAGCCCGCAGTGTGAGTCTCTCCTCCTCCTCCTCTCCTCCTCCTCCTCTCCTCCACCTCCTCCTCCTCCTCCTCCTCCTTCACAGTAATATTAGTTTGTTCGGCTGTGGTTCTGATCCACAGTGAGCCGCTAACAGCCGCAGCTAGCCTCCCTCAACACAAGGTCAACTTTCATTCACCGCCGCAGAACTAAATACTGCTCTTTCTGACGCACTGATGGTTTGTTTTCACTAAATACGTGTTGATGGTTTTGTGTTCATGGTCTTCACAAGAGGAACAGCTGGTATCTTTATACATGTCCTCATTATCCCTCTTATGCTAACAGTTAGCCACTTAGCAGCAACAGACTATTGTTGGTTTGCTCTCAGAGCAGTCAATATGACTGCTTTATGTTTAGAAGTGTCATCACTCCGCGTGTGCACGGTTTGTCTCTAAAACTTTATTTAATCATAGTTTATTTCTATGTCATTGTGATGAGCAAGGCATGTGTCCTGCCCTGTGTGTGTATAACTTTACACTATGATCATATATAGATGATATATAATTATTTTTGAAGCTTTTTCAGATTAGAAGCAGCTACTTGTATATTTTGCGTGCTCCCTGTTTCTCTACTGTCCTGCATGTGCTTTGTAACATTGAAATATTCCTACTGCGGGACGAATAAAGGTTCTCTGATCTTAAATGCATATAGGAGGATTTTCTTACGGGTGGATCATCACGACTTTGATCCTCCCAGAGGCCGATCATTCTGGATATGCATTTACAATTTGGGAAAATTCTCCTATAGATTCAGATTCAGTTTATTTGCCATTTGCAGTTAAAAAAAACACATTGGAATACATTAGCAAAAGTCTCCAGTGTGCACAGACAAATACAGACATAAAACAACATTAAAAGACAAAAATAAAACAAATAAAACAGTAAACAAATGTCACTGTGAAATCGATCGACTAAAACAGTTTCAAAACAAGTGCAAATCATTAAAGTGCTCTGTTCACACTGATAACAGCCTGTGGATAAAAACTGTTAGCGTAACGAGATGTCCTGCATCTCAGAGAGCGATATCTTCTGCCAGAGGGAAGAAGCTGGAACATGGCTTTCCCAGGGTGGCCAGAAGAGTCATTAACAATCCTAAGAGCTTTGTTTAAAAGTCTGGATTTATAAAGAACCTCCAGAACAGGAAGCTCACAGCCCACGGTCCTCTTTGCAGAGCGGAGCACCTTGTTTAAAGCTCTCTTTTCTTTATCTGTGATGTTTCCAAACCACACAGACACAGAACCAACAAGTAAACTCTCAATGGTGCAGCCATAAAAGTTAAGCACAATCTTAGAGTTAGTGGTAAATTCTCTAAGTTTCCGCAGAAAGTAGAGACGCTGACGAGCTTTCTTAACGACTCGGTCAGTGTTTTTAACCCATTTCAGGTTAGACAGAGTTAAACCCAGAAACTTGCTCCTCTACGATCTGCACCTGGGAGTTGTCGATTACGACAGGCAAATGAGAACTATTGCGACTGAAGTCGTGACCAGTTCACATGTTTTGGATGCGTTCAACTGGAGGTTGTTAGTTTGACTCCACTGAACCACGTTTTGTATCTCTGCTCTATAAGAGGATTCATCAGTGTCACTGATGAGACCGATGATGGTGGTGTCATCAGCATATTTGATGATCAAGTTTGAGTCAAAGGAGGACACACAATCGTGAGTGTACAAAGTAAAAAGCATATTATACTATATACCTTTTTTTAAGGTTTGGAGTCGGAAAGAGGAGTGACAATTGTAGTCGTTTTAAGGCCTTAAAGTCAGTATTAAAACAACTGAAAAAAAAAAAAAAAAACATTTCTTGTGCTTTGAGAAGTGTTTGTCTCCGCTTTGTTATGCTGTCTGGAAAGCCTTCTGTTAGAAATGCTATTTACAATTATATTATGATTTAATAAACATCTCTTTGGTTCTGTGCAGCCCATCCTTCTGTCTCTGCGGCGGGGGCAGGCGTCTGTAAGTTATGCCCAGAGTCTGCTGGGGGCTCCTGAGACCAGACTGACCACGCTGGACAACGGTCTTCGGATCGCATCAGAGGACACGGGACATGCCACCTGCACTGTAAGAACCGAAGCAGAAGCCAGTCTGAGATAACTGTGTGTCAGGTCTGAGATAACTGTGTGTCAGGTCTGAGATAACTGTGTGTCAGGTCTGAGATAACTGTGTGTGTGTCAGGTCTGAGATAACTGTGTGTCAGGTCTGAGATAACTGTGTGTGTGTCAGGTCTGAGATAACTGTGTGTCAGGTCTGAGATAACTGTGTGTCAGGTCTGAGATAACTGTGTGTCAGGTCTGAGATAACTGTGTGTCAGGTCTGAGATAACTGTGTGTCAGGTCTGAGATAACTGTGTGTGTCAGGTCTGAGATAACTGTGTGTGTGTCAGGTCTGAGATAACTGTGTGTGTGTCAGGTCTGAGATAACTGTGTGTGTGTCAGGTCTGAGATAACTGTGTGTCAGGTCTGAGATAACTGTGTGTCAGGTCTGAGATAACTGTGTGTGTGTCAGGTCTGAGATAACTGTGTGTGTGTCAGGTCTGAGATAACTGTGTGTGTGTCAGGTCTGAGATAACTGTGTGTGTGTCAGGTCTGAGATAACTGTGTGTGTGTCAGGTCTGAGTAAAACTGTGTGTGTGTCAGGTCTGAGATAACTGTGTGTGTGTCAGGTCTGAGATAACTGTGTGTGTGTCAGGTCTGAGATAACTGTGTGTGTGTCAGGTCTGAGATAACTGTGTGTGTGTCAGGTCTGAGATAACTGTGTGTGTGTCAGGTCTGAGATAACTGTGTGTGTGTCAGGTCTGAGATAACTGTGTGTGTGTCAGGTCTGAGATAACTGTGTGTGTGTCAGGTCTGAGATAACTGTGTGTGTGTCAGGTCTGAGAGATAACTGTGTGTGTGTCAGGTCTGAGATAACTGTGTGTGTGTCAGGTCTGAGATAACTGTGTGTGTGTCAGGTCTGAGATAACTGTGTGTGTGTCAGGTCTGAGATAACTGTGTGTGTGTCAGGTCTGAGATAACTGTGTGTGTGTCAGGTCTGAGATAACTGTGTGTGTGTCAGGTCTGAGATACGTCAGGTCTGAGATAACTGTGTGTGTGTCAGGTCTGAGATAACTGTGTGTGTGTCAGGTCTGAGATAACTGTGTGTGTGTCAGGTCTGAGATAACTGTGTGTGTGTCAGGTCTGAGATAACTGTGTGTGTGTCAGGTCTGAGATAACTGTGTGTGTGTCAGGTCTGAGATAACTGTGTGTGTGTCAGGTCTGAGATAACTGTGTGTGTGTCAGGTCTGAGATAACTGTGTATGTGTGTGTCAGGTCTGAGATAACTGTGTGTGTGTCAGGTCTGAGATAACTGTGTGTGTCAGGTCTGAGATAACTGTGTGTGTGTCAGGTCTGAGATAACTGTGTGTGTGTCAGGTCTGAGATAACTGTGTGTGTCAGGTCTGAGATAACTGTGTGTGTGTCAGGTCTGAGATAACTGTGTGTGTGTCAGGTCTGAGATAACTGTGTGTGTGTCAGGTCTGAGATAACTGTGTGTGTGTCAGGTCTGAGATAACTGTGTGTGTGTCAGGTCTGAGATAACTGTGTGTGTCAGGTCTGAGATAACTGTGTGTGTGTCAGGTCTGAGATAACTGTGTGTGTGTCAGGTCTGAGATAACTGTGTGTGTGTCAGGTCTGAGATAACTGTGTGTGTGTCAGGTCTGAGATAACTGTGTGTGTGTCAGGTCTGAGATAACTGTGTGTGTGTCAGGTCTGAGATAACTGTGTGTGTGTCAGGTCTGAGATAACTGTGTGTGATAAGGTCTGAGATAACTGTGTGTGTGTCAGGTCTGAGATAACTGTGTGTGTGTCAGGTCTGAGATAACTGTGTGTGTGTCAGGTCTGAGATAACTGTGTGTGTGTCAGGTCTGAGATAACTGTGTGTGTGTCAGGTCTGAGATAACTGTGTGTGGTCTGAGTGTGTGTGTGTCAGGTCTGAGATAACTGTGTGTGTGTCAGGTCTGAGATAACTGTGTGTGTGTCAGGTCTGAGATAACTGTGTGTGTGTCAGGTCTGAGATAACTGTGTGTGTCAGGTCTGAGATAACTGGTGTGTGTCAGGTCTGAGATAACTGTGTGTGTGTCAGGTCTGAGATAACTGTGTGTGTGTCAGGTCTGAGATAACTGTGTGTGTGTCAGGTCTGAGATAACTGTGTGTGTGTCAGGTCTGAGATAACTGTGTGTGTGTCAGGTCTGAGATAACTGTGTGTGTGTCAGGTCTGAGATAACTGTGTGTGTGTCAGGTCTGAGATAACTGTGTGTGTGTCAGGTCTGAGATAACTGTGTGTGTGTCAGGTCTGAGATAACTGTGTGTGTGTCAGGTCTGAGATAACTGTGTGTGTGTCAGGTCTGAGATAACTGTGTGTGTGTCAGGTCTGAGATAACTGTGTGTGTGTCAGGTCTGAGATAACTGTGTGTGTGTCAGGTCTGAGATAACTGTGTGTGTGTCAGGTCTGAGATAACTGTGTGTGTGTCAGGTCTGAGATAACTGTGTGTGTGTCAGGTCTGAGATAACTGTGTGTGTGTCAGGTCTGAGATAACTGTGTGTGTGTCAGGTCTGAGATAACTGTGTGTGTGTCAGGTCTGAGATAACTGTGTGTGTGTCAGGTCTGAGATAACTGTGTGTGTGTCAGGTCTGAGATAACTGTGTGTGTGTCAGGTCTGAGATAACTGTGTGTGTGTCAGGTCTGAGATAACTGTGTGTGTGTCAGGTCTGAGATAACTGTGTGTGTGTCAGGTCTGAGATAACTGTGTGTGTGTCAGGTCTGAGATAACTGTGTGTGTGTCAGGTCTGAGATAACTGTGTGTGTGTCAGGTCTGAGATAACTGTGTGTGTGTCAGGTCTGAGATAACTGTGTGTGTGTCAGGTCTGAGATAACTGTGTGTGTGGTCAGGTCTGAGAGATAACTGTGTGTGTGTCAGGTCTGAGATAACTGTGTGTGTGTCAGGTCTGAGATAACTGTGTGTGTGTCAGGTCTGAGATAACTGTGTGTGTGTCAGGTCTGAGATAACTGTGTGTGTGTCAGGTCTGAGATAACTGTGTGTGTGTCAGGTCTGAGATAACTGTGTGTGTGTCAGGTCTGAGATAACTGTGTGTGTGTGTCAGGTCTGAGATAACTGTGTGTGTGTCAGGTCTGAGATAACTGTGTGTGTGTCAGGTCTGAGATAACTGTGTGTGTGTCAGGTCTGAGATAACTGTGTGTGTGTCAGGTCTGAGATAACTGTGTGTGTGTCAGGTCTGAGATAACTGTGTGTGTGTCAGGTCTGAGATAACTGTGTGTGTGTCAGGTCTGAGATAACTGTGTGTGTGTCAGGTCTGAGATAACTGTGTGTGTGTGTCAGGTCTGAGATAACTGTGTGTGTGTCAGGTCTGAGATAACTGTGTGTGTGTCAGGTCTGAGATAACTGTGTGTGTGTCAGGTCTGAGATAACTGTGTGTTCGTCTGAGATAACTGTGTGTGTGTCAGGTCTGAGATAACTGTGTGTGTGTCAGGTCTGAGATAACTGTGTGTGTGTCAGGTCTGAGATAACTGTGTGTGTGTCAGGTCTGAGATAACTGTGTGTGTGTCAGGTCTGAGATAACTGTGTGTGTGTCAGGTCTGAGATAACTGTGTGTGTGTCAGGTCTGAGATAACTGTGTGTGTGTCAGGTCTGAGATAACTGTGTGTGTGTCAGGTCTGAGATAACTGTGTGTGTGTCAGGTCTGAGGTTGAGATAACTGTGTGTGTGTCAGGTCTGAGATAACTGTGTGTGTGTCAGGTCTGAGATAACTGTGTGTGTGTCAGGTCTGAGATAACGTGTGTGTGTCAGGTCTGAGATAACTGTGTGTGTGTCAGGTCTGAGATAACTGTGTGTGTGTCAGGTCTGAGATAACTGTGTGTGTGTCAGGTCTGAGATAACTGTGTGTGTGTCAGGTCTGAGATAACTGTGTCTGTAACTGTGTGGAGGTCTGAGATAACTGTGTGTGTGTCAGGTCTGAGATAACTGTGTGTGTGTCAGGTCTGAGATAACTGTGTGTGTGTGTCAGGTCTGAGATAACTGTGTGTGTGTCAGGTCTGAGATAACTGTGTGTGTGTCAGGTCTGAGATAACTGTGTGTGTGTCAGGTCTGAGATAACTGTGTGTGTGTCAGGTCTGAGATAACTGTGTGTGTGTCAGGTCTGAGATAACTGTGTGGTGTCAGGTCTGAGATAACTGTGTGTGTGTCAGGTCTGAGATAACTGTGTGTGTGTCAGGTCTGAGATAACTGTGTGTGTGTCAGGTCTGAGATAACTGTGTGTGTGTCAGGTCTGAGATAACTGTGTGTGTGTCAGGTCTGAGATAACTGTGTGTGTGTCAGGTCTGAGATAACTGTATGTGTGTGTGTCAGGTCTGAGATAACTGTGTGTGTGTGTCAGGTCTGAGATAACTGTGTGTGTGTCAGGTCTGAGATAACTGTGTGTGTGTCAGGTCTGAGATAACTGTGTGTGTGTGTCAGGTCTGAGATAACTGTGTGTGTGTCAGGTCTGAGATAACTGTGTGTGTGTCAGGTCTGAGATAAACTGTGTGTGTGTGTCAGGTCTGAGATAACTGTGTGTGTGTCAGGTCTGAGATAACTGTGTGTGTGTCAGGTCTGAGATAACTGTGTGTGTGTCAGGTCTGAGATAACTGTGTGTGTGTCAGGTCTGAGATAACTGTGTGTGTGTCAGGTCTGAGATAACTGTGTGTGTGTCAGGTCTGAGATAACTGTGTGTGTGCAGGTCTGAGATAACTGTGTGTGTGTCAGGTCTGAGATAACTGTGTGTGTGTCAGGTCTGAGATAACTGTGTGTGTGTCAGGTCTGAGATAACTGTGTGTGTGTCAGGTCTGAGATAACTGTGTGTGTGTCAGGTCTGAGATAACTGTGTGTGTGTCAGGTCTGAGATAACTGTGTGTGTGTCAGGTCTGAGATAACTGTGTGTGTGTCAGGTCTGAGATAACTGTGTGTGTGTCAGGTCTGAGATAACTGTGTGTGTGTCAGGTCTGAGATAACTGTGTGTGTGTGTTCAGGTCTGAGATAACTGTGTGTGTGTCAGGTCTGAGATAACTGTGTGTGTGTCAGGTCTGAGATAACTGTGTGTGGTCAGTAGGTCTGAGGTCTGAGATAACTGTGTGTGTGTCAGGTCTGAGATAACTGTGTGTGTGTCAGGTCTGAGATAACTGTGTGTGTGTCAGGTCTGAGATAACTGTGTGTGTGTCAGGTCTGAGATAACTGTGTGTGTGTCAGGTCTGAGATAACTGTGTGTGTGTCAGGTCTGAGATAACTGTGTGTGTGTCAGGTCTGAGATAACTGTGTGTGTGTCAGGTCTGAGATAACTGTGTGTGTGTCAGGTCTGAGATAACTGTGTGTGTGTCAGGTCTGAGATAACTGTGTGTGTGTCAGGTCTGAGATAACTGTGTGTGTGTCAGGTCTGAGATAACTGTGTGTGTGTCAGGTCTGAGATAACTGTGTGTGTGTCAGGTCTGAGATAACTGTGTGTGTGTGTCAGGTCTGAGATAACTGTGTGTGTGTCAGGTCTGAGATAACTGTGTGTGTGTCAGGTCTGAGATAACTGTGTGTGTGTCAGGTCTGAGATAACTGTGTGTGTGTCAGGTCTGAGATAACTGTGTGTGTGTCAGGTCTGAGATAACTGTGTGTGTGTCAGGTCTGAGATAACTGTGTGTGTGTCAGGTCTGAGATAACTGTGTGTGTGTCAGGTCTGAGATAACTGTGTGTGTGTCAGGTCTGAGATAACTGTGTGTGTGTCAGGTCTGAGATAACTGTGTGTGTGTCAGGTCTGAGATAACTGTGTGTGTGTCAGGTCTGAGATAACTGTGTGTGTGTCAGGTCTGAGATAACTGTGTGTGTGTCAGGTCTGAGATAACTGTGTGTGTGTCAGGTCTGAGATAACTGTGTGTGTGTCAGGTCTGAGATAACTGTGTGTGTGTCAGGTCTGAGATAACTGTGTGTGTGTCAGGTCTGAGATAACTGTGTGTGTGTCAGGTCTGAGATAACTGTGTGTGTGTCAGGTCTGAGATAACTGTGTGTGTGTCAGGTCTGAGATAACTGTGTGTGTGTCAGGTCTGAGATAACTGTGTGTGTGTCAGGTCTGAGATAACTGTGTGTGTGTCAGGTCTGAGATAACTGTGTGTGTGTCAGGTCTGAGATAACTGTGTGTGTGTCAGGTCTGAGATAACTGTGTGTGTGTCAGGTCTGAGATAACTGTGTGTGTGTCAGGTCTGAGATAACTGTGTGTGTGTCAGGTCTGAGATAACTGTGTGTGTGTCAGGTCTGAGATAACTGTGTGTGTGTCAGGTCTGAGATAACTGTGTGTGTGTCAGGTCTGAGATAACTGTGTGTGTGTCAGGTCTGAGATAACTGTGTGTGTGTCAGGTCTGAGATAACTGTGTGTGTGTCAGGTCTGAGATAACTGTGTGTGTGTCAGGTCTGAGATAACTGTGTGTGTGTCAGGTCTGAGATAACTGTGTGTGTGTGTCAGGTCTGAGATAACTGTGTGTGTGTCAGGTCTGAGATAACTGTGTGTGTGTCAGGTCTGAGATAACTGTGTGTGTGTCAGGTCTGAGATAACTGTGTGTGTGTCAGGTCTGAGATAACTGTGTGTGTGTCAGGTCTGAGATAACTGTGTGTGTGTCAGGTCTGAGATAACTGTGTGTGTGTCAGGTCTGAGATAACTGTGTGTGTGTGTCAGGTCTGAGATAACTGTGTGTGTGTCAGGTCTGAGATAACTGTGTGTGTGTTCAGGTCTGAGATAACTGTGTGTGTGTCAGGTCTGAGATAACTGTGTGTGTGTCAGGTCTGAGATAACTGTGTGTGTGTCAGGTCTGAGATAACTGTGTGTGTGTCAGGTCTGAGATAACTGTGTGTGTGTCAGGTCTGAGATAACTGTGTGTGTGTCAGGTCTGAGATAACTGTGTGTGTGTCAGGTCTGAGATAACTGTGTGTGTGTCAGGTCTGAGATAACTGTGTGTGTGTCAGGTCTGAGATAACTGTGTGTGTGTCAGGTCTGAGATAACTGTGTGTGTGTCAGGTCTGAGATAACTGTGTGTGTGTCAGGTCTGAGATAACTGTGTGTGTGTCAGGTCTGAGATAACTGTGTGTGTGTCAGGTCTGAGATAACTGTGTGTGTGTCAGGTCTGAGATAACTGTGTGTGTGTCAGGTCTGAGATAAACTGTGTGTGTGTCAGGTCTGAGATAACTGTGTGTGTGTCAGGTCTGAGATAACTGTGTGTGTGTCAGGTCTGAGATAACTGTGTGTGTGTCAGGTCTGAGATAACTGTGTGTGTGTCAGGTCTGAGATAACTGTGTGTGTGTGTCAGGTCTGAGATAACTGTGTGTGTGTCAGGTCTGAGATAACTGTGTGTGTGTCAGGTCTGAGATAACTGTGTGTGTGTCAGGTCTGAGATAACTGTGTGTGTGTCAGGTCTGAGATAACTGTGTGTGTGTCAGGTCTGAGATAACTGTGTGTGTGTCAGGTCTGAGATAACTGTGTGTGTGTCAGGTCTGAGATAACTGTGTGTGTGTCAGGTCTGAGATAACTGTGTGTGTGTGCAGGTCTGAGATAACTGTGTGTGTGTCAGGTCTGAGATAACTGTGTGTGTGTCAGGTCTGAGATAACTGTGTGTGTGTGTCAGGTCTGAGATAACTGTGTGTGTGTGTCAGGTCTGAGATAACTGTGTGTGTGTCAGGTCTGAGATAACTGTGTGTGTGTCAGGTCTGAGATAACTGTGTGTGTCAGGTCTGAGATAACTGTGTGTGTCAGGTCTGAGATAACTGTGTGTGTGTGTCAGGTCTGAGATAACTGTGTGTGTGTCAGGTCTGAGATAACTGTGTGTGTGTGTGTCAGGTCTGAGATAACTGTGTGTGTGTCAGGTCTGAGATAACTGTGTGTGTGTGTCAGGTCTGAGCTAAGGTCTGAGATAACTGTGTGTGTGTCAGGTCTGAGATAACTGTGTGTGTGTCAGGTCTGAGATAACTGTGTGTGTGTCAGGTCTGAGATAACTGTGTGTGTGTCAGGTCTGAGATAACTGTGTGTGTGTCAGGTCTGAGATAACTGTGTGTGTGTCAGGTCTGAGATAACTGTGTGTGTGTCAGGTCTGAGATAACTGTGTGTGTGTCAGGTCTGAGATAACTGTGTGTGTGTCAGGTCTGAGATAACTGTGTGTGTGTCAGGTCTGAGATAACTGTGTGTGTGTCAGGTCTGAGATAACTGTGTGTGTGTCAGGTCTGAGATAACTGTGTGTGTGTCAGGTCTGAGATAACTGTGTGTGTGTCAGGTCTGAGATAACTGTGTGTGTGTCAGGTCTGAGATAACTGTGTGTGTGTCAGGTCTGAGATAACTGTGTGTGTGTCAGGTCTGAGATAACTGTGTGTGTGTCAGGTCTGAGATAACTGTGTGTGTGTCAGGTCTGAGATAACTGTGTGTGTGTCAGGTCTGAGATAACTGTGTGTGTGTCAGGTCTGAGATAACTGTGTGTGTGTACAGGTCTGAGATAACTGTGTGTGTGTCAGGTCTGAGATAACTGTGTGTGTGTCAGGTCTGAGATAACTGTGTGTGTGTCAGGTCTGAGATAACTGTGTGTGTGTCAGGTCTGAGATAACTGTGTGTGTGTCAGGTCTGAGATAACTGTGTGTGTGTCAGGTCTGAGATAACTGTGTGTGTGTCAGGTCTGAGATAACTGTGTGTGTGTCAGGTCTGAGATAACTGTGTGTGTGTCAGGTCGGGCTGTGGATCGGCGCCGGCAGTCGCTACGAAAGTGAACGGAACAACGGAGCGGGATTCTTCCTCGAGCACATGGCTTTCAAAGTAAATTACTGTTTTACTGTGATTTCTGGACTACACAACACTACTTTATTCTAGTTGTGAAAGTCAGATCTTGTCAAACCTCTGAAGTTAAGCAGGACAGAGCCTGGTCAGTGCTGTGATGGGAGACCTCTGGGATCAGCAGGTGCCACAGTGGGGCGGTTGTGACTATAAAGTGACACTTCCCGCACCTTAGAATGAGTCTGGTGTGTGTGTGAATGGTTGGTGGTGGTGGGAGGGGCCGATGGCACAGACTGGTTGCCTCGCTTCTGTCAGTGTGCCCCAGGGCAGCTGTGGCTACAGTAGTAGTTTATTGCCAGTGTTTGCAGTGTGCCATACACATTTTTTACTGTGAATATGATTAGTGTTAAAAAGTAGAAGAAACACATTTGGAGTATAAGTCTCAGAATGTTGTCTTTTGTTTGTTTTTTGTTGTTATATTTTTATACTCGGGAAATCAAATACTTACAATATTCTCACTATTAATGCCTATTTAATGTGTCTGAGACCCCTGACCCCTGGGTGAAGCTACCGTTAGTTTAAACAGTCTTTCTGCTCCATTACAACTTGAAATCCCGCGGCTTATAGTCAGGTGTTGCTTATATTTGGACAAAATAAATATTCTTTTAAAATGAAGGTGGTGCGACTTATTGACAAGTGCCATTTGGTCCAGAACGTGCCGTACTTCACCTGGTTTTATGGTGAACAGTAGTATCACTGTTTCTGTTGCAGGGAACCAAGAAGCACTCTCAGTCTGCGCTGGAGCAGAAGGTGGAGTCCATGGGAGCTCACCTCAGCGCCTACACCTCCAGAGAGCACACGGCGTACTACATGAAGACTCTGTCCAAAGACCTGCCTGTCGGTGAGACACAGAGCTGCACGTGCCTCAAACCACTCGTTATGGTCCGAGAGGTCTCTGATGGTGCTCTGCCCTGAGTCTGTTTACGCCTGTTTAATCCAGATACTTTATTGATCCCTGTGGGAGAAATGCAGGTGTTCAGTAGCTGCCCGAAACCCATCCAAACAAGCAAAACAAATTAGTGCATAATTCTAAAAGTAGCTAATAACACCTGAATTTCTCCTTCAGGGATCAATAAAGTATCTATACAACTATAGTAATAAAATTAAACTGCATTTATTTATTATTTGGTTGGGACAGCACATGTTCATGAATACATCACTCTGGATTGTAATCTTGTGCTAATTTCCATCCATTGTCCCACAGTCGCACACACACACTCATTCACCCTGAACTATGGCACATGTTTTTAGTGGTAGGGGAAACCGGAGTACCCGGAGGAAACCTACGCAGACACGAGTAGAAAATGCAAACTCAACTCCAAAATTCCGACTGGGATTTGAACCCAGAACCTTCTTGTTGAGAAGTGAGAGTGCTAACCACCAGAGGTGGGACAAAGTCATTGTTTAGCAAGTCACGAGTCAGTCTCAATTCATTGCCCTCAAGTCCCGAGTCAAGTCACGAGTCAAGACAGGCAAGTCCCGAGTCGAGTCCAAGTCAAAGGCCAACAAATCTCAAGTCAGTCCCAAGTCCTACGGTTTGACTTTCGAGTCCTCTCGAGTCTTTTTGACCGCGATTTGTTTCTTGTTGGTCTCCACGTACTTTTGTAGGCAAACAAAATAATGTTAGGAATCATTTTGCTGATGCATTCTCGTTGGTCTCTGACCCATGGACTAACAGTTTGTTCATGTCGTTGTCTGCTGATAAATCAAAACTATCTACGTGATCTAATTGGATGTTGTGCCAGATGCAGGCTCAGTTACACATGCACAGACCACACATAAAATCAGAGCAGTCCGTGTCAACATACTTTTTATCTTTGGGGTTTTTAATGGGAAGTAGCAAGTGCAGCATATATGAATATGAGTATTGGGCTAGGACCTGTATCTATATAATCAGTTTAATGTCCGTAGTGGTTATTGTTCCAAATGTCCTACTGTAGAATAGGGGTAGTATGAGGGGTCTAGGCTTTGGACCTGGGGCAGCTCGCCATCAACTGGACCAGCATTAGCAATATCTCATAATTACCAATATATCATTACATAATAAAATGTCTCATATAAATTAATTCAATCAGTCAAAGCACTGATTCTCATATCAATGAACCATAAACAATAGTGCAAATATTAATCTAGCTTAGTGCACATAATCAAAACAACTATCTAATGTATGCAAACTTTAGCAGGAGGAGCACAGCAAAAACATACTCATAATAATAGGCCTCGGCGCCCACACAGAAAAATATAAGAAAGAGCCAACAGAGCAGCGCAGGCTAGCGCTAGTTTGACTCACCAGTTCCTCTTTAAAACACGGCACACAGTGTGACAACTGCGTCGATTCAATTGTATGAGGCGCCTGTAGTGAAAGCATATCAATTACGGTTTGTAGAACAAAATATGACGTTAGGTCGCGATAAATACCTGCAGCTCGCTCATTTCCAGCTCCCCTAGACAACACACCCACCGGTGAATGCAGTCCGCTTGTTTAGGGAAGTGTTGCTGCGCGAACTGCGGGGAACTCACGTTCGAACTCTCTCGCGAGCGCTACAACTACCGCGAGGCTTTGTTTCTTCAGAGACGGCATAGATAGAAAGAGAGATGCGGAGAAAGGTAAAAATGGCCCGGGTTACGCAAGTCTTTACAAGTCAATTGGCGCAAGTCCAAGTGAAAGTCAGAGTCATTGATGTTAAAGTCCAAGTCGAGTTGCAAGTCTTTTTATATTTGGTCAAGTCGAGTCTAAAGTCATCAAAATCATGACTCGAGTCTGACTCGAGTCCAAGTCACATGACTCGAGTCCACACCTCTGCTAACCACTCAGCCACCGCGTCGCCTAGTTAGGTCATAGCAGCAGAGATGGTACAGCTGGTGATGAGCTGAGTGAAATTCTGAATGCTTTGTTTTTGGTTACAGTGCGTGTCTGTGACCCCCTGTCCCAAGCACATGTGTCCCATTGCAGACGATAAAGGAGTATCTTATCAAATACCAGTGTAATAATGTGTGTGTTGTTCCAGCGGTGGAGTTACTGGCTGACATCGTGCAGAGCTGCTCCCTGAACGAGGCCGACATCGAGCAGCAGAGGGCCACGGTGCTGCACGAGCTGGAGGAGGTGGAAGGAAACCTGCAGGAGGTGTGTCTGGACCTGCTCCACGCCACCGCCTTCCAGGGCACCCCCCTGGGACACAGCGTTCTGGGACCCACCAGCAACGCCAAGTACGTCTGTCTGTCTCTTTGTCTGTGTCTCTCTGTCTGTGTGTCTCTTTGTCTGTGTCTCTCTCTCTGTCTTTGTGTCCACCTCTGTCTGTCTTTCTGTCTCTCTATTTCTCTCGAACTGAACACCACCGTTTGGACAGCAGGGGGCAGTAATGCACCAAAAATGGAAAATCTCCACTTTGTTCATTTAAAAGGGAAAAGTGAAATAAGTGAGCTTTGACATAATGAGATTGCTGCAGAAGAAAATGTAAATCCATCAGCTCAAACATTCTTTTCAAGTTTGCATGAAAGATGTTCTTGGTACATTTACTAAACCACAATTGAGACTTAATTATTTTACCCTTGGCCCCTAATCAAATATAGTTGGCTGCCCGTGCTGTAGAGTAACTCTGATCCCAGACTGAGAGTTGTTGGTGTGATGTGTCCCTGGTCTCTCCACAGGAGCCTGACTCGCCAGGACCTGGTGGACTACATCAACAGTCATTACAAAGCTCCTCGCATGGTGCTGTCTGCGGCCGGAGGTGAGAGCTCTTTGTCTCTTTGTTAGAACTCATCCTGACGTACAGCGAGCGACGACAAAATGTAGCGTGAAACTGATGTTTCTATTGGTTCAGAATCCAAACAATCAAATCACTGAGGGACGTAAACACTTCTGGCTCTTTTTTGAGATTTCTGACTTTCCTGGTTGATGTCTTTGTGGTGGTTCAGGTGTTTTGGGGGATAGTGCTGCACAATGGAAACTAGCTTCTCGTCCATAGCTACAGAAAGCAGTGAGTTTCAACCAATAAGTGTTTAGGGGCGGGACCCTGCGGCCAAAAGTCACCCAAATAGTGACAAGGCAAGCAATTATTTTTTTTCAGGGGTCTGCTCACGTCAGGAAAGGCTGATTGATTAGAATGCGCGTGTTTCACTTTTTATCGTTCGCATCACTGTACGTCATTAAAAGTCAGGATGAGGTGTTGGAGTCCTGATGGCTCTGTCCTGACGCCTCTGTCCCGACGCCTCTGTCCTGATGGCTCTGTCCTGACGGCTCTGTCCCGACGCCTCTGTCCCGACGCCTCTGTCCCGACGCCTCTGTCCCGACGCCTCTGTCCCGACGCCTCTGTCCTGATGGCTCTGTCCTGACGGCTCTGTCCCGACGCCTCTGTCCCGACGCCTCTGTCCCGACGCCTCTGTCCCGACGCCTCTGTCCCGACGCCTCTGTCCCGACGCCTCTGTCCCGACGCCTCTGTCCCGACGCCTCTGTCCCGACGCCTCTGTCCCGACGCCTCTGTCCCGACGCCTCTGTCCCGACGCCTCTGTCCCGACGCCTCTGTCCCGACGCCTCTGTCCCGACGCCTCTGTCCCGACGCCTCTGTCCCGACGCCTCTGTCCCGACGCCTCTGTCCCGACGCCTCTGTCCCGACGCCTCTGTCCCGAGGGCTCTGTCCCGAGGGCTCTGTCCCGAGGGCTCTGTCCCGAGGGCTCTGTCCCGACGCCTCTGTCCCGACGCCTCTGTCCCGACGCCTCTGTCCCGACGCCTCTGTCCCGACGCCTCTGTCCTGACGCCTCTGTCCTGATGTGGTTTGCAGGAGTGAACCACGAGGAGCTGGTGGGACTCGCCAACGCTCACTTAAGTGGAGTGTCGTTTGAATACGAAGGTGACGCGGCCCCCGTCCTGTCGCCCTGCAGGTTCACAGGCAGCGAGGTACCTCCAGCTCTGCTACTCCTGTAGTCGCCCCAGTAGCTCACTGCTTACTACCAGGTAGCTCCCAAATGATTTAGAGACGGGAGAGAGACGGGAGAGACGGGAAAGGGAGAGATGGGGGAGAGAGACTGGAGAGGGGCGGAGAGACTGGAGAGAGACGGGAAAGGGAGAGATGGGGGAGAGACTGGAGAGGGGGAGAGATGAGGAGAGAGACGGGAGAGAGCGAGACGGGGGAGGGGATTATTAAAGTGCTTTGTTAGCATGTTAGCATATCCAGATGTCCTGCATCTCAGTGAACAATATCTTCTGCCAGAGGGAAGAAGCTGGAACATTGTTTTTCCAGGGGCCAGTAGAGTCAGTGATTATTCTAAGAGCTGTATTCATAAAGGACCTCCAGAACAGACCGCAGAGTGGAGCACCTTGTTTAAATGCCCGTTACAGATTCTGTAAACTAAAACAGAGACATTTTGCCCTGACTTTCTTGCCCAGATTCTCATGCGCGACGACGCTCTTCCTTTGGCTCATATTGCGATCGCGGTGGAAGGAGCCAGTGCCACCAGCCCGGACATCGTGCCGCTGATGGTGGCCAACGCCATCATCGGCAGCTATGACATCACTTACGGCGGCGGAAAGGTTTGTATTCTTCTGGATTCTTCTCGGCCTCCTGTTGGTATCCCCTTTAAGCTTTGCCCCCTGGAGGCTCCTGATGCCTTTAGAGGCCATGACCAAAGGGTAGATCATGTTCTCTCCTCAACCTGAGTCTGTGGTTACAACTGACTCTGGACCTGAAGAGAGGAACACTGCCAAACTTTGATACTTTCAAGTCATAAAGATGAAGTTCCCAAAGTATAACATTGTATTATTAGGATTATGTGATCGGTTTATGTCTTGGTCCAAAGGGTTGGTCCCAAACTATGGAATATTGGCTTCTGTTCTTTAGACTGGACTTTAAACCGTACAATGAAAGAGCTGGGCCAGGATCAGGGTCAAACTGGTTCCTCAAAGGTGGCTGCTGTGGCTGCAGGTCTTCATTCCAACAAAGCAGGAGCACACAGACTCTACCAACTCCCCCACGGGGCTTTCAGACCGCCAACGCTGAGACGCTGAAGCCCCGCCCACCAGACGCGCATTCTCTAGTTTTCAGACGCAGAGGACTTCACACCAGAACGTCCTGACGCGAGCCGGAAGTACCGGAAGTAGCCGGCTCTGATGCTAACAGAGCTATGCTAGCGGCTTCTTGCGTACAGATCTTCTCCAATATGCAGCTTTGCAGCGTGTCTTTGAACAGAGACTTTCCACGGGCTTTATATAACAGTAGTATGTGTTCACAGAGGTGACTTTATATAACAGCAGTATGTGTTCACGGTGACTTTATATAACAGCAGTATGTGTTCACGGAGGTGACTTTATATAACAGCAGTATGTGTTCACGGAGGTGACTTTATATAACAGCAGTATGTGTTCACGGTAGGGATGTAAAAAACTATGAATTTTCATGACCGACCACCGAGCCTCATTAACCGGTTGAAACCGGTTAACCGCGTAGTTTAAAATAGTCCACGTTCTTTGAAATAACAGCCATTTCGAGCCGCGTACTTTTCATAAGTGCAGCTCTGCGTTCTACTGGATCAGAGCCGAGACAGCGGCGCCCAAACCCGCAACAGCTCCGGCACCTTTGCGCACAGAGAACTGCTGTTTTAATCTTCCCATTCTGCTGTGCTGCGGGTTAATACCAAAACTTTCTAGCAGCAAACGACGGCTCGTTCACATGGTCAGAGCAGCGAGTGACGAGCCGCGTCTCACAGGTCTTTGCTAAAGTTTAAAAACAAGTGATGTGTGTGGAGCTGATCCCGAGGACCATAAACACAAACATGTTCCATGTGGTTGGACTGGAGCCGCGTATTTGCGCGAATCCTTTGGGCTCCGTGACACAGAGGAGCGCGACAGACCGGTATGTGTGTGTGTACGTGTGTGTGTATGTGTGTGTGTATGTATGTGTGTGTGTGTGTGTGTGAGTGTGTGTGTGTGCATATGTGGCTCGTGCGGCGTGAGAGTCGTCCCGGAGTTTATAATACATGGGCGCACACAGCTAGATACAGACCCGCTCGTCACATCGTGCAAATAGGGCTTAAAATAGCGTTATTAAGAGACCTCCCCTTTTTCTCTTTTTCTCTTTTTTAACCGACAGCTTTGACCGGTTAACGCTGTGACGGTCAACCACCGGTTAAACGGTCGCCGATTTACATCCCTAGTTCACGGTGACTTTATATAACAGCAGTATGTGTTCACGGTGACTTTATATAACAGCAGTATGTGTTCACGGTGACTTTATATAACAGCAGTATGTGTTCACAGAGGTGACTTTATATAACAGCAGTATGTGTTCACGGAGGTGACTTTATATAACAGCAGTATGTGTTCACGGAGGTGACTTTATATAACAGCAGTATGTGTTCACGGAGGTGACTTTATATAACAGCAGTATGTGTTCACGGAGGTGACTTTATATAACAGCAGTATGTGTTCACGGAGGTGACTTTATATAACAGCAGTATGTGTTCACGGTGACTTTATATAACAGCAGTATGTGTTCACGAAGGTGACTTTATATAACAGCAGTATGTGTTCATGGAGGTGACTTTATATAACAGCAGTATGTGTTCACGGAGGTGACTTTATATAACAGCAGTATGTGTTCACGGAGGTGACTTTATATAACAGCAGTATGTGTTCACGGAGGTGACTTTATATAACAGTAGTATGTGTTCACGGAGGTGACTTTATATAACAGCAGTATGTGTTCATGGAGGTGACTTTATATAACAGCAGTATGTGTTCACGGAGGTGACTTTATATAACAGCAGTATGTGTTCACGGAGGTGACTTTATATAACAGCAGTATGTGTTCACGGAGGTGACTTTATATAACAGCAGTATGTGTTCACGGAGGTGACTTTATATAACAGCAGTATGTGTTCATGGAGGTGACTTTATATAACAGCAGTATGTGTTCATGGAGGTGACTTTATACAACAGCAGTATGTGTTCATGGAGGTGCGTCATACGTTTTTTCATATTATTAAACAGTATTTCTGCATCAGTGAACACACTCGAAGCAGTTGCATAAAGTCACAGGAGCATGACAACACATATTTTCACAAGCACAGAGTCCCCCATTGTCAGCCCTGGTTTGAGTTCTGGTGAAGTCTGGTGTGGGTCCTGTTTTGGCTGTTTACAGTATTTTTTTATCGCACGAACGTACCAAGGAAAGGATGAGCAGAATCCATCTCCTGTGGGATTTTTTGCTCCTGCTCTTCCCCAAGTCTGTGCGTCTCGACTGAACAGTTTGTTCGTGCCGAGAGGTCCGTGCGTCATCTTAGACTTTGCATTGGAACCCGACGCAGCATGATCCAGTCTGAAAGCACCATCGGAGTCACGATGATTTTTTTTCCTTGACCCAGAATTGTTGACGATAAACCACAATCTTGCGATACATTTTTGAATGCCTATTTTTAGTAAGTAATGTAAGTAATTTGTAGGTTATTTCCACTTAATTAATGACAAACTCTTAAAAAAATGGGAAATGAAAAGACCTGAGACCTTTAACACTGTTCTGGAACTGGAAGACGTTTTTAACAAACTCAGATGACCAAAAATAGTCTCAGAAAACAAAATAAGTTGCAACAACAGACTCTTTGATGCGACTGTGGTGTGCTCCTGCTTGTTTGGAATGAAAACCTACAGCCGCACAGCCTCTTTGAGAACCGGTTTGACACTTCTGATCTCAGCCTCAAAAAACAGTCCAAAACAAAACTTTATGACAAGGATCAGAGGGCTCTGTATTTTCTCCATGAATGAGAACATTTATTCAAATAAACACGATATAAGTAGCTGCAATGCTTTTTAACTGCTGTAAAGGTGTCGTAAAGAAAGTAAATATCAATATATCTAATGTTATCCCAGATATGAATGTTATTGAAGTGGATAAAGTAACATTCATTGGACATTTTGAAACTCCAGTATTTACCATTTCCAGACGAGATGACTTGTACAGGCTCGGTAGTTCTCCTTGTACAGTCTGACGGGGGGTGGATCCGTCTGTCCCTGGAGCTGCCCGGTCATGTGACAGTTGTGTGTGTTGTGCAGAACCTGACCAGCCGCCTCGCTCGCCTCTCTGTGGAGGAGAAACTGTGCCACAGCTTCCAGGCCTTCCACTCGTCCTACAGCGACACCGGCCTCCTCGGAATCTACTTTGTCACCGACAAACACTGCATCGAAGACATGATGCACTGGGCTCAGAACGCCTGGTCAGTACCATCAGAATCATATCATATGTAATGTAATATAAGAATCAGAATCATGATAATGTAATATAAGAATCAGAATCATGATAATGTAATATTAGTGATACATCAAATAGGGCTGTGGGTGAAAACTATATCACACTTTAAGTGATTCATATCGATAAATGTATTTTTTAAAAACCTAAATAAATACATTTGTTGTGTCGGCTAACACACGTTAGCAACACTATGGTTTAGTCCTGGTTTAGTCCTGCCCCAGTCCTGCCTCAGTCCTGCCTCTCCCGCTGCACATGCTGTTCCTCACACGGACGTGCAGAACCATTGACACGACATTGAAACGCAATCTTTAGTTCCATGGACGCTACGCACGGTGCGGATGGTTTTTTTTTTTGCATTTCCCAGATTGCCTTGCGGCTCATGCTTGGCCGTGATGGGTCGAAAAGCCTCTGCCTACATCTCCCAGAATGCTGCGTGCTTCTGACTGTTTTACTTCCTGTTTTTTCTAACGGTGAAGTGAAACTATGGAACTTTCTATCGACCCTGTGACATTTGATTTGGAACACGTGTTTATCACGATATATATTGTTATAGTTTTATCGCCCAGACCTACCCCCAGCAGAGAAACCTGAGAGAAGAGACTGAGGACTAAACTTTGCTCTTGTGTTTCTTCAGGATGAACCTGTGCACCACGGTGACGGACAGCGACGTGGCTCGGGGGAAGATCGCGCTGAAGGCCAGTCTGGTCGGACAACTCAACGGTTTGTGTCGTTAGTGTTTCCATCGTGGCTCTTCCTGCAGCTCTGATGTAAACGGCTGTTTCTGTGAACGCAGGAACGACCCCCGTCTGTGACGACGTCGGCCGACACATCCTCAACTACGGCCGCAGGATCCCTCTGTCCGAGTGGGACGCCCGCATCGACGTGAGTCCTGTCTTTGTGCTGGTTCTGAGTCCCCTTTAAAGCTTTGCCCACTGGAGGTCCTTCATACCTTTAGTGGCCATGACAGAGGGGTAAAGGATAACGCTCTCAGAAGACCAGTGTCAGAGACCGCTGCTCTGGCTCTGGACCTGACCAGAGACACACATGAACATCACATGTGTTATAATGATAGAAGATGTCCCCTCATTTAGATCAAGTGGATCTCTGAGAGCCCGCCTCCCCACAGCCTCACGCTGTCTTTGTAAACACACAACTATTTAGCCGTCGCTGGTTCATGATCATTTCTGACCTGAGAATAAGTCATGTTTATAAAGCACCTTTCACAGACCAGTCACAAAGCACTTTACAATTGTCAGCATTTGTCTCTGACTCCACAGAGATTGGAGCGAGATCGCCTTCATGAGGCACTTACCAGACCTATTGGTACATGTTTATAGTGGTACGGAAACCGGAGCACCCGGAGGAATCCTACGTAGACACGGCAGAACATGCTCCACTCAGAAAGGTCCTGTTCCGACCGGAATTTGAATCCAGGACCTTTCTGAGAAGCGAGTGCTAACCACTCAGCCGCCCAAGTGCTAACACTTTTAGTCTGCGACATCAGAAAAAACAGCAAAACTTTATTCGACGGTAACAGACGTTGGGAGACATGAGGCATGTGCAGTCATTCGCTGTTTTGATTTCTCACCTGTCAATCACCTGGAGGCGGGGCTTCTGCAGCTCGTACGTCACAAATTGAACCGAGGTGTTTCTGTTTCTCTGGAGAAAGATCGCTCCGACTAAAGCTTTAGGAAATCCTCCGTACGAATGTTTTAAAGCAGAGATAAGTCTAAATATGTATTATGAAACCTTTAATTAATCCTGATAAAGATGAATGTCTTTCATTGATTGGAGGATTTAACTGTTTTTTGTTTTGAAGGCTGTGACCCCGAGGCAGATCCGAGACGTCTGTACCAAATATCTCTACGACAAGTGTCCGGCGGTGGCAGGTGTCGGTGAGTCGTCTCAACTTCTCCAAACACCGAGAGTTTGTCGTTTTTAACCGTAATCCTGTGTTTCCCTCAGGTCCAGTGGAGCAGGTGCCAGACTACAACAGAATCCGCAGTGCTATGTACTGGCTTAGGTTTTAACACGTTTTATTGTTTTGTTCTGTTCTGCTCCTTCCCCTTTATTTCAAATACAAAAAACTGCAGTAAATCATTATTATTATTATTATTATTATTAAAAGGCTATTATTAAAATCCCCTTAACAGTTCTATATGTGAGGCTGAGTGTGTAGGACGCTCTCCATACACCCGTCAATCATTCTAGGAGAAACAGTGTATTTATGACCGTAATGTTGTCCACTATTGTACATAAAGCTGCCAATTCACAAAAATAAAATATTCTGACCATTGTCTTCCCGCTCGGGTCATTAATCAGATAATGTGAGTGTAAAGGGCTGTGCTCGTGACGTCTCCACATCCTGATTTCCTGTGTGGATGTAATCTTAGTGTTTCATGTGTTTGTTTTCACGGCTGACGTCTGCGCGGTCTCTTTGACTCCGGGACGCTGATCGTTCTAAGGGCCGATCGTTACTTAGATGAGTTTAATATCTTGATGTTCCGCCCGGAGGTCAGGAAATGAGCGTCGTTCTCTTTGTTCTGGACCTGACGCTGTTCCTGGACTGACCTTTTTGCTCAGTGCCGGGGCCATCGTCGTCCTGAGGAGAATACATGGTTTTTCTTCCGTAAAAACCTTTCATGGCAGAGGATCGCGTCATGGTTCTGTCCCAGGAATAGCTGCGATAAAGTCTGACCCTTTTCTGACATAATCCGTGGGAGATTCTGCGGCACACGGTGAGGTTGAGGCCACATTGTTTCGTTTTTGTTGTGAGCACGTTATTTTTGGATAAGATCAAAGAGTGGGAGGAGCAAGAGGAGGAGCTGAGGAGCAAGAGGAGGAGCTGAGGAGTAAGAGGAGGAGCTGAGGAGTAAGAGGAGGAGCTGAGGAGTAAGAGGAGGGAGGACATGAAGAGATAAACTTTAGTCTCAAGAGTCAGAGCAGCACAAGAGATGATCTGAGAGACCACTGCACCACAGGAGAAAGACCACCTCCTCTACACCACAGGAGAAAGACCACCTCCTCTACACCACAGGAGAAAGACCACCTCCTCTGCACCACAGGAGAAAGACCACCTCCTCTGCACCACAGGAGAAAGACCACCTCCTCTACACCACAGGAGAAAGACCACCTCCTCTACACCACAGAAAGACCACCTCCTCTACACCACAGAAAGACCACCTCCTCTACACCACAGGAGAAAGACCACCTCCTCTGCACCACAGGAGAAAGACCACCTCCTCTGCACCACAGGAGAAAGACCACCTCCTCTGCACCACAGGAGAAAGACCACCTCCTCTACACCACAGGAGAAAGACCTCCTCCTCTGCACCACAGGAGAAAGACCACCTCCTCTGCACCACAGGAGAAAGACCACCTCCTCTACACCACAGGAGAAAGACCACCTCCTCTACACCACAGGAGAAAGACCACCTCCTCTACACCACAGGAGAAAGACCACCTCCTCTACACCACAGGAGAAAGACCACCTCCTCTGCACCACAGGAGAAAGACCACCTCCTCTGCACCACAGGAGAAAGACCACCTCCTCTACACCACAGGAGAAAGACCACCTCCTCTACACCACAGGAGAAAGACCACCTCCTCTACACCACAGGAGAAAGACCACCTCCTCTACACCACAGGAGAAAGACCACCTCCTCTGCACCACAGGAGAAAGACCTCCTCTGCACCACAGGAGAAAGACCACCTCCTCTGCACCACAGGAGAAAGACCTCCTCCTCTACACCACAGGAGAAAGACCTCCTCCTCTACACCACAGGAGAAAGACCACCTCCTCTGCACCACAGGAGAAAGACCTCCTCTGCACCACAGGAGAAAGACCACCTCCTCTGCACCACAGGAGAAAGACCACCTCCTCTACACCACAGGAGAAAGACCACCTCCTCTACACCACAGGAGAAAGACCTCCTCCTCTGCACCACAGGAGAAAGACCTCCTCCTCTACACCACAGGAGAAAGACCTCCTCCTCTACACCACAGGAGAAAGACCTCCTCCTCTACACCACAGGAGAAAGACCACCTCCTCTGCACCACAGGAGAAAGACCTGTTTGACAGCACTGTGAGTATTCTGTGGGACAGATAAAAGTGTATCTTGTTTTAGACGGATCAGGGAACACTGAGTTCATGTGTGCGGCTCCACAGAAGGGGGCGGGCCCAGGGCAGGTGCATGAGCGGGGCTGAAAGTGCGTGAATCTGTCAGACGAGAGTCAGGGCTGTATTTTTTTGTTGACCGTTTGCCTTTTACATTTTGTTTGCTCACGTCATTTTTCCATATCCTGTTTGATGCACTAGAAAAGTCAATAAATCACTTCAAAACACAAATCTGGATCAGGACTTTAGGCTTCCAAATGCGTCTGCACATTTACAGGACCCTCTGACAGACTCAGGTCTGCAGGAAGCTGCAACGGCCACTTTTACATTTAAATCAATGTAAAGCCTCACAGCTGTAACTGATATATTTCTACATTTATGGGAAGCATCAAGTTAAGTTTTTACATCAAGCAAAGTTTCCAAACATGTGCTTTTAATCTTGGTTTTCTTCAACTTGGAGATGAGAGCTGTCCTCAGTGTAACAATTCTTTTAACGGCCTTCAGAAGTTATATTAAATAATTAATTCATTTCTAAATTTGATCATGTAATTTAAACAAACTGTTTAACAAACTATTGAACGTCTCTTAGATGTAGGAGTCTGTAAAAGCCTTTCTGTGATCCACAATGAGACTAGTGCGTAAAGATGAACCAAGCATTTTTCCACATTTTCTTTTTTTTAAATTGTGGGGCCCTGTGAAGGCCCTGTCCCCTGGGTTTGAGACCCCAGAGAAGGCCCTGTCCCCTGGGGTTGAGACCCCAGAGAAGGCCCTGTGCTCTGGTATTTAAGTCTTCTTTTAGGGACAAGATATTAGAAGTTGCAATTAAAATCACATGGAAAATAAGTTTTGTTTTTAATACATGTTTTTAGTCGCACTTATTTGCCTCAAATGAGAACAATCCACTCGGACAGTTACTTTTGGGCATGGTTTAATTGTTTCTCTGTCGCTGTATCTCTATCTCTCTCCATCTCTCCATCTCTCTGCTCCTCTGGTTCCCTGTGTTGTCTTTAGCAGTGACCATGTCTGCAGTGTCCCTCTGTCCCTGTTTGCTGCTGCTGCTTCTGTCTGGACCGGTCCAGTCCCAGAGCCTGGAGCAGAGGTCCCAGAGCCTGGAGCAGGGGTCTCAGACCGACCTTCTGGCCTTCAACGTCCTCAACCTCAACTCTCTGCTCCAGGCCGAGCACCGGAGCGGACTGCGGCAGATCCGGGTCCCCCGCCTGCCCCCCCAGGTCCCCCTTAAACGAGCCCAGCAGGGGTCTCGCTTCGCCCTGTCCCTGGACGTTCCCACCAGCATCCTCAGCGTCCTCATCGACCTCGCCAAGAACAAGGACATGAGGAGCAAAGCGGCGGCCAACGCTCAGCTCATGGCTCGCATCGGCCGCAGGTGAAGATGAAAGATCAGTCCAAAACATCCAGAACATAATGTGAGGTTTGAGCTGAACAAGAGACGGAGTGCTCAAAGGTTTTCACACGATTAAAATCACATAAAAATAAGTTTCTTTGTTTTTAACTTACTGTTTTGTAATCTTGGTTTCAATGTGTGTCTTTCTTCTCTGTGTGGTTTATGTGGGATTTAGACCTATATTGACCAACCACAAGAGTAAAGTTTCAGATTGTGAAGCTTATTTCATAAAAGATCCTTGATAGTAAACACAGATGTTTTATTGTTCCAGCGGCAAAGGCTCTGGGACAGTCATGTTTTCTTCTTGTTTGATGCACCGTATTAAATAGTAATTGTATTAAAACAATACAGATGAATAAAAACACACATCTCTGTCGTCAGAACCGAACCTGATCTATAACACTGAGTAACAAAAACATATTTGTTGAAAATAGTCCAGGGTTTTCAGCTGAATCAGACTCATGTTGATGCTCTGAGTCTGAAAATTACCTTGGTTTTGCTCAGTCAGATCAGGATATTTTGCTACAATTATTTTTTTAAATCGATTTTGCGTAAAAAACAAATTTCTGCGGATCATCGTAATCCGTAACACATCCGTAATCAGTTGAGAAACCCCTGACCATTTTTTGGCTGTCAACTTGTGTTATGGGTGAGAATGCGTGACCACACTGGGACAGATATTTACCTGAGTTTACAGCTGGCTAAGGCCAGGTCCGCAGTGACTTTTATTGGATTTTATATGACTTGGACCGTACGCGCGCTCTGATTGGCTGATTACCGGTCTGATATTTTCCCATCTCAGACCGTTACCATGACAACTGGTCCGAACAGTGCGTATCACATTTGATATCTTTCCTCAGACCGTCACCATGACAACCTGTCCGCAGCCTGTATCACACTAAACCAAGTCGGACATGAACATACTTCACAAATATCTCCAAAGCATTGGTAAAGACACAGATGAGAGTCATATAATAAAACATTTATTGACCTCGCTTGCTCTGTTAATAAGCCGTTATTTATTTCGATCTTATTTTGTTTTCACTTTGATCTGTGAATGAACTGTGTTATACAAATAAACTTTAACTGCTGCTGTTGTCACTGCTCCTGGATCATGATGAACCAACACGTGTCCGTTCAACACATTCTTCCAATGACTCTGTACAAAGGTCTTCTGTCATAACAGAGAAAGTACAGTAACAATAAATAATTATACTCAGTAAATATATACAGTAAATACATATATAATTATATATGACTAATTATAATGAGTCATTTCTGTGTTATTACTTATTTCACTTATTTTTCCTGTACAATGTGAACTATAAACATAAAACTATGATGAGCTGCACAAGAATATACAGTATTTAACTTGCTTCTTTATTATGCTAAAGTTAGAGATTTGATTTTAATTCCAGAGTTATTGTTCAGTAACTGGTGATGCAACACTGACATTTCCTCACTGGGACGAATAAAAGATTTCTTAATTTCTTTTCACTCCTATTTCTCCATCTCTTTAACATTGTTCTGACTCATACAGCTGTGCAGTAAACACTGGCACAAGATGTTTTTTTTACGAACTGAAACAAAACACGTCCAACGAAAATTACGTAAATATCACGTGACTGCAAAGATAGAAAAACTATTCCCATGTAATCCTGTGATTGTCCACCAGGCGACGCCCTCCTCGGGCTGTGTGGAAATGTTGGAATAGTTATTTGTTTTATTGTTTCATAATTTAATGTCATTTACTGAGCGCTTTGGGATCATATACACACGACAACATAGATATGACACACACTGGGCTCTAAAGGACAAGATGGAAACGTTAAATACATTTGTTTATGGGTGCAACCTCCGCGAGCCTTCATGAAGTTATGATTATGATTTTCATGATTATTATGATGATGATGATGACGATTATTATCATTATTATTATTATTATTATTTTTATTATTATTATTGGATCTAGGTCCCAACCATAGACTGTAAATATTAACAGATTTAGGGACGGACGTTGCAAATTTGCTTTGTTGTAAATAAAATAAATAAAATAAATAAAATATATAAAATATATAAAATATATAAAATAAAATATATAAAATAAAATATATAAAATATATAAAATATATAAAATATATATAATTTATAAAATAAAATAAATAAAAGATACATTTGGACTTGACTCTTCAGTCCGTGAACATGACGTGTTGAGCGGATGGAGGAATAGTGTGAAAGGAAAACTCTTGTGAAAAGTGAGTAATTTTCCACTAAAATGACACAATATTTGATCAGCAGCTTCGGCTCCAGCTGCGGCTGATTGTCCAGAGACAGAGACGAGGCTGGACCCGGAGCAGACAGAGGTAAGCCCAGGATTATCTCTCTAACTTTAACCTTTGTTTAATATAATCTCTCTAAATGACTCGGAACAGACTGGTCCATCGCAAGTGTCACGTGGTGTGGCGTGTTTGTCTTTTGTCACGTTTACGTAACTAATATTTACAGTATATGTTGCAGACCAGCGTTTCCAGCCAATCACAGCTCGACTCAAGCTTCCCGTGGATCTTGTGTTTTAACGTTAAAATATACAGTCTATGCTTTTAACATTAGAACTCCCAGAGCAGTCACTTTGACGGCTTTTAGTGTTGGAGCCGTAATCCCTCGGCTCATGTGCTTTCTTGCTTTTCAGAACTTTGACTTTCTCTAACTCCTTATGTCTATTTATTTCTATGCAATTTTTTTTTGTTTTTTGTTTTTATGACATTTTATTTTACTTTTGAAATGAGAGCAGTTCTACCGTTACCTCCCAGAACAGATCCAGGACCAGTTAAACCCGTTACCATAGCAACACAAAGTTAGCATTAGCTTTACGACAAACTGCTTTTTTAGATTAAGATTCAGATTACGATTAAGAATGAGAGATCTTTTGTTTGTTCCACAGTGAAGAAATGTATACTGAATAACTCTTTACTAAATAAAATAACATAATACATATATATTCTAGAAGTATGTTTACTTCTGTACATTAGCATCATGCGGCTCTGGGACACAGTGACATGTTCTATATTGCACATTTTGACATTATCTCTGGTCTGTCTCTCTCTGGTCCCTCTCTGGTCACTCTGGTCTTTCTCTCTCTGGTCTTTCGCTCTCTGGTCTCTCGTTCTCTGGTCTTTCGCTCTCTGGTCTCTCTCTCTGGTCTCTCTCTGGTCTTTCTCGCTCTCTCTGGTCTCTCTCTGGTCTTTCTCGCTCTCTCTCTCTCTCTCTCTGGTCTCTCTCTCTCTGGTCTTTCTCTCTCTCTGGTCTCTCTCTGGTCTCTCGTTCTCTGGTCTTTCGCTCTCTGGTCTCTCTCTCTGGTCTCTCTCTGGTCTTTCTCGCTCTCTCTGGTCTCTCTCTGGTCTTTCTCGCTCTCTCTCTCTCTCTCTCTGGTCTCTCTCTCTCTGGTCTCTCTCTCTCTCTGGTCTCTCTCTGGTCTTTCTCTCTCTCTCTCTGGTCTTTCTCTCTCTCTCTCTGGTCTTTCTCTCTCTCTCTCTGGTCTTTCTCTCTCTCTCTCTGGTCTTTCTCTCTCTCTCTGGTCTTTCTCTCTCTCTCTGGTCTTTCTCTCTCTCTCTCTGGTCTTTCTCTCTCTCTCTCTGGTCTTTCTCTCTCTCTCTCTCTGGTCTTTCTCTCTCTCTCTCTGGTCTTTCTCTCTCTCTCTCTGGTCTCTCTCTCTGGTCTTTCTCTCTGGTCTCTCTGGTCTCTCTCTCTGGTCTCTCTCTCTGGTCTTTCTCTCTGGTCTCTCTGGTCTCTCTGGTCTCTCTCTCTGGTCTCTCGTTCTCTGGTCGTTCTCTCTCTCTCTCTGGTCTTTCTCTCTGGTCTTTCTGGTCTCTCTCTCTCTCTGGTCTCTCTCTCTCTCTGGTCTCTCTCTCTCTCTGGTCTCTCTCGCTCTCTCTCTCTCTCTGGTCTCTCTCTCTCTCTGGTCTTTCTCTCTCTCTCTCTCTCTCTCTCTCTCTGGTCTCTCTCTCTGGTCTTTCTCTCTCTCTCTGGTCTTTCTCTCTGGTCTCTCTCTCTCTCTGGTCTTGCTCTCTCTCTGGTCTCTCTCTCTCTCCTCTCTCTCTCTCTCTCTCTCTGGTCTTTCTCTCTGGTCTCTCTCTCTCTCTGGTCTTGCTCTCTCTCTGGTCTCTCTCTCTCTCTCTCTCTCTCTCTCTCTCTCTCTGGTCTCTCTCTCTCTGGTCTCTCTCTCTCTCTCTCTCTGGTCTTTCTCTCTGGTCTCTCGTTCTCTGGTCTTTCTTTCTCTCTCTCTCTCTGGTCTCTCTCTCTGGTCTTTCTCTCTCTGGTCTTTCTCTCTCTCTCTGGTCTCGTTCTCTGGTCTTTCTCTCTCTGGTCTTTCTCTCTCTCTCTGGTCTCGTTCTCTGGTCTTTCTCTCTCTCTCTCTCTCTCTGGTCTTTCTCTCTCTTTCTGGTCTTTCTCTCTCTCTCTGGTCTCTCGTTCTCTGGTCTTTCTCTCTCTCTCTCTCTCTCTCTCTCTGGTCTCTCTCTCTCTGGTCTTTCTCTCTCTCTCTGGTCTTTCTCTCTCTCTCTCTCTGGTCTCTCTCTCTCTCTCTCTCTCTCTCTGGTCTCTCTCTCTCTCTCTCTCTCTCTGGTCTCTCTCTCTCTGGTCTTTCTCTCTCTCTCTGATCTTTCTCTCTCTCTCTGGTCTCTCTCTCCCTTTTGTCTTCATTTTGACATTATTAAAGTTATTATAGCACAGATGACTAAAGTAGATGTATTTTAAGTAACTTTCACCAGTTTTAGCACTTAGTCACAGCAAGTACATGTTTATTTGGCTGAATAATTGTTTCTTGTGCATTTTTGACACAACAATGATAAACAACTACAACAAAAAGAAAAAAACACAACTATTAGACCAAATTTTGTGTGTGTGTGTCCATAGGGAGTCTCCTTTGCCTGTGTGTGTCCGCGTGTGTGTGTGTGTGTGTGTGTGTGTCTGTATCTGTATGTGTGTGTCCGTCTGTGTGTGTGTGTGTGTCCATAGGGAGTCTCCTTTCCCTGTGTGTGTCCGCGTGTGTGTGTGTGTGTGTGTGTGTGTCTGTATCTGTATGTGTGTGTCCGTCTGTGTGTGTGTGTGTGTCCATAGGGAGTCTCCTTTCCCTGTGCGTTCATTGGACCATGTTTTAATATTAACAGACTTCTATTTGTTTAATAAAGTGAAGCAACACGAGACGCTGAACATAAACTTGTGTGTTTTTAGCGTTTTAATAAATTGCATCATCAAAACACTTTACACTGCAAAAAGTACAAAAGTGCTCAAATTTGGTAAAATGTGTCTTAATTTGCGCACATTCTGACTCGGCCTTAAACCAGATTCTCTGTGGGACAAAGCAAAATGATCTTGTTTTAAAAAGATACAGAAATGTCTCCCTTGGAAAGTCTTAAATGTCTTTGTCCCACTGGAGAATTTAGTTTTAAGTCAGATTAAGATAAAAACCACTAGATTCGAGCCATTATTGCCTCATATTTAATCATTCTTTGTGGTGTAGCAGACGTCAACACTGCGTCTCGTTATCAGAACAGCTGTAATTATCTGTGGTAGAACAGCTGATTAGGAAAGTGCTCAATAAAAGATGGAGATAGGTGACATCAGGAAGGACAAAGTTCACCTGTGGCTTCAGACGAACAACTGAAGCCGGTTTTATGTTGGTTTTTCTGGTATAGACCTTTTCCTCTTGAGTCTGAAATAAAGTGTTGAAATGTATTCTCTACAGACGATGGACTACGCTTCCAAATACATCAGCCTTATTGCGCCTTCGGCCATTTCAAAGTAAGACAGATCTGTGACAAACTGGACCAAAGTCATGAGGATTAAAGATGTTTTTTCTTTCTTTTGTGGTCAGAAGTTTGGTGGTCGCTCCCCGGGCCAAACCGTTCCGTGTTTCTAATGCGGACCGCAGCCTGAAGAAAGGATTCACGGCCCACGCCCTGGACGAGCTGCTGTACAAGGTGAACCCTGGTCTCTCTCTCTGGTGTCTCTCTCTCTGGTGTCTCTCTCTCTCTGGTCTGTCTCTCTCTCTGGTCTGTCTCTCTCTCTGGTCTGTCTCTCTCTCTGGTCTGTCTCTCTCTCTGGTCTGTCTCTCTCTCTCTGGTCTGTCTCTCTCTCTCTGGTCTGTCTCTCTGTCTCTGGTCTGTCTCTCTGTCTCTGGTCTGTCTCTCTGTCTCTGGTCTCTCTGTCTCTGGTCTGTCTCTCTGTCTCTGGTCTGTCTCTCTGTCTCTGGTCTGTCTCTCTCTCTCTGGTCTGTCTCTCTCTCTCTGGTCTGTCTCTCTGTCTCTGGTGTCTCTGTCTCTGGTCTGTCTCTCTGTCTCTGGTCTCTCTCTCTGGTCTCTGTCTCTGGTCTCTCTCTCTCTGGTCTGTCTCTCTCTCTCTGGTCTGTCTCTCTGTCTCTGGTGTCTCTGTCTCTGGTCTGTCTCTCTGTCTCTGGTCTCTCTCTCTGGTCTCTGTCTCTGGTCTCTCTCTCTCTGGTCTGTCTCTCTCTCTCTGGTCTGTCTCTCTGTCTCTGGTCTGTCTCTCTGTCTCTGGTCTGTCTCTCTGTCTCTGGTCTCTCTGTCTCTGGTCTGTCTCTCTGTCTCTGGTCTCTCTGTCTCTGGTCTGTCTCTCTGTCTCTGGTCTCTCTCTCTGGTCTCTGTCTCTGGTCTCTCTCTCTGGTCTCTGTCTCTGGTCCGTCTCTCTGTCTGGTCTCTCTCTCTCTGGTCTGTCTCTCTCTCTCTGGTCTGTCTCTCTCTCTCTGGTCTGTCTCTCTCTCTGGTCTGTCTCTCTCTCTCTGGTCTGTCTCTCTGTCTCTGGTCTGTCTCTCTGTCTCTGGTCTGTCTCTCTGTCTCTGGTCTCTCTGTCTCTGGTCTGTCTCTCTGTCTCTGGTCTGTCTCTCTGTCTCTGGTCTGTCTCTCTCTCTCTGGTCTGTCTCTCTCTCTCTCTGGTCTGTCTCTCTGTCTCTGGTGTCTCTGTCTCTGGTCTGTCTCTCTGTCTCTGGTCTCTCTCTCTGGTCTCTGTCTCTGGTCTCTCTCTCTCTGGTCTGTCTCTCTCTCTCTGGTCTGTCTCTCTCTCTCTGGTCTGTCTCTCTGTCTCTGGTGTCTCTGTCTCTGGTCTGTCTCTCTGTCTCTGGTCTCTCTCTCTGGTCTCTGTCTCTGGTCTCTCTCTCTCTGGTCTGTCTCTCTCTCTCTGGTCTGTCTCTCTGTCTCTGGTCTGTCTCTCTGTCTCTGGTCTGTCTCTCTGTCTCTGGTCTCTCTGTCTCTGGTCTGTCTCTCTGTCTCTGGTCTCTCTGTCTCTGGTCTGTCTCTCTGTCTCTGGTCTCTCTCTCTGGTCTCTGTCTCTGGTCTCTCTCTCTGGTCTCTGTCTCTGGTCCGTCTCTCTGTCTGGTCTCTCTCTCTCTGTCTGGTCTCTCTCTCTGGTCTCTCTCTCTCTCTCTCTGGTCTCTCTCTCTCTGTCTGGTCTCTCTCTCTGGTCTCTCTCTCTCTCTCTCTGGTCTCTCTCTCTCCGTCTGGTCTCTCTCTCTCTCTCTGGTCTCTCTCTCTCTGTCTGGTCTCTCTCTCTCTGTCTGGTCTCTCTCTCTGGTCTCTCTCTCTCTGGTCTCTGTCTCTGGTCTGTCTCTCTGTCTCTGGTCTCTCTCTCTCTGTCTCTCTGCCTCTCTGTGTGTGTATTGTAAAAAGATCAAAATGATAACATTTAGCTTATATATCTTTCTGTTGGTACAAACATATATCTGCCAAACAAAAGGACAAATCTACTTCTCTGTAAATGTAGTGATGCTTTTACTGCTGTCCTGTAAACATGCGACTGCAACACTGACATTTCCACAGTCACTTTACCTGTTGTTACAGAACCCTCCATAGTCATTCACTTCAGCTGCTGATACTGTTGTTATTGTTTATTCTCTGCAGCTAAAGTTCATATTCCCCCTAACCCTGTAAATACTTCTGAACCAAGTGTCATCATAGTTCCAGAGTTGATTTAGTTTTATTGTGTGTTTGTGTTTGTGCAGGTGAAGGACTCTCTGAACGTGTCTCCGGAGAGTTCTCTGGTGTTGGAGGAAGACGGGACAGAAATAGACTCTGAAGATTTCTTCCAGACTTTACCCGTGAACTCTGTCCTCATGGTCGTGGACAAAGGAGAGAAGTGGACCCCGCTGTTGGTGAGTCCTGACGCAGACCACCAGGGGGCGCCACTGCACAGGGTTTAGTAACGAGAGCGTCAGTCTCTGAGTATCAACCGATTACGGCATTTCTGGAGATGATTTTGGGCTAATCAAAAAATCTATAGATTCTGAGTGTTCACAGTAAAGTGTCGATTAAAGTAACTGGACTTTAAAAGGTTATGACTCAAAAACTAAAATGACTATCATATATTGGAGAAAAGATTTTAAACACAGACACATTGAAGAGATAGTGTGGATAAAACCAAAAGGAAAGATTGACAAATATATTTTTAAACGACCAGATCAGCCTCAGATTTGACCGTTCTGTGACGCCGGTTACACAGAAGATAAAATGTCCTCAGTCTGAAAAAGCAGCACAAGATAAACATTAACACATCAGTAAATTACTTGATTAAAAAAGGAATCGTTGAAGGAAAAAAAACATGAAATGACCCTTGATAAATGTGTAATGGACGTGATGTTTCCGTCCATTTTTCTCGGACAGTTAAACTTGATAAAATAAATCTGGTTTCACATTTAATTGGTTGACTATGAAAGTATCACTTTGTTTCTACTCTATGTAAAAATAAAGAATCTCTGAATCAAATGTGGATCTGAAAATACGAAACAAACTTCCCCAAAGCTCATTCTGTCAAATCATCAACGTTTCATAAAATAAACAGTGACTCTTTAGGAAACGTATCTAATGTTTTAAACAGTTTTGTTCTGGAAACTTCTAAAGGACAGATGTTTGAACACATGAAACACATGAAACACATAAACTATCTTCTGATGATTAAAATCTAATGTTTGGCCTTTGTCACACTTCTCCACAGAAGTTTGTAGATGTTTGAAATCAGGATTAGTTCATAGGCCCCAAAAATGTAAGAGAGCATTGGTCTTTGAACCTGAAGGTTGCGGGTTCGAGCCCACTACAAGAATTTCTCCACCAACTCCCTCTGCTGTCGTTGTGTCCTTGGGCAAGACACTTAACCTCTGGGAACAGCAGCCACAGTGGGGCGGCTGTGGCTGTAAAGTGCCAAACTGTGGTTGTGTCCTTAGGCAAGACACTTCCCCCACATTAGAATGAGTCTGGTGTGTGCGGTGGAAGCTGTGGCTTCTGTAGTGTTTGGAGAGAAAAGATACATGTGCAGCATCTTTGAGTGTCCAAGAAAACAGATTTATTATTAAAACAAATGTGATAATTTGTACCTTTTTACAAGTTCTCTTCAGTTCATTTTCTAATAGATTGATTTTTTTTTTATACATAGTAATGTCACTTTTGTCACATTTATATCCATTACATCATACATGCTGCATAATAATAACTCTAAACCTGGGAATAAAGTATGTTCTAATTCTAGACATAACTGTGGAATATAATGTCGCAGAACAGATGAAGAGGTGAAAAAAACTCGTAGTCGTTTGTTTCAGAATTTAACGTTTTCCATAAAAACTGCATCGTTCTGAGCAGAGGCTGTGGACGGTGCTTTTAAGAAACACTGGGTTAAGGTTAAACATCTTTGAAACTGGTGAAATGAGCGAGTTGTGAGTAGTTTGTCTCTGAACTAAAACTGTTAAAGTGAGAGTATGTTGTATGGGCTACATGCACGGGGAGGCGTGATGTCATTTCCTGTTAACAAAGATCAGCCCGTTCACTTCCTGTCTGTGCTCTCCTTTGGCATTTAGGCCCCGTCCCAACACTCGCTCTTCCAACCTGGCGCCCCTCATTTGCACGTTCCCGATGATGGGTGCGAGTGCGTAGGGTACAGTCCCAATTCTCCAGGAAGGTCTTTGGCCCCGCCCCCTTTGCGCCCCTGATCCGGACTTTGCCGTAGTCTGCATCTATGCGCACTCTGGCGAAGGATATTGCCCATAATTCTTTGCGGTACAAACCAAAACATCAGGAAAATGCATTTAAATGTAAGTTTTGAAATATATATGCAGTATGTGTGTAAATAAGTTTTACTGTTACTTGGAAAGAAGCATAAACGTCTGAAGAATTACGGACATTTGTATTTTAACAATTTAATAACTTTTTAAATCCAGCACCAGCCCCTCACTGATCCTCCTGCAGGTGGGGAGTCCACAGAAGCTGAGATCTTTCAGTGGGAGCTTCAGGCAAAGTGGGGTTAAGTGTCTTGCCCAAGGACACAACGGCAGCAGTCATCAGTGGGAGTCGTGAAGTAGGTCTTACGGTGGGCTTGAACCCACAACCTTCAGGCTCAAAGGCCAATGCTCTACCAACTGAGCTACTGTCGCACTTTTTAAATCAAGCTTTAAAAAGCACGGTGGCTGAGTGGATAGCACTCTCGCCTCTCAGCAAGAAGGTCCTGGGTTCGAATCCCGGTCGGACCAGGGCCTTTCTGAGTGGAGTTTGCATGTTCTCCCTGTGTCTGCGTAGGTTTCCTCCGGGTGCTCCGGTTTCCCCTACCACTAAAAATATGTACAATAGTTCTGACATGTGCCTCCTGTACTGGCACCACTCCCAAAATTAACAATTGTAAACCGCTTTGACTCCGATGTGCAGTGAAAAGGCGGTATATAAATAAAGATTACTACTTACTACTTACTACTTTCATATAACATTCAATATAACTGTATAAAATGTATCTATAAAAACTGACCAGATAACAGTTAGTTACCCACATTTAACTTAAAATTTAAACCGCTATCTCACATTACAAATAACCAGTATACATTTATTTTAACGTGTGTGAAGCGACTCATTTCGTTTCCCTCAGCGTCGGACAAAGTTACCTTTAATTATTATAATGTTTAGGTCTGAAAATGACCCTCTCTGACGAGTCGATGACGTCACCTGCTCTCAGTGCACTGTCCCAATTCCACCTTTTTTGCACACTTGTGACCTGCCACCCAAACCCTGGTGTGCACACTTGGTAGAGGTGGGAAGGGTGCAGTGTGGGTGTTGGGACTGGGCCTGTCAGGGATGAAGCAGACCGAGACGGATCGTGCTGCGCCAAACTCTGGAAGTTTATTTAAGCTTCTCTCTAGTTCCAGTGGTTTCAATTGTTTCTTTCTCTCAGACTAAAATGGAGTCAGTACACAGTTTATATCGTCATTGTTACGTCACACATCGAAAGACGTACGTGTCACAGAGACAGAGCTAACCTGGTCGTACCACACCATAGTACAAATTACATTTCATACTATGGTCTGGATCTGCTCCATTGACTCCGTGAACAGGTGGGAGGGGCCAACTCCGTTTGGAGATTGAAACCATTGGATCTGAGTTTACTGTGACGTTTGTAATGCGCCCGAGTGAGTTGTTAGCATTTAGCCTTTAGCCTAGCTTTAGCATTTAGCCTAGCTTTAGCCATCTCCTTTGCTGCTAACGGAGCCCGTGGGGAGTAGCGCCACAATCTTGACCAGCAATTACATTTGCTAAACATTCCTTTTATTCTTGATAGAACCAGACCGGATTACTTTTATCACATTCTTTGCCATTACCAAACTACAACCTGCTCGTTCTGCGCAAACTCTTGATGTCACCGGCACCGACCTACAACACCCGCCTTCCGCGCTCTGAGTAGCCGGTCGAAATTCAACCGATCGTAATCGCTAACACAGGGACCAGACCCAGACGTTACATGCAGGACATGATGATTGAGCGGAGAGTACGGATGGATAAGGCCAGGCTAAGACACAGCATATCATAGTCAAAACAGAGTCCTTGTACAGTCTTGCAGTTGTCCTGCATGTAGGCCATATTGCTATTGCTTTTTAGTAATTAGATTGATACATTCAGCTGAGACTGACCCAAAAGTGTGGACGTGCTTTCCCTCTGAGGTAGAGCTTTGACTGTGACCACTCAGAGAGATTTATAAACTTTATAACGACACAATACAGCACAATCAAAGAGCACTGCTGTGTCCCAAAAATGCACAGTATCCACAGTTTAATTCCCGTTTGAGCATTATTTGGGAAACTCGTGTAAACCACTGCTGAACTCCAGTGAGACTCAAGCAGTTTCCCGCGAACAGGAAGTGAAGTGGGGTAGTAGCTAAAACGCTGAAGTGGTGCATAGAGCCCATTTGCAGCTGTAGAAGATTCCACTGGAGCCTGCTGCTTGAAAGTAGAATCAGTTTGTGAATATTCTATATATCTAATATGTGAATATGTTCTATATATCTACTGTTATCAGTTAAAGAAGTATTGGAAAAGAGCAGTTTATTATGACAGATTAGGGTCCTCGACATGAACATCTTACATATTGATACTTTAAACTTCTTCAGATCAGAAGTTGTGAGTTCAGTGAAGAGCGGACGGATGTAGCGAAGCTCACCATCGACTTGTACAAGAACAATCCCAAAGACTTCATCGGCTGCGTCAACCTGAAGGCTACGCTGTACGGAGCCTACTCTGTGTCCTACGACCTGCGCTGCTACAACGCCAAGAAGATCATCAAGTGAGACGCACAACGACACACAACTATACACACACACAAGCACACACACACACCTGAAGGCTACTGTGTCCTACGACCTGCACTGCCACAACGTCAAGACGATCATCAAGTGAGACGCACTACGACACACACAACTATACACACACAAGACACGCGCAATGATACACGCGCTATGGTGGCCCAAGTGGGTGTCACCAAGACTCCTGAGTTGTGCGTTGGGGCGGCACGGTGGCTGAGTGGTTAGCACTCTCGCTTCTTAGCAAGAAGGTCCCGGGTCTGGTCTGTGAAAGGATATACTGTAAATGAAAGATTATGGAAGGACAGTGAAGCTAGTTCTGTGTCCTACGTTCTGCTACACAATCAGCAAAGTGAGTTAACTGCGTCTGACGCACACCCTAAATATTCACACACTATTAGAGACCGTGTGACATCACAGGCCTGATCTGTCGACACCTTTCACTGCTTCAGAATTGTCGTTACCTTTTGTCAATAAAAGTTTACAGAGTAGAAACGTGTACAAGCTTCGATTAACGTTTCATTTATTAAAGTTTGTTTTAGGTTAGTGAGGATGAAGAGCAGACAGTTGCCATGGCGATGTGGAGCCTCCCACTTCCTGGTTCCACAAATAGAAAATAGATAAACATTTGAGCTTGTTCTGTGTTGATGAGCTTTGGTGAGAATGACTTCTATATTTACATTTCCTCCTGAAGCTGCAGTGTCAGCGCCAGATCAGTTTAGTTTTTGTAAAGGGAAAATGGAAACGTAATCTTTTTGGGCTGAAAACTGCAAACTGTGTGTTTTTTATTTTTTTTATTGTGCGTTGGAAAAGTTGTGCCCACTGAGATCACACATTTTAAAACGAATCCTCTTTTTTAACGTGGAAAGTTTCTCAAAGTGTGACATGAAAAGACAAAGTGAGTTCAGACAAAAGTCAAACACATTTATTTATTATGTTTGTTTGGGACAGAACAAAAATCATTGTTACAGGTCACCCATGCCATGTTCATAGGCCGCACAGCTAGCGGCTAACGGCTAACGGCTAATATGGAGACTTGGTCCTAAGACACAAAAATACATCACTTTGACATAGATCATTAAAAAACAGATTCTTAAATCGCTGCGAGAAATGATCAACTCTGAAGAAATAATCTCTTGAATCAAGTGTTTCAAAGGAGACATTTCTTTTCTTTTTATCTTTTTAAAACAAGATATTTTTCTTTTTCCCATTGGAAAATCTGGTTTTAAGGCTCAGTCAGAATGTGCTCTTTCTGTGGTCTGTTTGGTGTCTCTCTCGCTTCAATCTGTGGTCTCTCTCTCTTTGGTGTCTCTCCCTCTCTTTGTGGCGTCTCTCTCCCTCACTCTGTGGTCTCTCTCCCTCACTCTGTGGTCTCTCTCTCCCCCTCACTCTGTGGTCTCTCGCTCCCTCACTCTGTGGTCTCTCTCCCTCACTCTGTGGTCTCTCTCCCCCTCACTCTGTGGTCTCTCTCCCCCTCACTCTGTGGTCTCTCTCCCTCACTCTGTGGTCTCTCTCCCCCTCACTCTGTGGTCTCTCTCCCTCACTCTGTGGTCTCTCTCCCCCTCACTCTGTGGTCTCTCTCCCCCTCACTCTGTGGTCTCTCTCCCTCACTCTGTGGTCTCTCTCTCCCCCTCACTCTGTGGTCTCGCTCCCTCACTCTGTGGTCTCTCTCCCTCACTCTGTGGTCTCTCTCCCCCTCACTCTGTGGTCTCTCTCCCCCTCACTCTGTGGTCTCTCTCCCTCACTCTGTGGTCTCTCTCCCCCTCACTCTGTGGTCTCTCTCCCTCACTCTGTGGTCTCTCTCCCCCTCACTCTGTGGTCTCTCTCCCCCTCACTCTGTGGTCTCTCTCCCCCTCACTCTGTGGTCTCTCTCCCCCTCACTCTGTGGTCTCGCTCCCTCACTCTGTGGTCTCGCTCCCTCACTCTGTGGTCTCTCTCCCCCTCACTCTGTGGTCTCTCTCCCCCTCACTCTGTGGTCTCGCTCCCTCACTCTGTGGTCTCGCTCCCCTCACTCTGTGGTCTCTCTCCCCCTCACTCTGTGGTCTCTCTCCCTCACTCTGTGGTCTCTCTCCCCCTCACTCTGTGGTCTCGCTCCCTCACTCTGTGGTCTCTCTCCCCCTCACTCTGTGGTCTCGCTCCCTCACTCTGTGGTCTCTCTCCCCCTCACTCTGTGGTCTCGCTCCCTCACTCTGTGGTCTCGCTCCCTCACTCTGTGGTCTCGCTCCCTCACTCTGTGGTCTCCCTCACTCTGTGGTCTCTCTCCCCCTCACTCTGTGGTCTCGCTCCCTCACTCTGTGGTCTCGCTCCCTCACTCTGTGGTCTCGCTCCCTCACTCTGTGGTCTCGCTCCCTCACTCTGTGGTCTCGCTCCCTCACTCTGTGGTCTCGCTCCCTCACTCTGTGGTCTCTCTCCCTCACTCTGTGGTCTCGCTCCCTCACTCTGTGGTCTCTCTCCCCCTCACTCTGTGGTCTCGCTCCCTCACTCTGTGGTCTCTCTCCCCCTCACATCTGTGGTCTCGCTCCCTCACTCTGTGGTCTCGCTCCCTCACTCTGTGGTCTCGCTCCCTCACTCTGTGGTCTCGCTCCCTCACTCTGTGGTCTCTCTCCCCCTCACTCTGTGGTCTCGCTCCCTCACTCTGTGGTCTCGCTCCCTCACTCTGTGGTCTCGCTCCCTCACTCTGTGGTCTCGCTCCCTCACTCTGTGGTCTCGCTCCCTCACTCTGTGGTCTCTCTCCCTCACTCTGTGGTCTCTCTCCCTCACTCTGTGGTCTCTCTCCCCCTCACTCTGTGGTCTCGCTCCCTCACTCTGTGGTCTCGCTCCCTCACTCTGTGGTCTCGCTCCCTCACTCTGTGGTCTCGCTCCCTCACTCTGTGGTCTCTCTCCCTCACTCTGTGGTCTCTCTCCCTCACTCTGTGGTCTCTCTCCCCCTCACTCTGTGGTCTCGCTCCCTCACTCTGTGGTCTCTCTCCCCCTCACTCTGTGGTCTCTCTCCCCCTCACTCTGTGGTCTCTCGCTCCCTCACTCTGTGGTCTCTCGCTCCCTCACTCTGTGGTCTCTCTCTCCCTCACTCTGTGTGGTCTCTCTGTGGTGTCTCTCTCTCTCTGTGGTCTCTCTCTCTCTCTCTCTCTCTCTCTCTCTCTCTGTGGTCTCTCTCTCTCACTCTGTGGTCTCTCTCTCTCTCTCTGTGGTCTCTGTGGTCTCTCTCTGTGGTCTCTCTCTCTCTCTCTCTGTGGTCTCTCTCTCTCTCTCTCTCTGTGGTCTCTCTCTCTCTCTCTCTCTCTGTGGTCTCTCTCTCTCTCTCACTCTGTGGTCTCTCTCTCTCACTCTGTGGTCTCTCTCTCTCTCTCTCTCTCTGTGGTCTCTCTCTGTGGTCTCTCTCTCTGGTCTCTCTCTCTCTGTGGTCTCTCTCTCTCTCTGTGGTCTCTCTCTCTCTCTCTCTGTGGTCTCTCTCTCTCTCTCTGTGGTCTCTCTCTCTCACTCTGTGGTCTCTCTCTCTCACTCTGTGGTCTCTCTCTCTCACTCTGTGGTCTCTCTCTCTCTCTCTCTCTCTGTGGTCTCTCTCTCTCTCTCTCTCTCTCTCTCTCTCTCTCTCTCTCTCTCTCTCTCTCTCTCTCTCTCTCTCTCTCTCTCTCTCTCAAAGTGCTGAAGAATAAGTCCTTATTACTGTTCTTCATGTTTCTTCCTTCACCTCTGACTGTTTTTTTCCGTCAGTGTAGAAACCCTTAAAAGGAACTCTCCCAAAGTCGCCTTCTGCTCAAAGGAGAACGATGACTTTTTAATGCCTCGTCGCGGTCCCTGTGCTCCTGCTGTCGCGCTCTCGGGTGACTGACAGCTGCCCCATTGTGCCGTTTTCTCTCCAGACAAAAGGTTTTCGACACAAGTGAATTATGAAGCGACTAAACCGCAGCGAGACGCAGACACACACACACACACGCAGACACACACACGCAGACACACACGCAGACACACACACACACACACGCGCAGACACACGCACACACACACACGCAGACACACGCACACACGCAGACACACACACACACGCAGACACAGACACACACACACGCAGACACACACACGCAGACACACACACACACACACGCAGACACACACACACGCAGACACACACGCAGAAACACACACACGCAGACACACACGCACACAAGCAGACACACACGCAGACACACACACACACACGCAGACACACACGCACACACGCAGACACACACACACGCAGACACACACTCAGACACACACGCAGACACACACAAACGCAAACACACACGCACACACGCAGACACACACGCAGACACACGCAGACACACGCAGACACACACACACACACGCAGACACACACACACACACCAGACACACACACACACGCAGACACACAACCACACACACACACACCAGACACACGCACACACGTAGACACACACGCACACACGCAGACAGACACACACCGCAGACACACACACACACACGCAGACACACACCCACACACACACACGCACACACGCAGACACACACACACACACACACACACGCAGACACACACACACACACACACCCACACACACGCAGACACACACACACACACACACACACAGACACACACACACACACACACACACACGCAGACACACACACACACAAGCAGACACACACGCAGACACACACACACACACACACGCAGACACACACACACACACACACACAGACACACACACACACACACACACACACGCAGACACACACACACACACGCAGACACACACACACACACACACACACACATACACGTTTTTGTTACCTGGTGGGTCCCTTTGACAGGGCCGTTCAGAATGGGACCCATAGACATAATCTTTTTTTACCAAGACTTTAAGTAATACAAAACAGTCAATAGAAACCAAACAACTATTTTAAAGGAATTTTATTTTAGATTTTGTTTTCGAATTGCAGTGATTCTATTTTTGACATAGAATTTAATGCCACTCCATGTCCGATGTCTAAGGTCATCTGGTGACGCATTAATGCAGGCCAGGCCAGGCCAGGCCAGGCAGTGGAGACTTCCCAGGGACCTTTCCAGTCTGTATGAAAGGTGTCATGGTCTTCTCCACAGCCTTCACCTCAGATGCAGACCATGGCTTTCTCACGTTCTAGGGAGAGAAATAAAAATATATTAGCAATATACACTCCCAGGGTGAGGACCAAGCAGCCTGGCTGTAATCCCCCACCTGGTACACTTACCAGAAGGGGCACTGCCACTACCATGGGGTGCATCTGGATGAATGGTTGAAGGTTCTCCGCTTGAAGTTTCTTTTAGCCCGTCCGTTTGTGAGAGGATCTCTACTGCTCTCCCTGTCGCACAGAAAATAAAAATACAAGTGGCCTTTAGGGGAAAAAAATCATACATATTTTAATAATATCAAGAATTACCTTCAGGCTCAATTTGTATCTGGTCGAGGCTCTTTCCTTCGAATTCCGTCACTCTTCCCTGCTCCATGGCCATCAACACTTTGCTGATTTTGGCCAGCTCCAGTGTCCCCTCTGGTAGTCTGTAATATTGCCTGTGGATGCGAATGTCATGGCCGAGGAAGTTGGCAAGTATGTCCATCTCATTCTCTTTCATATTGAGAACTGTAGACATAGTAGCTATGTGCTTTCTAAGTTTGGTTGAGGATAGCATCTCTGGATGCACCGCACCACATTCTTTGGCTACCTGGCGTAGGGAGTCTGATCCCCTGATGTGGGTGTCTGCGCCCGGGCGGGAAAAGAAGTATGGGTTATGGTCAGAGATGGAACAGGCCCTTCTGTTCTCCACCAGCACCTCCATCGAAGCAATCATTTCAGGAGTCAAAAGAACCGGCACTTTCCGACTTCTTTTCCCTTTAATTTCAATGCGTTGAAAATGCTGACACAGCTTTTTCTCAAGTTGGGACAGTCCCAGAGCAATGTCAGAATGGATCCCAGTCTTACTTCTTAAGGTAAAGGCTGTCAGTGGCATCTTTGAAACCTCACCTTCCCTTCTTCGATTGAAAATGATGACCTCACAAAGAGTCAAAACTGCCAGTTTAGACCAATGCTTAGACGTTGGCTCACTTATTAGGGTTTGCACATATTCAGGTCGACATACCTCAATATGTGCATGCATGGCTCTAACGTCCTCAGTCAGAGGGAGCAGGTCCGGAGTGTTCCACTTGGCTTGCCGGAGGGTCTGTAGGGCAGCAGAAGAAACACAGACGTCCCACCTCTTCTCAAAAAGCAGCCGGCTTCGTTGGAGGTTTTTAATAAATAGTTCATCAACACAATGCTCCATTTTTGAGTCACATTCAAGAATATCTGCTAGCTTTCTGAGGCTATGGCCGAGTTTGAGGGCCAAGGATGGAGTCTTGTATTGATTTGTTTCCTCATCATATCCAGCCACAGACCTGACTGCATCAATCACATGGTTAAAGTTGGAAGGAATAAAGAAATCCTTAATTGTTTTCAGTTTCCCTGCGGTTTTTGCTTCGTTAATTAACCTACCGACTTCTCTCATTTTCTGCCTAATGTAATCATGCTTAGTCTTATCATGCCCGTGTTTTAAGTACAGGTGCTCTCCGAGTCTCAGAATCCCCTTTTCTGCTTTGACAACACCCGTGACCTCATCCTGATGCATTGCCGAAATTAAAGACCACAGCTTTTTGCTGATGCCCTCCGGTACAGGCTGGGCTAGGGAGCAGAGGGACTGGACCCTACTTCTACCTGGTTTAGCCTGGTTTAGCCTGGGCATCTTTCTGTGAAAGCCGGCACCTGGCCACATGCCTCCACAGCGACTTTCGCTTAAGCAATGCCCCACAGTCTATACAGTGCAAAAACTCACTGGATTTAACTGGGGAATTTGGCTGTTTAGCTGGGACTAAAGTTCCAATGCCGGCCTTTAAAACCTCAAAATTGTGCTCACGGTTTCCACTATTCCTGATCAAATCAAACTGAAGTTTACGTGCTTTAGATTTCACAGGTAGAGCCAATGCTCTGGCTACGTCACTTTCATTTCCATGTTTTCTAGTCAAATGACGGGACATTTTGTGGCAGGACATTGAACAGTAGAGGCAGAAGTGTCTCTTGCTGTAAACTCGCCCCCCATTTTTCTTCTTTTGCAGCTGCATGATAACAATCTTATTTGCCTTTGGTTCGTCACTTTTCGAGTCTTGAAGAAAAGTGTTTTTGATTTTTCTTTTTCCATACTCTTTTACAGGTTTCTTCTTGACAGTTAAATCGTCAGAATCTGAGTCGACTTCATCAATTAGGGACTCTTGACTAAGCTGCACAAACAACAAATAATTTGTAATAATTCTATATAACAATTTGAAGTCATGACTTGTAGTCAGAACTTACCAGTGGTTTGTAAGCGTGCGCTTCAGTGTGCTGCTCTGTGATTGGCTGCAGCCTAATGAACCACACACTTGCACCTTTTCACCTGATTTCCTCTGTTGTGCTGCTCCATGATTGGCTCCAGCCTCTGTTGTGCTGCTCCATGATTGGCTCCAGCCTCTGTTGTGCTGCTCCATGATTGGCTCCAGCCTGCTGGACTGAAATTGCCCCAGTGTGCCCCTCCTTGATATCCCGCAACCCACCACCAGGGTTCCGACACATAACACACTTTTTTCAGGAAAGTAAACCTCCAGGGGTCCTTTCCATATTTTTACAGAGACTGCATAAGGACCGTTAGAAAAGCATTACCCATTGATTATTAAGCTTGGACCAGTGGGGTCCGGTGTTCGGGCCCCACCACGTAAAACCAGTCCCCATGACGTGAGTGGAATCTCAGGTTATGGAACCCACTAGGAGTTGAAAACAAGTGCACACACACACACACACACGCACACACAGAGCTAGAGAAGCCTTTGCTAACGGTTTATTTTTGTTGATTTTGTGTGTACAACTGCTACTTCAATAACTGCTACTGCTGCTGTGTTGCTTCAGTTTGACACCAGGACCCGGGCGTCGTCAGAGGCCGCGCTCCGCCATCAGTACTTCCAGAGTTTGGGGGAGAGTATCCACTTCCTGGCAGACAGTGAGTGTGCGGGATTTGACCTGGTTTGGGACTGGAACCATCGCCTCATGTGTTGCTTCTTGTCTCTGCAGCGGCGTCTGTGTTTTCCCTCAGAGAGATCCAGCTTCAGAAGGACCCGGGACACCGCACTTCTCTGTTCCAGCCTCTAGGTGGCGCATCATTCACACTCTTACTACATCCTCCGTTAAAAACATGCAAAACACACACTTTAAAACTTTAACACTTTAAGTTTGAAGTTAAAGGACGTTTAATACATCGTTAAAAATATTAAGGAAATAAAATAGAATACATTTTATTTGACACGAGGAAAATAAACAGCCTTTTACGGCGCGAAAAGTAAGAAATTAAGGAAAACAATTATAACCATTATTATTCATCATCACATTCTGTATTCTTTAGTTTGAGCTTTTAGGTTGTTCAGGGTTTTTGGGTCAGTGTGTGTGGGACTGTTGTGGTGAAGAGGGAGCAGCGTCTCCAGTCAGAGCTGTATCAGACTGTTGTGGTGAAGAGGGAGCAGCGTCTGCAGTCAGAGCTGTATCGGACCGTTGTGGTAAAGAGGGAGCAGCGTCTGCAGTCAGAGCTGTATCGGACCGTTGTGGTAAAGAGGGAGCAGCGTCTGCAGTCAGAGCTGTATCGGACCGTTGTGGTGAAGAGGGAGCAGCGTCTGCAGTCAGAGCTGTATCAGACTGTTGTGGTGAAGAGGGAGCAGCGTCTGCAGTCAGAGCTGTATCAGACTGTTGTGGTGAAGAGGGAGCAGCGTCTGCAGTCAGAGCTGTATCAGACTGTTGTGGTGAAGAGGGAGCAGCGTCTGCAGTCAGAGCTGTATCAGACTGTTGTGGTGAAGAGGGAGCAGCGTCTGCAGTCAGAGCTGTATCAGACTGTTGTGGTGAAGAGGGAGCAGCGTCTCCAGTCAGAGCTGTATCAGACTGTTGTGGTGAAGAGGGAGCAGCGTCTGCAGTCAGAGCTGTATCAGATTATTGTGGTGAAGAGGGAGCAGCGTCTGCAGTCAGAGCTGTCCTCTCCCTCACCTCTGGTCATGAGCTTTCGAGAGGAGCCAGTTGAGGTGGCTCAGGCCTCTGTTCCGGACTCCTCAGGATTCCCCCAGATGAGCTGGAGGAAGAGCCTCTCTGCTTAGACAGAAGTCCCCGCGACCCGGCAATGGATGAAGCGGAAGAAAATAAATGTTTGAATCATTTTATTATCGACACATTGATGTAATCACTCCCATCGTGTTTCGTTTCAGGCCGCGGGAAAAACCGGCGGCAGAGCATCTTCTAGAGACGGACGACGACTGGAGACACACACACACGAGACAACGCAGACACACAAACGCACAAGCAACAACCGGAGACTACAGACCAACACCAGGAGGAACGGACGGAGGCAAGAGATCCCTGTAGCGATGAAACTAAATCAAAGAGAACAGGCTTTTCAGACGCTCAGCTCCACATTTATTAACATTTAGTTTGGAGAAAAGGTTGGCTTTTGTTCTCACTGCAAAAAATAGGTCAAAATGTCTTGATCAAGTGGTTTTCATCTTAATTTGAGTTGATTCTGACTGTAGTAACCCTCTCAGACCTGATCACAATGGAATGACAGGAGAAATCTGATATTGGCGGGACATTGACAAATGGGGCAAAAATCTACAATCCTGACTTTATTTTTGAGAGAGACCGTCAGGGATGTTGCAGATTCATTTGAGGCCGGTTGTGAAACTGACTTGAAATTAATGCTTAGAAAATCTGTTTTGGTGAAACCTGGAGACTCATGTTTTGGAAGTGAGACAGCTGCGCCCCCTGGTGGACAGGTGGAGAACTGTGCTAAAGCTCAGTCCAGCTGTGGTAATTTTGAGTAAAAAGGGTCAAATATATGGATGTAGAGTAGTTAGGTAAAAGCAAATGAAGCCTGTCGAGAGAGGGTTAAAGAAGATTTGCCAAAGGGACAAAGCCATTTAATCTTTTTTCAAGAACTGTTGCTTTATTTCCTCCTTAAACAAGATCATTTTGCTTTGTCCCATCGGAGAGTCTTGCTCTAAGTCTCAGTCAGAATGTGCTCAAATTAAGACACTTTTTGCCAAATTTGAGTACTTTTTTGCAGTGATAAAAACACATAACGCTGGGACACTGTAGAGACGGTCACAAACTGTCGAGAAATTGCCGATGGGACAAGATTAAAAGGTTGTAAGATATGACAGAGCTGAGTCAGAGAGACGTCTGTTGCAGTGGTTTCAGTTGAACATAGTGTCTGAACAAACGGCGGCTCTGGAGGATGTCCCTGAAGCTCTCGCTCAGAACAGTATGAACGTCTGAAAATGTCTTCATCTGCGGCGTCGCTGGTCCTGGCGTGCTCCATGGTCCATCCCCGTGAGTCACACTGTGCATGACGTCCCGCCGTGTGGAGGTAGATTCTGTGTCTGTTATGGTCCGAGTCCGAGTGCGTCTCTCCTCTTTGCACAAACCAGAAGTGTCCTCGGCCTCGCTCCGTTCCAAACCAAACCTCTCGACAAAGAGCGAGGCCAGAACAGATGAACCATGAGCTCATTATTGCTTGAATCGAGTGGTTTTTACCTTAATCTGACACATTCTGACTGATTTAAACTAGATTCTCCAACAGGACAAAGTCATTCAGTCTATTTTCAAAAACTGTTGCTTTATTTTCTCATTCCAAGGGAGACATTTCTGTAACAAAATCCTTTTTCTCATTATTCCAGTGGTGAATCGTGTTTTAAGGCAGAATGTGCTCAAATTAAGATACTTTTTTCCACATTTGAGCAATTTTTAGACTTATTTCTCATCACTTGTTGCCATGTGGTGGATTTTTATATAACTTAGATTACAAGCAGTGGTGAAGATGATGGCAGTAGATTTCTCGCCCCTTGTTGGACTCGGGCTTCACTGGAACCAGCTCGACCGGACTGGGATCGATTACCGCCGTGTGGACTTAGTGACTTATATAAAACTGACAAATGTCCTCTGTTTATCAAACCAGTTTTGGAACATTAACATTAGGACTCCCAGAATTCTGAAACTACTGGAACTCCCAGAGCCGTCATTTTGACTGCTCCCATTCAAACCAATGGAATTCTGAGAAATGCCTCGAAAGAATGTTTAGTTTTTCAAAAGATTCATTAATAAGTGATAAAACTTGTCATTATAACTGCACCTGAAATACAGCAACAACAACAAAAGGCTAAGGATTAGGGCCGGTGGGGGTGTACCTGGAAAGAGAATTACCCAATGCTTTGTTTGGCGTCTTCTTTCATCTCAAACACGTCTTTACAGGAAGGTCCCAAAGTGGCTCTTGGCCCAATGCTTTTGGACCAGTCTAGATTAGTCGCTGTGGACTTCAGAATGCACTGGTTAAATGAATGAGGCTGGTAAAGCTAACACATGCGCAGATGCGGTTTTTTCACATTTTCCAGCCCCCGCGGCCATTTTGAAACATCTCCACCGACGCCGAAAGTGATGTCACATTAATTTGAACGGCGGAGATAGGCGTGACTACGACCGTTTATATTTACAGTCTATGGGTCTGACAGTGAACACAGTGTTGCTACGGTAACAGTAAACAGTGTGTTGCTAGGGTATCAGTAAACGGTGTGCTGCCACGGTGGAAATTTTGCTATAACTTACTTAGCTTAGTATAAATAAGTCATTGATAATGTTTTGGCTGGTTTTAGCACCTGTAATAAGTTTGACCCAGACTGTTCATAAGAGTCAGTGAACGCACTGCTGTGGGAGTTCCAGTGTTTCCCTTCGTTACTGTCGCTGCTTCATGGAAATGGCGTAGACACCATAATAAAAGGACATAAAAACATATCTTAAAGAAGTGCCCTTAGAATAAAGAAGCTGCACAAAGCTACAATTTGAGATTTTCTACCTCTGAGTTTTCTGCAGGATTTCCCAGATCTGACTAAAGAGTGTCGAGGTCTTTGGTGGATAAATGAATATTAAGGCTAGAGTTATAGGTCTAATATGTTTCCATATTTTTCTGTGAGATGTCTACTGAAACGTATTTAAATATTTAAGATGTCTAAATGTTTTATAAAAGATGTTTAGATTTTGTAAGATATGAGATGTGATATTTTGTGTGGTTTCTGTCTAAACTGCGATGAGAAAATGAATGTATTGTTATTGCCAAGAGGTGAAAAAGTGAAATAACAGATTTATGAATAAACTCTGAAAACTGGCATCTTCTCTGCTGTGCTGTTTAAGGCGTTTACACCCTGTGGCCTGTAGAGGGCGCCACTGTTCAGGGAAACAGCTTTGAGACACTTTGTTCTCTGGATTTATGTCAGAAAAGTTCACATCAAATATAAATGTACACATTTAATATAAGGCATGGGTTTTATACAGCACACTCAAATTATTATTCATACACTGATAAACTACTACTGTAGCCACAGCTGCCCTGGGGCACACTGTCAGATACAAGTCTGTGCCACGGCCCCTCCCACCACCACCAACAATCACATACACCAGACTCATTCTAATGTGGGGGAAGTGTCTTGCCTAAGGACACAATCACAGTTTGGCACTTTACAGCCGCCCCACTGTGGCACCTGCTGTTCCCAGAGGTCTCCCATCACAGCACTAACCAGACCCTGCCCTGCTTAGCCCCAGAGGTCTGACAGGATCTGGCTTTCACCTGCAGGTATGGACATAATGAAATCGTAACAGACACAAACATCCAAAACCTTGATCGATCACCTTCAGCCTCAGTCCGAACCTCAGTGACAACATGAAGTAAGTTTATTTTCTAATATTTATGTGCGACAGAATAAACGCACACATTTGTGATCGGCTGCCATCCAAAGGCCTAGGGTAGGTGTTTATGAATGAAATATCCCTCTGTGGGTTAATCCTGCTTTAAAACCAGTATGGAAACATTCTGTGGTTCTTTTAAAGGTTCGTCTGGGGGATTTGAACCCAGAAACAGATGATAAATGTCATTCTCCGTGTGTTTTGTTTTTCCACCACACGGGGGCAGTCACGCTCCGGACTCTGTGCTGCTGACTTTACTAAGAGACTCTCCCATAGATACAGTACACACACAGACACACAGATACACACAGAGAGAGACACACAGACACACACACAGATACACACAGAGAGAGACACACAGACACACAGAGACACACACACAGATACACACAGAGAGAGACACACAGAGACACACACACAGATACACACAGAGACAGACACACAGATACACACAGAGACACACACACAGAGACAGACACACAGATACACACAGAGACAGACACACAGATACACACAGAGACACACACACAGAGACAGACACACAGAGACACACACACAGATACACACACAGAGACACACACACAGAGACAGACACACAGAGACAGACACACAGATACACACACAGAGACACACACACAGAGACAGACACACAGATACACACAGAGACAGACACACAGATACACACAGAGACACACACACAGAGACAGACACACAGAGACACACACACAGATACACACACAGAGACACACACACAGAGACAGACACACAGAGACAGACACACAGATACACACACAGAGACACACACACAGAGACAGACACACAGAGACAGACACAGAGAGACACACAGCAGCAGAATACATCCCAGTCTTCATTGCCATTTAATAATAATTATAATAAAAATGATAATAATAAATAAAAAAATGCAACCGTTTATACAGCACTTTTTCAGACATTCGATGGCACAGACTGGTTGCCTCGCTTCTGTCAGTGTGCCCCAGGGCAGCTGTGGCTACAGTAGTTTATCACCTGTGTGTGGAGAGAGAGAATAATGATGTCTTTGAGTGTCAAGAAAGTGTTTTATAAAACCAATGCTTATTATTATTATTATTATTATTATCAACACCTGCAACATTACAGAGCTGTGTTTGATCCTTTAGAGCGGTGTTTGATCCTTTAGAGCTGTGTTTGATCCTTTAGAGCTGTGTTTGATCCTTTAGAGCTGTGTTTGATCCTTTAGCGCTGTGTTTGATCCTTTAGAGCGGTGTTTGATCCTTTAGCGCTGTGTTTGATCCTTTAGAGCTGTGATCCTTTAGAGCTGTGTTTGATCCTTTAGAGCTGTGTTTGATCCTTTAGCGCTGTGTTTGATCCTTTAGAGCGGTGTTTGATCCTTTAGCGCTGTGTTTGATCCTTTAGAGCTGTGATCCTTTAGAGCTGTAGTTGATCCTTTAGAGCTGTGTTTGATCCTTTAGAGCTGTGTTTGATCCTTTAGCGCTGTGTTTGATCCTTTAGAGCGGTGTTTGATCCTTTAGCGCTGTGTTTGATCCTTTAGAGCTGTGATCCTTTAGAGCTGTAGTTGATCCTTTAGAGCTGTGTTTGATCCTTTAGCGCTGTGTTTGATCCTTTAGAGCTGTGTTTGATCCTTTAGAGCTGTGTTTGATCCTTTAGAGCTGTGATCCTTTAGAGCTGTAGTTGATCCTTTAGAGCTGTGTTTGATCCTTTAGCGCTGTGTTTTGATCCTTTAGAGCTGTGTTTGATCCTTTAGAGCGGTGTTTGATCCTTTAGCGCTGTGTTTGATCCTTTAGAGCTGTGATCCTTTAGAGCTGTAGTTGATCCTTTAGAGCTGTGTTTGATCCTTTAGCGCTGTGTTTGATCCTTTAGAGCTGTGTTTGATCCTTTAGAGCTGTGTTTGATCCTTTAGAGCTGTGATCCTTTAGAGCTGTAGTTGATCCTTTAGAGCTGTGTTTGATCCTTTAGAGCTGTGATCCTTTAGAGCTGTAGTTGATCCTTTAGAGCTGTGTTTGATCCTTTAGAGCTGTGATCCTTTAGAGCTGTAGTTGATCCTTTAGAGCTGTGTTTGATCCTTTAGAGCTGTGGTTGATCCTGTATCTTCTGAACAGTGCGTCTGTAAATAGCTCGTCCCACTCACTTTATTATCTTTAGATGAAGTCATTGTTTCTGCACAAAACTGTTTCATGAAGAGAGAACACAGTGTTGTCTAAGGTCCATCTCTCATTAATAATATAATAATCATGTGCCACAGACTGGAGACAGGAGCAAGAAATCAACACAATATTAAATCTTGTTTTATTGTGTTTATCTGAGAAAAGGTTTTTTTCATTGTTTTCATAATAAACGTGTTCGACACCATTTCATCAAAAATAACAACCAGCAAAATATTTACATTTGAACCTGAACAAAGTGTAGTGTTTCTCGCCTGCGGAGGATCTTTCTAGACGGGGCTCAGAGACAGAACAGTTCCGCCGCAGTTTAAATGATCGTAGAGAAGAACAAGTCATATACAAGTGTAAACACATGTTCTGTCCCGGACCAGAGCGGGTGGAAGCGGCACCAGGAGGACTCTTCATCACACCACTTTATGTGTAAACAGCTGCAGGGTCGTCCATCTCCGCTGGCGGCTGCATCCTGCTTCCTCTCCGTGACGGACGCCGCGAGTCCAGGCCAAAACCATGGACTGTAAATAATAACGGATGTAGTTACAACTATCTCCGCTGTTGGAACTAATGTGACGTAACTTTTGGCTTCTGTGGGTTTTTCAAAATGGCCGCGGGCAGCCCCTCCCTCAGGAAAATGTGAAAACGCATCAGCTACATTAGCCCTATATTCATTTAAAGAGTGCATTCAAAAGTCCACAGTGGCTAAACTAGACTGGTCCAAAAACATACACTCAACATCGACAGCATCTGGAACGAAGAGGACCAAGAACCACTTTTGGACCAAGAGCCACTTTTGGACCAAGAGCCACTTTGGACCAAGAGCCACTTTTGGACCAAGAGCCACTTTTGGACCAAGAACCACTTTTGGACTAAGAGCCACTTTTGGACCAAGAACCACTTTTGGACCAAGAACCACTTTTGGACCAAGAGCCACTTTTGGACCAAGAGCCACTTTTGGACCAAGAGCCACTTTTGGACCAAGAGCCACTTTGGACCAAGAGCCACTTTTGGACCAAGAGCTACTTTTGGACCAAGAACCACTTTTGGACCAAGAGCCACTTTTGGACCAAGAACCACTTTTGGACCAAGAGCCACTTTTGGACCAAGAACCACTTTTGGACCAAGAGCCACTTTTGGACCAAGAGCCACTTTGGACCAAGAGCCACTTTTGGACCAAGAGCCACTTTTGGACCAAGAACCACTTTTGGACTAAGAGCCACTTTTGGACCAAGAACCACTTTTGGACCAAGAACCACTTTTGGACCAAGAGCCACTTTTGGACCAAGAGCCACTTTTGGACCAAGAGCCACTTTTGGACCAAGAGCCACTTTGGACCAAGAGCCACTTTTGGACCAAGAGCTACTTTTGGACCAAGAACCACTTTTGGACCAAGAGCCACTTTTGGACCAAGAACCACTTTTGGACCAAGAGCCACTTTTGGACCAAGAACCACTTTTGGACCAAGAGCCACTTTTGGACCAAGAGCCACTTTGGACCAAGAGCCACTTTTGGACCAAGAGCCACTTTTGGACCAAGAACCACTTTTGGACCAAGAGCCACTTTTGGACCAAGAACCACTTTTGGACCAAGAGCCACTTTTGGACCAAGAACCACTTTTGGACCAATAGCCACTTTTGGACCAAGAGCCACTTTTGGACCAAGAGCCATTTTTGGACCAAGAGCCACTTTGGACCAAGAGCCACTTTTGGACCAAGAGCCACTTTTGGACCAAGAACCACTTTGGACCAAGAACCACTTTTGGACAAAGAACCACTTTTGGACCAAGACCCACTTTTGGACCAAGACCCACTTTTGGACCAAGAACCACTTTTGGACCAAGAGCCACTTTTGGACCAAGAACCACTTTTGGACCAAGAGCCACTTTTGGACCAAGAGCCACTTTTGGACCAAGAGCCACTTTGGACCAAGAACCACTTTTGGACCAAGAACCACTTTTGGACCGACCAACCGTCACTTTAAGTCTTTTGTCCAAAGCGTTGTCAGCCTGAGCTCTCTGTCGCTGGTGCTGACGTGGACTTTGGTGTTGTACCATGTTCATGTTTGAATCAGGCTCCACTTCCTGTCATGTCGCTCATGTTGCTGTCTGACACTTCCTGTGTTCTATGTGTTTTTCTGCCCTGTGCTGCTCAGATGAATTGCCGCTGGTGGGATAAACAAAGTCTGAGGCTGACCCGGTCCTACAGCACCTCTGCCAGACAGCGCTCGGTGCCTTCGCTCGCCTCCTGCACCTGTCGCGGGGTCTTCCTGGTCTCCACCCACGAGTTATGGATCACAGTTCCTCCGGGAGACGGGTCAACCTGCAGCAGAGACACCACCCTCTTCTTCACCTTCGACCTCAGCGCTCGCCGTAGTTTCTGTCGTGTAAAAGCGTAGAGCAGCGGATGCATCACAGTGGAGCCGTACGCCAGAGTCAGGAAGCAGAGGCGTACCGTGAGCAGGGCGTCGCTGGGGCCCAGGGCCAGGAGCAGCAGGTTGGCCACAGACAGAGGCCCCCAGCAGCAGAGGAAGGAGGTGATGATGATGAGGGACATTCTGAACACACGCCTCTGTCGCTCTCTACGGTCACGGTGGCGCCGCACTGCCCGCCTCAGGGCGATGATGGCGGACACCGAGGCCTGGACGCCCAGTGTGTGAGCCACCGGGGCAGCTGCGGCTTTAGCTGGGGCCACGGCTGGGGGAGAGGTGGCTGTGGGGGTGGGGGAGGGGATCAGAGGAGGGTGGCTCTGCTGCTTGGTCCCGTCTGCGGTGCACTGCTCCTCCCCCACGTCCTGCACCTTCCTCCTCCTCTTCTCAGTCTTCCTCAGAGGACAGGTCCTGCTCCTGGAGCTCCTGAAGCGCTGGGTCTTCATGTGAGACCCGATGCGAATGTTCAAAGCCCTCAGGATCCGAGAGTAGGTGAAGAGCATGACGGCCACGGTGGTGAAGAAGATGGGCACCTGCAGGACCAGGTGGGACAGGCCGGAGTCGCCCCGCCGCCCGCCGCACAGGGACGTCCTGTTCTGCCACAACAACACGCCACCGTCAGTGTCCGGGTACGACGAAGGCAGGTACGGCTCCTCCTCCACCATCCACATTTCAAACACGGGGATAAAAAACACCGCGACGGAGACCAGCCACACCGCGGTCAGCAGCAGCGCCGCCTTCCGAGGGGTCAGGAGCCTGTTGGCCGGACGCACAGAGATGTCGTAGCGGTCCAGGCTGATGACCAGGACGTTGACCGCAGTGGCGACGCTGGCGAAGGTCACGCAGGCCTCGTGGAAGCAGCACATAGAGGCCAGGGGGGTCCCGGGAGGCAGCAGGACCAGGACGAGCGTGAGCGGGAGGCAGAAGACGCACACCGCCACATCCAGCACGTGCAGACTGACCGTCACCATGTTGCTCACAGAGTCCACCAGACTGGACTGGGAGCAGTACAGGACCAGGACCGTGAGGTTACTACTGAAGCCCAGGACCAGCTCCACCAGGAGGAAGGTGGACAGAGACACCTGGAAGCCCAGAGACAGCGGGGGCCTCCCAGACGGGTCCTCTGTCTGCGGCTGAAGGACCCCCACGGAGCCCGCCCAGTCCATGGTGCTCGGACTGGAGCCGTCTCTCTCCATCAGCAGAGGTCACACACCGTCACTCCAGTCTTCATGATGCTGAGGAAACACAGAGGACACTTCTTTATTCATTCAATTCATTTTCTACACTGCAAAAAATGATCAAATACGGGGAAATAAATAAAAGCTTGAATTAAGTAATGTTTATCTTATTCTGAGTAAATTCTGTCTTAAAACAATATTCTCCAATGGGACAAAGAAGTTGAGTCTTATTTCAATAACTGCTGCTTTATTTTCTCATTACAAGGGAGACATTTTTATTCATTTATTTGTGTATTTATTTATTTAATTATTATTTTATTTATATATGTATTTATTTGACAGGGACAGTACCAAAAAAATGGCCACCTACTTCCACACAGGACCTCTCCGCCCCCGTTCCTGGTTTGGCTTTGGAAGAAGGGATTAAAACTTGCATCTTTTAAAAATAAGATTGTTTTTGTTCCGGTTGGAAAATCATGTTTAAAGGCTCAGTCAGAAAGTGGTCAGATTAAGATACATTTCGTCAAATTTTCACTTTTTGCAGTGTACAGCCCTAAATCACAGCAGTATTTATCTCTGAGGACTTTACAAGCTGTCGATTCTCTGACACAGATCAGAGAATCAAACGGTTCAAACACAGATTATGCATTGATAAAAACACACAGAGCCGTCGGTCCAGAAGGAGCAGAGACCGATGTTTATAAATGTATTTGAAATCTTTATTGTTGTGTTATTGTGGCGTGTGCTCCTCCTTCTGCACCTGGTGATGCAACACTGACATTTCCTGCTGTGGGACAGATACAGGATGTCTTTATCTGAAAGTTACAGTCACAATATCCACGTCTAAAAAGGTTTCATCCAAAGCAGAGGTTTTTCTGTGGGAGCCATGTTTTACTGAGAAAGTGTGATTTTAAAACAAGATCAACACATTTAGAGTTTGTCTCAGAGTTAGTTAGTTAGTTAGTTTTTATTTATATACCGCCTTTTCACTGCAGATCTGAGTCTCAAAGCGGTTTACAATTGTTAATTTTGGGCATTTTTCTCTCACTCCACACAGAGATGGGAGCGGGGCCTGTACAGGAGGCACATGCCAGAACTATTGTACATATTTTTAGTGGTAGGGGAAACCGGAGTATCCGGAGGAAACCTACGCTGACACGGGGAGAACATGCAAACTCCACTCAGAAAGGCCCTGGTCCGGCCGGGATTCGAACCCAGGACCTTCTTGCTGAGAGGCGAGAGTGCTATCCACTCAGCCACCGTGCCGTCCGTGGGGGTGGGTTTGTGGGTGAGTGGGTTTGTTTGACTGAAGAAATCCAATACACACATTAAAAATGACATTAATGTTTTCTAAGATTTGTCTGAGTTAAAGTTGATGACTAAATGTCACTATTCTTGTTGGAAGCGTCCGAGGACTGCACACTCTGTTCATGTGGAGCATCTGGCTCTGGTTTTGTGACGGACCCAGACCCCGTCCTGCTCCAGACCCAGTCCTGCTCCAGAGAGTTTAGACGACATCAGAGCTGCTGCTTATCATCACAACCTGTGTGTGTGTGTGTGTGTGTGTGTGTGTGTGTGTGTGTGTGTGTGTGTGTGTGTGTGTGTTACTGTGTGTGTGTGTCTGCTGGAACAGAGACCAAACTGAAATATGATCCAAAGTCAAGTTTAATTAACAATAACAATAAAAATGATGCATAGTTTTTACACAGCGCTCTTCGGGATACTTAAAAGTCTCTTCACATTATTATTCATAAACTACTACTGTAGCCACAGCTGCCCTGGGGCACACTGACAGGCCCCTTCCACCACCAACCATTCACACATACACCAGACTCATTCTAATGTGGGGGAAGTGTCTTGCCTAAGGACACAACCACAGTTTGGCACTTTACAGCCGCAGACGTCCCACTGTGGCACCTGCTGTTCACAGAGGTCTCCCATCACAGTACCAACCAGGCCCTGCCCTGCTTAGCTTCAGAGGTCTGACAGGATGTGGCTTTGACCTGCAGGAGGCGCCACATTTGTCAATCTCTGAGAAACATGAAAAAAGTTCAACATCAAAGACATTTTAGCCTCAGAATAAACAATAACACATCAAAGTGAAACTAACACGTGTCGTTCTTTAAACCTGGACCGAATCCAGCCGCAAGACGCTTTCAGTGGCCCCTAAAGTTGCAACACCTCCATCCAAACAAACAAAGAAAAATAAATATATAACTCTAAAAGTAGCAAACAATACACATGGTAAGACCAGACGTACATGTAGGAGATGATCATGGACCAGAGTTTACACATGGTAAGACCAGACGTACATGTAGGAAATGACCATGGACCAGAGTTTACACATGGTAAGACCAGACGTACATGTAGGAAATGACCATGGACCAGAGTTTACACATGGTAAGACCGGACGTACATGTAGGAAATGACCATGGACCAGAGTTTACACATGGTAAGACCAGACGTACATGTAGGAAATGATCATGGACCAGAGTTTACACATGGTAAGACCAGACGTACATGTAGGAAATGACCATGGACCAGAGTTTGCACATGGTAAGACCAGGATAGCTCTGGTCTAACTCTAACACACAGATCAGGGCCTCAGAAGTCGTGTGTGTTGTTTGTGGTCAATAGTCTGTTGTGAGTCTACAGTATCTCTGCTCGGTGCTCTTTGTCCGCCGTCGCCGTGGTAATTAGAGACTCCAGATTAAAGGCGGTCCGGCTCATTGATTAGCAACTGTCCTCTGATTACATCTGCAGAAAATCAATCCAGCAACAATCAGCGTTTATAGTTTTTGTCTCAGTTCCCTCCATCATCATCAGCTACGAACCTCAAATCAGACTGAAGCGAAAGGAAAAGCCCAAAACATATATTTAATGGCGGAGGAAGGGGACTGTCGGGGCTACAGTGTCATTCTGTTTCCATGACAACGGCAGCAGAGGATATAGATTAGCGCACACGCGGCGTTAGCTTCGGGGCATCACCGAGGGACAGATATAGTTCAGACACAGCCCAGCCGTAAACCGCACTCAGAGACGTCGGAGACAGACGATGAGGATTCAACTCGTCCGGTGACGTCCATGAGATTCTTTTCTCTCTGGGCGTCGTTAACAACATGAGAAGGACGGACAGAGAGAGAGAAACCCACGATTAATGACGGCTTATCTTCGCGGATACGTTACAGTATGTGAATGTCTGACCTGGGACCAAAATAACATGAACTTTAGCATGTTTAGTCCTGTTTACAAACACGAACGCTGGGTTTTTAACCAAGTCACAAACTGGGAAGTGAAAGAAACAAGATTTAGTTGTTTGAAAATATGTACGGTATTTATAAAAACTAGTACTGTCAAACTATTCTTATATTTAAAGTAGCTGTCATCATTAAAGGGCCCTAATCTGTCATCATTAAAGGGCCCTAATCTGTCATCATTAAAGGGCCCTAATCTGTCATCATTAAAGGGCCCTAATCTGTCATCATTAAAGGGCCCTAATCTGTCATCATTAAAGGGCCCTAATCTGTCATCATTAAAGGGCCCTAATCTGTTATCATTAAAGGAATAGTTCACCGTTTTTACATACTGACATATGTTCTTACCTTACCTTAGACTAGTTAATATGTACCTGTCTGGTCTTAGTCCGTGCGCTCTGTCATGCAAACGGAGCAAAAACTGGAGCACAAACGCAGCCTCCTCTGTATATTTTGTAGCACCAAAAGGTAGCTCCCGCTGAGAAGCTACCAAACTCTTCCAAGTGTTCCCTATTAAATGTATATAGTTACGTGACGTGTTACACTGCAAAGTATAGTAACACAGAAATGTAACTGTCGATTTTCTCAGCGGATAAAACGGGTACTATATTGTGAGGCGTAGTAATCTGAGGTGCGTAGATGTTAAGTTATTCTGCTCTGGCCCCTGAAGGGTTAACACCAGAGAGAGTAAAACATTCACTCTGTGTTTCCAAAACGTGTGACATCACAGACTCCTCTGGCTCCAGCTCAGGTCTGTGTTACAGGACTATCTCTAATGAATATGGTTTTTGTTGTTATTATTGTATTCAGTGTCTGTCTCTGGTCTCTCTCTGGTCTCTCTCTGGTCTCTCTCTGGTCTCTCTCGGGTCTCTCTCGGGTCTCTCTCGGGTCTCTCTCGGGTCCCTCTCGGGTCCCTCTCGGGTCCCTCTCTGGTCTCTCTCTCTGGTCTCTCTCTCTGGTCTCTCTCTCTGGTCTCTCTCTCTGGTCTCTCTCTCTGGTCTCTCTCTCTGGTCTCTGGTCTCTCTCTGGTCTCTCTCTGGTCTCTCTCTGGTCTCTCTCTGGTCTCTCTCTGGTCTCTCTCTGGTCTCTCTCTGGTCTCTCTCTGGTCTCTCTCTGGTCTCTCTCTGGTCTCTCTCTGGTCTCTCTCTGGTCTCACTCTGGTCTCACTCTGGTCTCACTCTGGTCTCACTCTGGTCTCACTCTGGTCTCACTCTGGTCTCTCTCGGGTCTCTCTCGGGTCTCTCTCGGGTCTCTCTCTGGTCTCTCTCTCTGGTCTCTCTCTGGTCTCTCTCTGGTCTCTCTCTGGTCTCTCTCGGGTCTCTCTCGGGTCTCTCTCGGGTCTCTCTCGGGTCTCTCTCGGGTCTCTCTCTCTGGTCTCTCTCTCTGGTCTCTCTCTCTGGTCTCTCTCTCTGGTCTCTCTCTCTGGTCTCTCTCTCTGGTCTCTCTCTCTGGTCTCTCTCTCTGGTCTCTCTCTCTGGTCTCTCTCTCTGGTCTCTCTCTCTGGTCTCTCTCTCTGGTCTCTCTCTCTGGTCTCTCTCTGGTCTCTCTCTGGTCTCTCTCTGGTCTCTCTCCGGTCTCTCTCTGGTCTCTCTCTGGTCTCTCTCTGGTCTCTGGTCTCTCTCTCTGGTCTCTCTCTCTGGTCTCTCTCTGGTCTCTCTCTCTGGTCTCTCTCTCTGTTCTCTCTCTCTGGTCTCTCTCTCTGGTCTCTCTCTCTGGTCTCTCTCTCTGGTCTCTCTCTGGTCTCTCTCTGGTCTCTCTCCGGTCTCTCTCTGGTCTCTCTCTGGTCTCTCTCTGGTCTCTGGTCTCTCTCTGGTCTCTCTCTGGTCTCTCTCTGGTCTCTCTCTCTGGTCTCTCTCTTGTCTCTGGTCTCTCTCTGGTCTCTCTCTTGTCTCTCTCTCTGGTCTCTCTCTTGTCTCTGGTCTCTCTCTTGTCTCTGGTCTCTCTCTTGTCTCTGGTCTCTCTCTGGTCTCTCTCTTGTCTCTGGTCTCTCTCTTGTCTCTGGTCTCTCTCTGGTCTCTCTCTCTGGTCTCTCTCTTGTCTCTGGTCTCTCTCTGGTCTCTCTCTTGTCTCTGGTCTCTCTCTGGTCTCTCTCTTGTCTCTGGTCTCTCTCTTGTCTCTGGTCTCTCTCTGGTCTCTCTCTCTGGTCTCTCTCTCTGGTCTCTCTCTCTGGTCTCTCTCTCTGGTCTCTCTCTTTGGTCTCTCTCTCTGGTCTCTCTCTGGTCTCTCTCTGGTCTCTCTCTGGTCTCTCTCTCTGGTCTCTCTCTCTGGTCTCTCTCTTTGGTCTCTCTCTCTGGTCTCTCTCTGGTCTCTCTCTGGTCTCTCTCTCTGGTCTCTCTCTCTGGGTCTCTCTCTCTGGTCTCTCTCTCTGGTCTCTCTCTCTGGTCTCTCTCTCTGGTCTCTCTCTCTCTGGTCTCTCTCTCTGGTCTCTCTCTCTGGTCTCTCTCTCTGGTCTCTCTCTGGTCTCTCTCTCTGGTCTCTCTCTCTGGTCTCTCTCTCTGGTCTCTCTCTCTGGTCTCTCTCTCTGGTCTCTCTCTGGTCTCTCTCTCTGGTCTCTCTCTCTGGTCTCTCTCTGGTCTCTCTCTCTGGTCTCTCTCTCTGGTCTCTCTCTCTGGTCTCTCTCTCTGGTCTCTCTCTCTGGTCTCTCTCTCTGGTCTCTCTCTCTGGTCTCTCTCTCTGGTCTCTCTCTCTGGTCTCTCTCTCTGGTCTCTCTCTCTGGTCTCTCTCTCTGGTCTCTGGTCTCTCTCTGGTCTCTCTCTGGTCTCTCTCTGGTCTCTCTCTGGTCTCTCTCTGGTCTCTCTCTGGTCTCTCTCTGGTCTCTCTCTGGTCTCTCTCTGGTCTCTCTCTGGTCTCACTCTGGTCTCACTCTGGTCTCACTCTGGTCTCACTCTGGTCTCTCTCGGGTCTCTCTCGGGTCTCTCTCGGGTCTCTCTCTGGTCTCTCTCTCTGGTCTCTCTCTGGTCTCTCTCTGGTCTCTCTCTGGTCTCTCTCGGGTCTCTCTCGGGTCTCTCTCGGGTCTCTCTCGGGTCTCTCTCGGGTCTCTCTCTCTGGTCTCTCTCTCTGGTCTCTCTCTCTGGTCTCTCTCTCTGGTCTCTCTCTCTGGTCTCTCTCTCTGGTCTCTCTCTCTGGTCTCTCTCTCTGGTCTCTCTCTCTGGTCTCTCTCTCTGGTCTCTCTCTCTGGTCTCTCTCTCTGGTCTCTCTCTGGTCTCTCTCTGGTCTCTCTCTGGTCTCTCTCCGGTCTCTCTCTGGTCTCTCTCTGGTCTCTCTCTGGTCTCTGGTCTCTCTCTCTGGTCTCTGGTCTCTCTCTCTGGTCTCTCTCTCTGGTCTCTCTCTCTGGTCTCTCTCTCTGGTCTCTCTCTCTGTTCTCTCTCTCTGGTCTCTCTCTCTGGTCTCTCTCTCTGGTCTCTCTCTCTGGTCTCTCTCTGGTCTCTCTCTGGTCTCTCTCCGGTCTCTCTCTGGTCTCTCTCTGGTCTCTCTCTGGTCTCTGGTCTCTCTCTGGTCTCTCTCTGGTCTCTCTCTGGTCTCTCTCTGGTCTCTCTCTGGTCTCTCTCTGGTCTCTCTCTCTGGTCTCTCTCTCTGGTCTCTCTCTTGTCTCTGGTCTCTCTCTGGTCTCTCTCTTGTCTCTGGTCTCTCTCTGGTCTCTCTCTTGTCTCTGGTCTCTCTCTGGTCTCTCTCTCTGGTCTCTCTCTCTGGTCTCTCTCTCTGGTCTCTCTCTCTGGTCTCTCTCTTTGGTCTCTCTCTCTGGTCTCTCTCTGGTCTCTCTCTGGTCTCTCTCTGGTCTCTCTCTCTGGTCTCTCTCTCTGGTCTCTCTCTTTGGTCTCTCTCTCTGGTCTCTCTCTGGTCTCTCTCTGGTCTCTCTCTGGTCTCTCTCTCTGGTCTCTCTCTCTGGTCTCTCTCTCTGGTCTCTCTCTCTGGTCTCTCTCTCTGGTCTTTCTCTCTGGTCTCTCTCTCTGGTCTCTCTCTCTGGTCTCTCTCTGGTCTCTCTCTCTGGTCTCTCTCTCTGGTCTCTCTCTCTGGTCTCTCTCTCTGGTCTCTCTCTCTGGTCTCTCTCTCTGGTCTCTCTCTCTGGTCTCTCTCTGGTCTCTCTCTCTGGTCTCTCTCTCTGGTCTCTCTCTCTGGTCTCTCTCTCTGGTCTCTCTCTCTGGTCTCTCTCTCTGGTCTCTCTCTGGTCTCTCTCTCTGGTCTCTCTCTCTGGTCTCTCTCTCTGGTCTCTCTCTGGTCTCTCTCTCTCTGTGTATATGTGTTCGTACCAAAGTCTGCCAGTTTGAGCTCTCCCTTGTCGTTGATGAGCAGGTTCTGGGGCTTCAGGTCTCGGTGCAGGATCTTCCTCTTGTGGCAGTAAGACAGCCCTCGAAGAAGCTGGAACATGAAGATCTGCACCAGAGGAGACTGCAATAGATACTTACAAACTTGTGTGTGTTGTGTGTGTAGTTTGTGTCATGTGTGTTGTGTGTCATGTGAGTCTTGCGTGTCGTCAGTCTTGTGTGTAGTGTGAATCTTGTGTATTGTGTGTGTCGTGTGTAGTGTGTTGTGTGATTCCTGTGTGTCGTGTGTGTTGTGTGTGTATTGTGTGTGTCACCTTCACGTTGTGCATGCTCATGAGGTTCCCACAGTTGTCCAGATACTGTTTCAGATCACTGTCCTGTAAACACACACAAGACACAATGTTACACACTCTTAGGTTATTGTTTGTAATAATCCATAATCCATAATATAATCTGTAAAATGTAATATATAATCTATAATCTGTCATTTGTAACCTGTAATCTGTTATATGTAATCTGCACTATGTAACATATAATCTATAATCTATAATAATTAACATGTAATATATACTCTGTGATATGTAATCTAACATCTGTAACACGAAATCTATAATCTATAATGCGTAATCTGTAATCTGTAATATTGAGTCTGTAATATGTAATCTATAATCTGTAATCTATAATCTGTAATCTGATACTGACCAGATACTCGAACACCAGCGTGAGGCAGCGCTCTGTGTGGATGATGTCGTGTAGAGTCACGATGTTTGCGTGTTTCAGGTTCTTCAGCAGAGACACTGTGGAAACAACAGTTAGAGTCTGGGTTCCTCCAGGTGCTCCGGTTAGAGCTGTAGATCTGACCTTCTCTGATGGCCGTGCAGGGCGCCCCCTCCTCGTGCTCCAGACGGATCTCCTTCAGCGCCACAACGTTCTCCGTCAGTTTACTGCGGCCTTTGAAGACGGTGGCGTACGTGCCCTGCAACCACACCAGTGTTAGCATCATGTGACTAAAGTGTTAGCTTCATGTGACTAAAGTGTTAGCAACATGTGGCTAAAGTGTTAGCATCATGTGGCTAAAGTGTTAGCATCATGTGACTAAAGTGTTAGCATCATGTGGCTAAAGTGTTAGCATCATGTGGCTAAAGTGTTAGCATCATGTGGCTAAAGTGTTAGCATCATGTGACTAAAGTGTTAGCATCATGTGGCTAAAGTGTTAGCATCATGTGGCTAAAGTGTTAGCATCATGTGGCTAAAGTGTTAGCATCATGTGACT